GCCATCGCCATCTGCAGAGCTGAGGGTGTCGGTCTTGGACAAGGCAAGATGGCACCTTCTGAGGAGAGCAGAGCGGCCCTGAAATAAACAGCAGGACAAAATGTTCTGAGTGAGCCGCATGGCCTTTGGGTAGTCAGGAACTGCTTGTACAAAATGGATAAAGAAGTCTTAAAGAGTTTTCTTTAAACAAAAGTTATGTTCCTCACCAAAACATATTCACAGTCAGTGTATTAACTCTAATCTTATTCAAACTGTATCTTTTATTTCCTCTGTTGAATGTTCTTCTTGCTTATTCAAGCAGAATTAAAGGACGAGTGTGTTGGATTTAGAGGAATCTAATGGTGAAGTTGCAGATTGAAAACAAACTGAATACAGCTCAACCTTTCAAGTGTGCAGGAGAAACTACGGTGGCTGTGAAACTTGTGAAAGGCCCGATAGAGCCAGTGTTTGGTTTGTCCATTCTGGGCTACTGTAGAAACACTCCCCTGTAGATAAAATCAGTTCATTCTAGGGTAACAAAAACACAACAATTCTTATTTTTAGGGGATTATACACTAATAAAGACATATCTATGAATATTATATTCCATTTCTGCCAATAGATCCTCCTCAATGTTAAACACACTATAAGAGAATTGTGATGTCCTTAGCGATGGTGGACCTGATCAGTTTCCAGGTCACATGAGGAAGGAGGATGTACAGAACAGAGGAAGGAGCAAGGAGGAAGTATGGATAAGATGCAGCTGGCCAGTAACAGGCCAAATTGTGTATTGAAAGGTAAAGTATGAAACACTAAAACCAAACAGGAACAATTTTCTTAAATGAAGCACAAGCCAGAGAAAATTGTTTAGCTGTCAAATCACATATATCCTGATGCATCTCCTCACATGATCAACTGATGCCAGCCTTAAAAGCCATGCTCATTAAATATGGCTTTTGCTGCTCTTTAACCTGGAAGATAATGTTTTATTTCATTAAAATAAGGGTAAGAACATCATATTGCGATTATTTTGACAGATTTGACAGATTCACGATTAGTGTGGGAATAATCATTTTTGAATCACAAATTTAATTGTCACTTAAAAAACTATAAAAATCACGATAATGTGACCTTTTTTATGTTTTCTTAAATCTGTAGAACTAGATTTGTGGGTTGGGAAATCTTTCCAGCTCTGTAGTACTTAATTATAATGCTGTTTTGTCACACATTTTACCTTCATCAAAAGATTGCAGCTTCTGCGATTTGAATATTGTAATTGGCCACATAAAAATACATCCAATACATTCACATTTTTAGGCTGTTAAAATTAAGGGGTGGTATTTGCCACAGGCGAGGCCCACCTCCACTACTGCAGGAAACCCTGAAATAGCAACGGTGAAGAGCAAATGTGACAAAAGAATAAAACAATTGAACTAATGAGAATTTCTGTTAAGACTACAATTACAAACAAGTAGCCTGGGAATTCCCGCTTGAAGTTTGAAGTAGATTTAAGTACACATTTGACATTTAACCCCTCTGTACCTCATTCATCCCTTTTATCACAATGATGTGCCAAATTCCTCTTCAAGGGAAACTGGAAATGATGCTGAAGCATGTGGGCGTCCTGTAGAAAAGAAAAAGAATAACCATCATGTGAATAACTGACACAAGAAGTACAGACAAACAGAATCTGTAGGTGACATAAAAAGAGCTCTGTCATTTGAGGCTGGGATGTATGGAAAACTAGGAAGGGACTGATGCCAACACCAATAACATGACCGTGCGAGTGTGGCCTCTCATTGGTCAGATGGATATGTTTCGAGTCACACCACCTGTCTCAAACTAAATCAATGCCCTACAGATTTACTCAAAAACCTGGTGTATGATCTTATTTCCCAGCTCCTCTGCACACACACACACACACACACACACACACACACACACACACAACACACACAAAACACACACTTTACTGCTGCGGTATGCTATCACAAGAGAATTTCTACAACATGACATCCTCACAGCTTCCTCACGAATCGTACAAGCTTGTTCATGACGTTGACAACCTATCTAAGCCAGACTGTGCTGCAGAGGAGCAACACAAACAGGAGAGCTGGGGGTCCCACTAAGGGAGAGGCATGACCCACAACCCTGTCTGACACCCTGGATTATCATGCCTTTACACTTCAGCGGGCTTTGTATGGATAGTCAAAAGACGGAGGAACACAGAGAGGCTGTCCTTGATAAACTATTATAACAGACTAAGAGCAAAGGATTTAGTTGTTTGATGGAGGTGTGTGAGGGTAGAGAGGACCCACTGTATACTAAAGCTGTCAGAGTACAGATACAGCGGGATCATAAAATATCAAGTAGACCCAATGCTCACATATTAGCCACTTATTGGGTCTGGAAGTGGAAATCCACTTGGGAAAGTTTCAAAATGTGAGTGACTCTAATGTACCCTCAGAGATGAGCGACTTCCTGCTCTGTCACTGGTGATGTGACATTATCCAGAGCAGAGCCTGAGGCTGAATGGCTGCTGGGGGAAAAAGGTTTAATGCTTTAAATGATGACAGAGGTTTTAAGGGCTATATAAGATCTTAAGGAAAAAAACATCCCACAAATATATGACCCCTGATGGATGGAGGCATGAATAAAAAATACACATACATTTCAAGAAAGGAGTACAAAACTAATAAATAATGACATTAAACTATTTTAGATGTGGAGCGTGATCATTAAAAGTTAACTCATTAAACTAATACTAAGGTCAGTTTTTACCTCACACAAATTGGTCAGATCTAAGCAATTTGCACTGAAAAGCAGCTAATGAAGAAAAACTTTTACTCACCTTGATCTAATCTGTTGATCTTATTTTTAGTTTCTTCAAAAATAAACTATTCCGCAGCTTTTTCTTTTTTGTTGAAAGCTCCCAACTTATTTTTTCTCTCTGAGCGGCTCTGACTCCTGCCAGATGACACAAAATGCTTCAACTAAATGACAGTATCCCTCTGATTCATGTGTCCGACCGCCGGTGAGGTCCACCAGAACAACGAATGCTTTCACACACAGATTTTGGGGTGGGACAAAGTGGCTGCACTCAACCGGAGGGGACGCGGAAGTTTGAGCTGCAGTACCGGCGATGGCCGCTAGGTGCGGGCTCTAAAACACCTCAGGCTGCCATAGACACCTATTCAACAGGCATCCTCTTCAATGAAGACTCACTCTCATTCCTGGAAATACCAAAACAAGTTTTGTACAGTCTACGTGTCAACACAGGACATAATGGTGTAAACTTCCTCACAGTGTGTTTGTTATTAACTGTTGATAGGCTCCATTGATGGTAGAGGAGAGTTGATGGCTTTGGTTGATCTGTCATGGACACACAGTGGAGGAAGTATTCAGATCCTAAAAAATACTAAAACCACACTGTAAAAATACTGCACGTATGAAAGTAGAACAACACAATAAATAAGAAAATACTCATTAAAATATAATTAGAATAGAAAAATAAGGGTTATATGTACATTATATACACAGATGTGATTGATGGAATACCACTAATCTCATTAGTTGCACATCCATGTTTGGATGCACAACCATGGCGATTAGTGAAGAGTTTAGCACAATAAAAATGCTTGTTTTGTCCAACGAGAAGTGCAGAATCATTTGAATTATTACTAAATGATTAAAAACTGAAAAAATAGACTTAGTGAATTAATAAAAAAAGAAGAAGAACAAATCCACACATTTGTAAAGCTGGAACCTTGAAATGTTTTTATGTTGTTAAAAAATGAATGAAATTGAAAATAATTGCATCTAGCTCTGTCTGATTGATTAAATGACTGATAATTTCAGCTGTATATGTATACACTTTTACAACAAAAACATATTTTATAAGAGTTACAAGAGTTTTGTGTGCAAAAATGTGTGTAAAGTAATTAGTAACTAAAGCTGTCAATAAATTATGTAGTGAAGTAAAAATACAATATTTGCCTCTGAAATGTAGTGGAGTAGAAGTAGAAAGTGTCAAAGGGGGTACTTAAGTACAGTACTTGAGTAAATGTTCTTAGTTACATTCCACCACTGCTTGCTCACAACCTATTGCCCTTTTACTTTTTCGCATAATGAAAATGGAAACCATACACAGGAATAATCAAAGTGGACAAAATCATATCACAGGATCTTCCTCAGAAGAGGTCATTTACCCAGTTGTCACGGCAACTGTATATGTTCAAATATAAAAAAAATTTCTGAGCACTTTACAGACTTCTTGTCCTTGCTGAGAGTGAAAGTTAATTCCTGACCTTCTTTTTTATCCCAGCGTGCCCTTTATGGGTGGCTTCACTGCTGAATAAACATGCCTGCAGGGAGCAATATTTCACAAATACCGACCCATTTCTCAACTATTCAAGATCACACAATGAAGTAGAGTATACGGTTTAATAAATGTCTGGAAGGAGGGTGTGGTGAGGCCGCCAAAGGGAGCCACACACAAAAGAAAAATAAGTACCTTTGTTCTAACAGTGACCAAATCCAGGGACAACTATTTCCTGAGGTTTATTTCCTAATATTAACACATTTTTACCAGTGCTGTAGCTGAGTAGTAAGAGAAATACCTCATAAAATCGATTACAAAAATGTCCAGCATTCATAATTTTATTCAAACTGAAGTACAGAAGCATTAGCAGCAAAATGTAGTTAACATTAAAGTGTTCATTAGACAGCAGAAATGCCTGTGTGTGTTACATGATGTTACTGGATTATTATAAATGATGCATCGACTTGTAAAAAGAATTACAACTATTTAATATACTATTAAGTACATTTATAACAATGCATAATAATTTATACATAATGTAGGCTACTGATCTTCAAAGTAAGTAGCAAGTATTGAATTTCCCAATGAATGTAGTGGAGTAGAAATATAAAATGGTAGAAAGATAGTAGAAATGCACCAGAATTAAATGACAAATCTAATTTAAGAAGGAAAGAAAGGAAATTAATGCTGAACACATGAATTGTTGCACATATTTTTTATTGCAAATTTTGGTTTACATTAGTTGAAAATACAAGATTTCTTTGTTTTGCAGTGTACACACACACACACACACACACACACACACACACACACACACACACACAGAGAGAGACATCAGACAAACATAAACTCAAAACTGTATTGATTATCCGAAGGCCACCAACATAACCTCAACTCAAAGTCAGTATGTTGTCAAAATATCACATCTGACACCTTACTCCGACAATCATCTGAAATTCTATCTAACAACCGTGTAGAAGGCAAGAAGTGAGAATACAACACTTTATATCCCCTCGACAATGAGGTTTAAAGGAAGTACACATTCAGTTTAATGAAAGCACCTGAGAGTGGACAGAAAAGCACATGCTTTGAAAGAAGAGTAAAGATACATAATCAAGTCCTGCATAGCATCGTAGTATAAAAGAGGCAGACCATAGCTTCAGTAGTGATTACTATTATGTTCTCCATCAGCCTGCCTGGTTTACACAAAGTGACGTGTATAAAAATATAAAGGACTAAAGGCAGAAAAGCTGACATGGTTAATTAAATGCTCCGTACCTCCAGCTTAAGGCACAAACAGGTGTTCAGTATTAAAAGCCAGCAGTGTATGTTCATGAGACAAGTCAGAGAAGTCTTGGTAAATGATAAGCTGCTTATTGTTTTGTATAACTTTTACTAAATGACTTGGGACAATGTTTGAAGTAAAATTCATTAAAAACTACAGTTCAATACCCCCAAAACATGGAAAACTATAACAGAAGAAAATATGAGGCTTCTTTTCCAAAGGATTTGTAAATAAACTACATTATGAGTTGTGGGTTTTGATTGTTGACTTCAAAATAAAAGCCATAGCCATAGCACATTTTAAATTCTTGTTTTGTCATTACAAATAAACGCAGCCCTTATCTTGCTCGGGATATAGAACAATAGTGACAGGTAGCGTTGTGGACTTTAAGACTGAAGAGAAATTAAAAACCTTAAAATGTTTCTTTCAACATCATATGCGTAAATGAATGGGAGAAATGATTATACAGTATCAAACATTACATTTTTGCATTATTGACAGTTTTGTGGCTCATTAAATTACTTTTAATAAGTAGCACTTTGATTCTTGCTATAATTATCACACGTTTGTGAGAGTACTTAGGATCATGCATATAAAATATCTGGCCATACTATTGCTTTTAAACATAAAAGATTTTCTTGTAAAGAAAAATGACTCCACAAAGGGAGAGAAATTCATTTAAAATGAGTTTAAATCTGCAGCTACTTTGCCCCAGAGTCAAACAGCAATAAGTAAAAGGCATATTGAGAAAGCCAGAACAGGCACACAGATGATTACAAGTGCAAAACATTTGATGTGTGTGACAGAGTATTATGATACACTCCCGCAGTGAGCTGTCAGATGACCTGAAGGGTGCCATGTCAAGCTTTAGACTGCAGAGCTCTAGACTGCAGAATGTAAATGACTTTGTAAACTGAGTGGATCACTGGAGGAAAGAGGAACATCCTACAGTCACACTTTGTAATCAAGATCAGCATTCAGCTTATTGTATATGTCATAAATAGCATCAACAGTGGCGGTGAAGTTGATGAGGAATTTTCTGATTTTTTCCAAGCACTCCTCTTCCTTGACATCCCGACCCTTGGAGAGAGCCTTCAGGAAATCTGACTTATACGGAGCAGCGTAAAGAGCTGCCTAGAAGAGCAAATACAAATGCCAAATTTATACACAACTCTATGTATTTTATATATGCATATGTGTTTTAAGAAGAACTCACCCTGAAGAGCTGTTGCACAAACCAGCCATGATACCTTTTCAGGGCTATTTCATAGGCTTTGGTGACATTGACTCGAATGAGGTTTGGGTTGCTATCATCCTTTTCACCGTCCACAAGGCTCTGAAGGAAGACTTGAATAAATCTTAGACCCCTGGTCGATAGAGAAGACGTGCACAGAGATTAAAGTTAAAGAACACACACAAACCAACAATCCATAAAACCTGAAATGCTAAAATTTCTGAAACCTTTTTAGCCACATAAGAGCCAATGTTGCTCCAACTTTGGGCCACTGTGCTCCATGCATTTCCTTCTCTGCCTCCACAATCTGCTGGAGTGTCTTGAAGCGTCCTGGGTTGGTATCATAAACTGCCTTGATTTTCTATGTGGCAAAAACAGTGCATCGTATTGTAACATAGCGTAACTGAGAAACGTAAGAGTTGAGTGTCAGATTTAACTTTATACTTACTGTGATGTTACCGGATATGTCAGCTTTTATTGGTGCGAAAATAGTGGAGCCAAGGCAATCTGAGGAGGAATATTTACACAGAGAATGACTGAGAAAACCCACACACAGGACATGTAAACAGAAACTTCATGAGAATATGAGCACCTTTAGAGTTTCTCGTGGTGACCAACAACCTCTTCAGTTAACACAGAAGGTAAAAAGGTAAATGTGAAAACCTGACCTCATAACAGGTCACATGGGTTTTTGTGTCTACTTCACAACGTCACCAAACTTGGTCTTCTCTTATTGTTTTGATGTGAGAGACCCCCTAGCAGCATAAATTACATATTTTGTACATTTAAGTGAAACGCCGGCCCACAATAACACCACATTGCTGGAAGGTAAAGTAAATCTGGGATTAGGCCTTCAATATCACAGACACATCATCACAGTATTATCATTAGGTGTCCTTTAATTAGGCTACTAGAGGACCAGAGAATGTGGCGATGAGATAGTGAACAATGAGACATCTCGAGTCCCGACCACACACGGCTCCTAGTTGACCCACTGACACAACAGACAGCTTTCAGCTCCTGAGCTGTTAGAGGAAACTACTCATGATGAAAAAGTCTGCTCTATTGTGCCGATGTGATGCATCGCCTCAACACTGATGGCAACATATCTTGTTTCGGAGACATCCTCATCTTGTGTGGCTGTCTCTGTATTTTCCACTCTCTTCGCAAGATTTCTGTTACAAATGCACACTGTCTCTGGAAACAATGGGCAATTAAACAGCTCTCTGGAGAGTAACAGTAAAGTATATTTAACAAAAAACAATTTAATAAACCTAAAATATATAAACGACAAACAGGAATAAGCCCCAAACAGCATCATTTGCTCAGTTCTCGGCTCATTAAACACACACAGGTGTTAATTATTCTGGCTAATTAGACCTCTTCTCAGGTTGAAGTTGGACAGAGCCGTGCTGGGAGTTTACTGAGGTCACTGTACTTAAAATTCAACTCATTAAAAATATGAATTGTCCTACTAAAACAGGTTAAAAACTAACAGGAGAGTCAGTGCTGTCCATGCAGGCCTGGATAAGAGGGTCTAATAAGACAAAATAATTTAAAACACCTGTGTGAATGTACTATGAGAGTGTGCAGGACTTTAATAGCTTGTAGGAAAGTTGGCCAAGAAATTTCTAGGTCAGGAAAAACAATGGTGACAAGGAGGAAAGAGCTTAATATCGACATCAGACTTGGTTCCTCTCAAGGGTTTCACATGGCAAATTCAATAGAGGACCTTTGGCATATTAATACAGAATGAAGTCGCACAAAGATGCCCTGGTGCACCATGCCGCCGGTGAATGGGCAAAGGGAACTCAACACCGTACTAATCAATTTTCACAACTTAAAATCCAGGCCAGTGGATTAAATTATGCATGCTAAAGGATTGTGGACAGCTTGATGGAGAGAAATACGATCCAAAAAAGATTATCATTTGGAAAGGGTACGAACGTTTCATTAGGTTTGATAGAAGAGTTGTGACAGATTTCCCCACAACAACAACAACAAGTTTTGTGTTTATTAATCAAAGTTGAACATGAAAAATGTATGAACAGGGTGCAAACTGCAGGGGAGCCAGGGGGAGCTTGGCTCCTCTTAATAACACATGAGCTCCCCTGAAAACATGATTTGTGAAATTTTGGGATCTCTTAAATATTGATAATATAATATAGTTCTGCAATGCACATTTTTCTGTATCTTTATCATCATGGATCGAGTGCAAACAGCTAATATTGATGCATGTACGTCATTAACTGATTATTATATGTCAGATTTACTAACATAAAGCCAGTACGGCTACATGATTGCAACTATGAATGCTTCTTATCAACTAGTGCCCCCCAACACAATCCTTTTTTCCACCGCACACTGTGTATGACGCTGGAAAAAGGGGAACTTCTGTCAGCTAAAATCCAACATCCGTGTGCACGTTCATCCAATCTAACAGTCAGGCCTGTATTATATTCAGCACTATGAATCTACATACTTCAAACTAATTAATATCTGTTTGTCTGTGCCTTCAATCTGGCCTTTAGTGTAGCTTCTGACAAGTCAAACATTAGAAGTTGAACAGAAATACATTTGTCCCCCCCTTTCTCTGCAGCCACTGATATCTGTGCATTCACATGTATCTCCACACAGCAATGCTGTCAGAGGTGCCTGCATTGGTCTCTACTGTGTCACACTGTGGAAACTTCACTTACCAAAGAAAGGTGGAAGGTATGACACAGCCTCCAGAAACGGTCTTGTTTCTATCTGTCTGTCAGCTGGCAGCTGTCTGAACTGGTGCTCCATTAACAGAGCCATCTCTTTAGTCCGGACACACTCTTACCTCTGAAATGAGAGCAACAGGCTGTCAACCCTCTGCTGCAGATTTACAATGACACCAGAAAAAAAAGCTATGTGTGTGTGTGTGTGTGTGTCTCTGTGTGTGTGTGTGTCATACCCCACCCCGAGAAAACACACATACACACACAAGTCACCTACATTGAAGCCAGGTAGTGGTAGAATATCCAGCCGACTGCTCGTGTGATCGACCTGTTACTGATAGATCCGGGTCATCGCCACCTGTCGGGTAAAAGGGCCGATAAACGGCGCTTAAAGAGTCCAGGACAAACACAAGAACAGCAGCTGATGTGCTCCGATCAGCTGACACTGTCCTGCTTCAATCACATTATGCTGCTTTACTGCCAACTAATGGAGTTTTGTGGTACATAACTCAAAATGTATAATAGAGTAGGTCTGTTAATCAGATTATCTGTTTGTTTAAGTGTATTTATCAGATATTAATTATTTAATTCATTTTTATCCCTGAGCCCAATGTAGGCGGCGATTCAAAGGTCTGAGAGCAGATTATATATTATCAATTAATCAATCAAACTTTATTTGTATGGCAGCTTTCATACAGTTTGTTTTACAGATGACTGACGATGAGACAGTGTGGACCATGATACAGAGAAATAAACACTAAATTAGTCCGATAAACTAGATTAGATAAGTTTAAAAATACAATACAAAGATGAAAATTAGGTATAACAATAAATACTATTATTTTATGTTGTTAGTTATTTTTTAGTGATTTCATATTGTGTAATTCTTAAACAACAACAACAACATTAACAATAAATAATACTATCTATTATTTATTTTTTTGTGTGTTGTTTTATAATTACACAGAGATCAATGGCTTATAATGTAATACTATTGATACCGTTTTGTTCTGCATTAAAAGAGCTGAGAGAGATATCTATGTATCACAAATCAATTAATTATCAATACTCATTAGTGGAACAGTACTGAATTATATATATCCTACTCACTGCTGCTTTGTTTTAATAAGCGAATACTTTTTATTTTTTAATAAATACAAATTATTGTTATTATTATTATTAATAATCATACTTTAAAATAGGACTCCCAACATAAGAAAAAAAAACTTTTTTTCGTGCACCGCTGCGTTGTTTCAACAAAAACAGTTCGCGTTTTAATCCAGTGAGCAACTTTGTCCTTTACTTCATCCCGTAGCGTGGGAGTAACTAGGAAGTGTGTCGGTAACTAGGGAGGACTCGGGGGTCGAATAACGGCGATGTTCAGAGTAGAAATGCAAAACATCGACTAATATCAACAGAAATCAGGAGGAGACGACCTACCTCAGCACCGACAGGGTACGTACGTATTATCTATAGAGCTATAAATAATATAGAAAGGTTGTTAACTAACCTAACGTAACGTTACGTGTCGCTGGGCGGTGAGATGTTTACTGTAACTTAAACGCTTTGTTCACATTGTTTTGATTTTCCTTGTCTTTCTTTGAGCTTAAATAATAGACTTTACATTACTAACACTTATACATATTAGTAGAGACTTAAAGGGTGACTGTATGTGTGAATTAGTGGCTCTTTTTAACGCATTAATACACATAAATAGTGCGTAGTTAGTCGGGTAATCGATTATAAAACAAGCAGCATTAGTTAGGAGTATGTGCACCCTGTTTATGCTCTGTGTTATTTATGTTTCAGGTCCATGGCTCTGCCGACCTTCTCGGCCCATGTGCCCAGTCGGTCCCGGGTGCTGGCCGGGCAGCTGGCCCGGCAGCGGGAGCAGGAGGCCCGGTGGCGGCAGCAGTGGGAGCTGCATGCTCAGTACTTCAGGGAGCAGAGTGTCCGCAGCCACAGACAGGAGGTGTGGAGCTCCCGTCACTCCTACCAGCAGAGGTAACTTCATCCACCACCGACAACTTCAGACAACATCACAAGGAGGATAAAGCAACCAAAATACCCCAGTAACAGTTACTACTTCGTATTGTTTTTGTTGATGTTTTCTGTTTCTTCTTAAGAAGTGATCATCCCTTATATAGGCTACACAAGGTCTTTGTATTGCATTTTTAAAGATATGTAAGAGGCAGTGATACACAAAGTAATGCTCCCAGTAAATTATAACATAATCAGGCAACACCTTAGGTTCTTAATAACAGCCCGACTGATATATTGGCAGATATTTTGCAGGTATATCATATCATATCATATATAATGGTGTCACTGCAAAGTTTATCCAACAGAGTGTGCTGTGATTTACAATACTGTCGCCAGCAGCACAGAGTAAGAGAGAAGAGGCAGCTCTCAGCAATGTTCACTAGCAATGGCTGGCAATGTTCAATTATATTAAAGATTTTTTTGTTATTTGTTTAAGAAAGCAGCCTTCTGAGGACCTTTGCATAGTCATGTCCATATAGAAAAGAAAAATTCACTATATCAGCTGCCAGATCTGTGGATTTTTTGCCTCTAAAATTGGTTTTGGCCTCTAAATCCCATATTGGTCGGGCTCTGTTCTCAGGAGGGCATTTAAGAGCAAAACAGTAGTTAGCCTAATTTTTTCCTTGTAACAAACCAATCACCAGAGGGGTGATCTTCAGGTTGTTTACCATACACAAATACGTATACAGTACATTTGGTGAGATACACTAAATACTTGTAATCAGCAAAAGATAATATATATTTTAGATGTACAGTTCATGTTGTTTAAGGTATGGTTTCTCAGCCTTTTAGGTATATAAATAGGGCTGCCCAATACAGTCAGAGACTCAGAACATCCCTTCTGCCATAGCATTACTCAACAAAACTGCCCGGTAGCCGTTATGTGTAAATACCTGAATGTATGTACAAATGTGCTGTGTTTACATGTCTATCTTGTGTTAATGTTGTGTGTATACGTATGAGATTATGTTCAGACTGTGGCAACACATTTCCTGGAAAGGACAATAAAGAATCTATCTATCTATCTATCTATCTATCTATCTATCTATCTATCTATCTATCTATCTATAAGTATCAACAAAATGTACAGTACATGACATTATACTGAAAGTAACAGTATTCAAGTCACTGCCTCTTTTACAGCATTTAGTTGTTTGTTGAGTATACTGTAGGTGTACAGAACATCAGTGTGTTGTTCATAAATGTGTAGTTATATAACGTGTGCGTGTGTGAATAATAAATAGACACTGTGCAGACAAAGATGCCAGAGAGAGACAACCCAACAGGTTTTTTATTTTTCATTGTTTTGTCAGTATGTCAGCATACTATAAACAGAAACTGGAGGAGGAAAAGAAGGCCAGCCTGGAGCAGCGCAGGAATCGGCTCAGGGCCATGCTTCAAGAGGAGCAAGACCGGCTGGAGGCGGAGCTCAGGGAAGTTGTTCCTGACAGGAGCACGTTGGCAAGTCAGCTGGTGCAAAAAACTGAAGATCTCCGTACAGCGAGAGAGGAAAGAAGAAAAAAGGTTGGAAATTTCCCTTTCAGTGCTGCATCATGGTGCTCCTACTGTCAGTGTAGAACATTTATTGTGTCTCTCTTTTTTTTTTATTCCTTAGCTTGCACAGGAGCTCCTGAGGGAACACTGGAAGAAAAACAACCCAGATTTGCGAGAGGTAGCTAAGTTTAAACTATTAATGCAAAAGTGACAAGTTGCCAGACCTCTTATCTCAAAGTCCGACTGTTGATGGAGTGATAAATGGGTCTCGGGAATCTTGTGACCATCCTGTGCGTCTGAAGAGCTCTACAAAGAGGGAAAACAGACACTTTTTGTCAAGACATCCACTTGATCTGGAAACTAATAGGGCTTGTGATGTGGATATTCCATGACTTTTGTGTTAACCCGAGTCCAGCGTTGACTTAAGAGAATAAAAAGTTTGGGTATCCCTTCCGCTTAGGGTCAAGTTCATCAGTATCTCTGTCTCGTCTATGTCACTAGTCTTTCTTTTAATCTGTCCACAGGTCGAGTCATCATTACATAAAGATCATGTTGTCAACCAATGGCAGGAGCAGATATCGGAGAAGAAACAGGTAAGACATTTATCACAGCTGGCAGACAAAACAGTTCAGCTTCTGTTCAGATAAGATGTGTTTCTGACCTTAAGGTCTTTTGTCCCACTTGAGGAGTTGGTGTACAATACTCAGTTTTATTCAAACTCATACTCTAAAGCAGTGGTTCTCAACCTTTTTGTTGTCAAGGACCATCAAATAGATTCACATCAGGCTGCAGACCCCTGTTTGATAAGTTCTAGTCTCAGGGATCCCCATCTGATGAAGATTTACTGTGGTATTAACAGCGTTAGGCCTGTGAACAGAATAGTCATTCTTACATATTCTCCCATTGGACTAATTTCTATTCAGTGAAATAACAGGGAAATTAAAATGTTGCCCATTTTTCTGGGGACCCGCTGGGACGCTCTTAAAGACCCCTGAAAGAGAGAGAACGAGCTGCTGCTCTTAAGTATTACCTCCGTCAAGCCAGTGGTGACACAAAGGACCCACAAGTCACTTAACTTTGTCATTATCCTTTTCCTCGACTAATTATTTATAACAAATCAATTTTTAATTAAATGGTGCTCATGTCAGCTGTGAACACAGTATCAAGTCTGAAATCTACTCAACTTAATCCCTTCAACATGCTACATAATTGAGAAAGTTTAGACACCTACTGTAAGAGAGCCATCTCTCCAAACATGCAGCAAGAAGTGTCAGAGCAGGAGGAGACGAGACGCTTTGAAAATGAGTATGAGAGGACCCGAAAAGAGGCTCTGGAGAGGATGAGGCAAGCAGAGGAGAAAAAGAACATGGAGGAGCGGAAGAGGGCCGAAGAACTTCGCAAACAGATGGAAGAACTGAAGCTGAGGGAAGAGGAGGTATGTAGAACTTGGAAAAAATACTTTTACTGTGAAAAATTATATTGCAGATGTGTTTAAGCATTTTTTTCTCTCTCAGGCAACGCGTCTAAAGAAGGAGCAGGAGACTCTGCTGGTCAAGCAGTGGGAGCTGGAGAAGATAGAGGAGAAAAGGAGGGAGGTGGAGGAAAGGCGAAAGAAGTCTGAGATGGGGTAAGGGAAGCTCTTTCTGCAGATAGCTGATTACAAGTGAGAGGATACTTCACTCTGGTGACGTATTGGGTTCATTGGATTTGTTTTCCACTAGGCATTTCTTGATCCGGCAATATCGTGCTCAGCTGAAGAGGAGAGCCCAGCAAGTGCAGGAGGAACTGGTTAGTCTACTTCACCTCTTGTATCTTTTAATACAGTATATTTTTCTACATGTAGTCCAATGTGCCTGACTTTCCTACATCTACCTTAAATTCCTCTGGTCCCTCCAGGAGGCCGACTGTAAGATCCTGGCAGCCATGCTGGAAGGAGAGCAGGAGGACAGGAAGATGGAGACTGTACGAAGAGAAAGGGCCATCGCTGACGCTGCCTGGATGAAACGTGTGATTGAAGAGCAGCTTCAGTTGGAGCAGGAGAGGGAGGCTGAGTTCAACATCCTACACAGGTGAGCAACGAGATTCAGTAAGCTCTGACTCCGCAGGAAGGGACTTCTGCTTGTCCTCAAATACAAACCAATGCATCTCATCCATTATAGGGAAGAAGCTCAACGTGTTTGGGAGAAACGAGAAGCTCAGTGGGAGAAGGAGAGGAGAGCCAGAGAACGGCTCATGCAAGAGGTGAATTAGTTTTAAAATCAAAATGAAACTTAATTTGATTCAAAAGATATGAGAACTAAACAACAGCTCTCCTTTCTTTGTTGTGGCCAGGTGCTTGCGGGGAGACAGCAACAGCTGGAGCTGAAGATGCAGAACAACCGCGAGGCTCAGGAGGAGTCCCTGAGGAGACGAGAAGAGCTGATCCAAGAGCTGGAGCTGGAGAGGGAGATCAGACGGCAGGAGATGGAGCGAGAAGAGGGCCGTAGGACAGCACGGATGCAAGAGATAGATGCTCAGGTTAGCACACAATGCAGTGCTTTGTGTTTTCATAGCCCCTTTTCTTCCTCCACACACCAAAGTTAATTATTTAGACCTCTAAAGAAATCTAGTCCGAGTCTCTGACAATGATGCCACAATAGCAGCTTATTTATGTACATTTGAGACCTAAAGTTTTTTCTTTGTGTAAACTGTAGGTGGAGCAGCAGCGCCAAGAGCAGTGGGAGGAGCAACGCAGGAGAGAGGAGGAGGAGGAGGAGGAGAGGGAGGCTCTTAAAATGCAGGAGGAGGAGCTGAGGATGGAAATGCAGAGGATGGCCAAGAAAGGATACCAGGGGAAGGTAAAAGATAAAAGTCAAGCCGATGATGAAACTACGGATCCTGAATGTTCATATTGTAAAATATTCCTTCAGTGTTAAAATATGCTTGAAATGGTTTCTTTCAGATTCACAGCAGACCTCGATCAGCCTGGACATGAGACATCTGCAAGACGGAAATCCAATCAATTTAATATTTTTCTACACGTAATGAGCTTTAAAGAATAGTGTCACATTTCTGTGCGTCTTAAAACAACACTCATACGCCCATATGTTCATCATCCACAGTGCGTGGTCACTGTAGCGGTTCCTCCTGTCCATACTGGCCATGAAGAGGTTTCTTAAAGTGATTCCAAGTAACTGAAGGACAAAATCCACACTCCTCATTCAGTGTAAACATGCATTTCAAAGTTTATCAAATCAACTGAGGATTTTTTATTCTTTTAGTGCAAAGTTCCCTCTTTTTGATCTCTTCCTGTACTGCGTTTTCTTTCTGAACTGAACTGCAGTGGAGGGACAGCAACACAAGAAGAGAATTCTGCACTCAAAAGATTATAACTTTGGAAGAGGCCCACATGATTTCACAACTTTAAAATGCATTTTTGCACAGTTCAAAGACTGTGAGTCGTGTCCCCATCTCTTACATTGGAACCGCGATGTGAAGAGGTACTTTCCCAGCCAGTATGAAGAACAAGAACAATTTCATCCTCCATTAACTCTTTAAATGTACAAGGACGTGTGAGTAATGTTTCAAAACACGTGGAAATTTGTGAACCTGTGCCTTTTAAAAACTGAAGCGTTCATGTAGGTTATGAGGACATATAGTGAAGTGCCATTTTGATGTCGATAATTTAATGCCGGTTGTTTGCATATGTAGAAAAGAACTGATTTTTTTGCACTTTTAGAGCTGTATATTTTCCATCCTGTTTTTTAATAAAACTAATAAAACAAATAAATTTAGTATTTTGCATTAATGCAGCAAGGAAATGTACATGATAAATGCACAATCTGGCAAACCACAACAGGCTATAGTTATAAATTAAGTTTATTTAGAAAATAATTATTTTTCCAAAGTGCAACTTAACAGCTGCATCACATACATCCCTGCACTCCATCCAAGTACAGAGAGGGACATTACCTTGATCAGATTTCAACATGACAGTGAACTCTGAAACACTTGGTGTGGATGAACATTGAGTTGCACAATTATACAGGAGACGTCTAGACTTCTATCCCATATGTTGCACATTAAATACAAAACTAGCAGCAACGGAACAGAGCACAAAAACACTTGGACATACACACTGTACAATATGGCTATTAGCTCTGAATAACATCACCAACACTGCAATGGCACACGAGACCGCAGAATACAATGCAGTGTGGAGCCTGTTAGAAACACACCGAATGATTTTAACTTAATACAACAACATCTTGGTGCTGGTGAAAAATATAACTTGGCCCCTGAACAAGTGTTATTTGCATTCACTAACTTGACAAATGGGCATACATAAATAGCTGCAATAAGTTCACTGCAGATTGGATTACACTTGGACGCGGGACAAAACCATATAAATAGCTTTTTTGATGCAACAAACATTAGCATCGCAGAGCTACAAATTGTGCATAAATGAAGTTCCCAACATTTAATGGAAGTTCACTAAATGGTCAATTTGTTTTTTGGAGATTAAAAGTTTACAGTATGATGATGCTTGCACAGTGCAATTAATGAGAGGATGCTCCTTTAGCTACAAGAGTGTTAGCGATAGCATTCAATGACAGTGGATTCATGACTCATTTATGGCTTTTCAGCATCCGCGTGTCTGTCTTTGGACTGATAACAATAACCAATATCATCATGTAGGTTTACTGTAGTGTGCTTCATTCTTTCTCTCGCTAAAAAGGTATTTACATTACGGACTGATTGAAAATAAATTGTAACTAAGAGCAAGTTTTACTCTAATTGTTGAAGAGTAATTGTAGAAACATTACAGTTCCCAGGCCTGCTAGTTGCTGCCACATGATTTGTTGTTTGTTTTTTGTTTTTTTACCTCAAGAGCAATTGTGCTATTACAACAGCTGCATTTCCCTAAGTTGAGTTGTTGACTTTTTCCCTTAATGCTCAGATTTTGCAGAGCTGGCTTTAAATATCATCAATATTCATACATAAATTAAAAAAACAAATGCATGCATATACCACAATTACAAAAAAAACCCCAACAGAATCATTAAAAATATATATAAGAACAAAACTGAGATGCTGACGGCTTTGCAGCCTTGTAAGTGCTGTTAGTTGGTATTCTCCTTTGTGGTGATGGTGACAAGCTGCTTGGCTGCCTTGGCAATGTCATAAGCACATTGGATGACCTGCTGGGTGACCAGCTGCATGTCCGGTCCCGGGCAGCCCTCTGAAGGCACCGCCTTCCTGCACTCGCTCTGAAGCCGGTATGCGCTGGAGGTCAACAGGCGCAGCGAGCCTCTCACAGTCTCTGAGCGCGGCTTCTGCAGAGGAATGTTAAAATATCTTGATACTAACGCAACGTATTTGTTTAAAAGTAAACAGATTTGTGCAAAGAGAGGGGGTTTAGTGCCACATGGACCTCTGCAGGCCTAGAACTCAATCTGGCTAGAACCTACTTTGTCTACTCTCTCTACTTCTTTTAACACTAATATTAACATTTAACACACAAGAATATATATTGTTTATTTATTGCTTTTTCATTAAAGAAGTAAAATAATACATCGGGAATTGCTGAAAATACTTGGGAATTTGGACCGTGAAACCATGCAAAATACATCCATACCTTTGGAAAGAGGGCAGCCATTTCTGTTACAGCCACATGTATTCTTTCTGAGCAGGGTATGAAGCTGTGAGGAGAAGAGATTTGTCGATGAGCTCAACATGTTGATGTCATATTTATACAAATCTCAAAATTATAGAACAAATACGGATTAAATATCAATTAACCAGATACCATACATGCAAGTCAACTTACAGAGTAAGATGCTATATAGTCTTCACCACACACCGTGCAATATTATCTTCAACTTCTGGTTAACATCAATGAACAGAACATGCTATTTAAGTACAAGAAACTTTTTCTGTATTAAGAAAATTATGGACACACAGCAGAAATAACACCAACCTGAAAAATATGTTACATCAAATACAGTCACCTATATATCAAAAGCAAGTCACTGCATTGATGTGACTTCATCAACTAGCTGAAGCAAATTGAAAGTCAGTGCTTGAAGAGAAACAATTAAATGAAGGCATGTTAAAAACTGCACACACTCAGTAGCACTTTAAAGAAGAAGAGGTTGCTTGTTAGCAGGTGAGACAGAAGAGAAAGGACGAGGCGTGTGAGGGAGAGGAAAATAAAACTGTGCCTGGGAGGCAGGGACAGAGGCCAGAGTACCAGGAGGTGGGGTCAGGGGACCGCAGGCTGAGCGGCTGAAGGGAAGGGGGGGCCTTCTCGGCCCAGGGCACCAGTGTGCTGAAGCATCCCAGGCTGTGCCTGAGCCGACGCACACCTTCGCGTTCACATGGTCTGCTCACAGGGGTGAGGGACGGGGACACCATGACACCAAAACAACAGCAGAACAGCAGAGTAAAGTGGAAGTAGAACGAGGGAGAAGAGTGACGATAACAGACATAAAGGGGAAATGATAGAAGATAAACGCAACTAAACATAACAGAATAATGATCAGTGCAAGAGGAACATAGGGTTTTTAAAATGGAAGCAGAGAAATTAAAGCTAAAAAAACCCAGATCCCAAACTGAAAGATATGTCTGTCTCCAGATTCTGACCTGTCATGTTTGTTCTCTTGAGCAGCTCGCAGCAGCTCTTGGATATTCTTGGTGATCTGCTCGGTTTTGCGGATGACGTCCTCTGTGCTGGGAAGTGTGGGGTCTGGCTCCATTTCCAGATCATCCAGCTCAGGGATAGAGCTGCCCTCCCCCAGCCAGCCGCTGCTCCTCAGCCTCCCTCTCCTGCACAAACTGCAGGGAAATTCAGAAGAAATCATGTCTACTGCCAAAATCTCTGTTCATTGTTTTCAATCTAAAGACAAAACATCACAGTATTTATCTTGAAAACCCCTTTTTTAAACTGTATATAGAAGTCAGAAAATTTATTGTCTTTCTTTTTTATCACTTACGACAAACCCTCATTCATCTCTTATGAGCTTACCCTGAATCATCCATCTCAGAGTCATTGAATGTGTTGTCATAGTCACTTTCCGGCATGCTGCTTTGCTTCTCTAATTTCGTGGCCTAGACAGAAAAGAGAAAGCAAAAAAACCGAACTGATAATGGGTCTCGTGCAAGACCTCCAGCACCACAACCACAACCAGCTGTTAGGAAATCTTAATTTTAAATGCTACATGTCAAATTTATTGAGAAAGAAGAGACACATATATTGTAAATGTACCCCTTTCTATTTGTTGTATGCCTATATAAACAGAGAGAGCAATGCAGAGGACTCTGAATGAGACAAGCCAATAAAGCTGGGAAGCAAGAGCACATAATCAATTGAAAGCGTTCAATATAGGATTAGTAAAACAATGCAGATAATACACATCAGTTTGACATAATCACCAATGTTGACTCGCTTGCTTGAAAATGACCTGATCCTCTAGGATCATTCAGGAGATCATCATCAAATGTGACAATATTTTAATTTGTGCATGAAAAACTTTTAACTCCTGAAGTAAGGATGGATTCACGGATGACAAACAAAAAGCCAATACTAATAATGAGCAACACATGGCTAGAAACATTACATAAGAACCATGACACACAAGCCTTATTCATCCTCCAACAACCTAAAGGGAAGTAGACCCTAGAGGGTCATTGTTTAAGGGAGGGGAAGTCATGGTTCAGAGGAGTTCATAAATAAAACTGATAAAATACAACACGACTATAAAGTGTATCACACAAAACAGGAATGCCTTATCTTCACACCAGATGGGGCTCGCTCTGATGTGAGATGCTAACTTAACTTTATGCAGATTCACTTTCAGACTCAAAGCTACATTTAGAAACAGGAAGCAGAGACAAACAAGTACACTCAAGCCACACAGGACCCATTTGTATGTTCATACCCTTCCCATCTAAAGTCTAAACGAACTCCTCCTCTTGTGTGCAGGACAAAATGCAACACACATAAGCTTGCCTCAGAAAATGTGATTAGCACATACATGTTTTGATAAATTTTTTTTAGACTTTAAATAACAGTGTTTCTGTGTTACTGGAGGAAGTGAGAGCATGCTGTTTGAAGCTCACTGTGCAAAATGGCCAAGCATTAGTTAGAGAGATAGTAAAAAAAAAAAAAAAAAAGGACTTCTCTTTATACTGAGAAATGAAAAACATGATGAGTTCTCTCTGTAGGTAAAAAAAAAAAAAATACATTTAACAATATAATTCACAAAATACTCAAGTTTGTTTCTCTTCTTATTACAGACAGATGGCTGTTTTATAAAAATGAAACAAACTTTGTACAATCAAAGTTTTTCCACATCATGTGTAACACAGGTTTCTGGAGAGAAAAAAAAGAAAAAGCGTTAAACTTAGCGTAAGTGCTGCATCGCAAGTGCAAATTTCTGCTCAACGTTTAGCAGTCAGGCAGAGGTTTCACCTTCGCAAAACCACACAATTCCAGCTGTTTATCCGCGCTATGAGGATGATGCTGATGGAGGCAGGTATCTGATGGTGAGGGCAGCTGGTGGAGGGGCGGCTCATGCAGCAGGGCAGATAAGGAGCAGCATAAAGAGGACAGGGGAAAGTCAGGGAGGGGGGAGATGTAGAAATGATAAAGGGCTCCGAGTGGATTTGCTGCATCCCACAAGATGTGGGCCGAGTGAGGATGTACTTAACCTTTTGAGCACTTTCGTCCTTCGACCAAGACAGGGTGGATGGAAATGAGGGGAGGGATGAAGAGGTGGTCACAAAAGCGCCCCTTTCCGTCTAAAGACAGGGTTCAAATCACATTTTAAGGACACAAATTCCTTAAATTAAAAGAGAAATGTTTATACAAACTAAAACACTAAATGAATGAGAGGAATTGTCCCAAAAGTCTCTTCAAGCCAGTTGTGGGTTCATCGGATATTGTAAGTTGAGAATGGAGCCGGTGGAAAACTATATCTGTGCAATGACCATGACCATGCCATTAATTCTATTCTTTGAGAGGGTTGAGCTTACGATAAATCAATGCCATGTAGACAAGTCAAAAGAGCTCAGTTGCTTTTACAGACCATCCTCCTACATTTATTCCTTGGGCTCACAACCATTTCCTTTCAGAGCTCAGCGTCCTGGAAAAGAAAATATGACTGGAGAGCCCAGGAGTTAATCCATCGGGAGAAAAGCACCAGAAAAATATGATTCATAGGCTCAAATTTACTGGCACACATATCTTATTTGAATCAAAGAGAATCCAGACAGATGAGAAGATAAAGTGAGTCTGTGAAATTATCATGCATTACAAAAACACAGTATTTGTATGGTAGTTTTAATGCTTCATCAACATAAAACACAGTACAAACCTTCAAAGTATATCAGAATAACAGCATCTCCTTGAGCGTATAACTACGTTTTGTCTGACAAACAAACAGCACTCCAGTAAACAACAGATAAATGCAGATAATGGTTTTGAAAATGTATCTGGACAAGATGAAATGTGACTGGCTGTGTCTAAACACGACATTGTGCTTTCTGATGACTGTGCCTCTGATGCTGCAAAAAAAAAAAACCTACCGAGTGGCAAATGAGGAAGGAAGAACATTTAAAAAATGGCAGGGAGAAAGGTTTGCAGACAGGGTGAAGACATGAGGGAAAGTGGTAGAAACAGGGCAGTGGAGAGGAAATGGCAAAGGAGAGCAGGGAACAGGTCTTACTTACATGAGGTGGGAAGGGTTGCAGGGTGGGGATACCCTCCTCTGGGTAGGGAGATTCCCCTTTAGGGAGATAGGGCTTCAGGCCTGAGCCGGTCTCATACATAGACATGGGCCGACTGGCCCGCGCAGACTGCCGGCGTTTCAGGGCTGAGGGGCTGGAGGGGTCGGGGTAGTCTGAACCGCTGGGGATCTGATAGATATTGGTTGTGACCTGCCGCCTGAGAGAGATGTTCTCGCTTTGCAGAGATTGTAGCTGGAAGAGACGGTCAGCAACACACTAAGAGGTGCTCTCAGCAAAGCAAGCTTTGTTCCCTGTTCTGATCCACTTTATCTTTACAGCATAACATATCAGCCTTTATCCCATTGTTGCTCAAAATATTCATATTATACCTGACAGCCTGCTACTGACAGCATGCTTAAAGTCTTTTAATTCTGCCAAGGATTTCATTCGGCAGGAATAAAACATCTGTGGGCATCATATTATAAAATTGGAGAACATAACTTTTGATTTTTTGTTATTCCCATGATATAGAAAGTTCAGTTAATATTTGGAATGTTGTATTGGCGAGTACGAGTGTCTGTGCACTGATCCGATACCACGTAATTTATTAGCCCTGAAACGGGACCCGGCTACTTCCCAGCAGTCCCGTTTTTTTCCAGAGGGTAGTGAAGTCATAACCCGCCCTACACTGACCCTGACAAAGGGTTTAACCTGAGCCAGGCCATACAACAATGATAGCAATCATACAGGCTTAACACGTGTGTATCGGATCTGTAGTTTGTATTGGCCAATATGCAAAGTTCTCTATTTACAATGACTTACAGGGAAACTCATGTCTCGTGGTTATGAGCTGACAGAATACTTACTTGAGCTCAAGTATTAGAGACATGCCTGAGAACGTCTTCCCATAAATATCATCTTAAGCTCTCCTTTAATATCCATCAAACTGACCATAAGTGGGATTTGTTACTGAACCTCCTAATATCATAGGAATAACATGAATTTTGTTTTGGGGGGGAAATTTTCTCTTGGTCTGAAAAAAAATGCAAAGCAAGTGATAAGCAAGCAAAAGATCGTTGCATAGGTCAGCAACACAGGTGCAGTTAAAGATGTAGCCACAGTACAGACGGATTGACTCAAGAATTGTGAGAGGATAAGAGGGCATTCAAGAATGAACAAAATCAAGACGATTTTGTCAAAGATATATCAGGTTGGGTGAAGAAAAAACAGCCTTAATTAATTAAACTACCTGCATTTAGTGCAAAGTAAATGGTAGATCTTGTGTACTGGTCAGAGTAGTATGGTTTAGTTACTAACCCTCTGACATAATGACATAATTATTCCAATTAAAGTGGAGAGAAAACTACATTAAAAATATGGTGTGCACATTTTCTGAATTATACTTTTTAAAGGGCTACTACAATGTGTCATCACAAGCCACATGTCCTGTTTTCTCCTCATCTTCATCTGAATGTGAGCTTTTTTTAAGAATCTGTTCAACCGTAAACTAACACAACACCAAATCACATCACCAAAAACAGTACAGTACGCTACAGTGCTGTATGTCTACTGCAGGGGAGCGTCACAAGTACCTCTTGTGTGTAACCAAGAGTCATACAAACAGAAAATAAGAGAGACAAATGATCTGCATGCTCCTTCCAAACAGCCAAATTAAAGCAATTTTAACATAAGAAGAAAAAAAAAAACACAAGAAAATTAAAGCTTTAACATGCTTAGAATATCTGTGGCCAAAAATTATCATTTTCAAAATATTTTGGGTCATACATTGGTGCAGAATCTTAACAGTGTCACGTCTATAAATCAGCAGTTAGATGTAACAGAGTAACAGTATTCCAGGTTTGTATCAGGTGCTCTCTATAAAATACCTATGAAATGTAAACCACTTAGAAAATAAAGTCAAACAATAAAACGTACTAAAGGAAATCATCCAAAAACATTCTATGCAGTAAACACAGTATATGTGATGAAGCAAGGCACACACATACAATTTCAGTTAGTAACTATATGCTATGAAGGGATTAAAAACCACTGTCAATTACTTCATGCTTTTTTTTCTTAAAACATGCTTGTTAGTAACATTAGACAGAATAGATTTAACTCTAATTTATTTATTACAAAAAGGGGGATTCAACTTTTGTTATTAACTGGAGTAAGGGTGCATTTCTTTTTCTCAAATCCAGAAAACAAACAAACAAACAAAATAAATCTCCAGTTTACAATTCAAGTTATGAAATGGAACATGCTGGCCAAAACAGAGGGTGGACCAGCAGGGTGTCGCAGCAGCCTTATCTTGCAACAGAGCATTCCTATTCAGATAGCCCGGCCCTCATTACAACCCGCAGGGCTTCCACACCAGAGATCGATCACACTGGGCACTGCTGACCACTGTGGCCCCCCCTCAGTCCGGCCCCCGGTGTTAGTGATCTTATTGGTGCAGCGCGGGGGATACCTTTTTCTGCATCAGCCTCAGCTCATCACTCAGGTTGTTGTTGGCTTTCATGAGGTGCTGGACCTTGGCTTCAGAGGCAGAGAGTGCGTTTTTCACCTCCATGTATTCGTGCATAGTGATGGGGCCGTCTGAGAGGTCCGAGTCCAGGCTCTGTTGGAGAGAGGGGTTAAAATACGACACGGCGAAGGCACCTAGAGAGAGGTGTTTTCGTTCGTCAAAGTGATGCCACGAGATACCTTGGTCCTATCTCCTTTGCTCGAGGGGAGCTCTTGATCTGTATCCTCATCAGACGCCACGCTATCGTAGTCAGGCTGGTCATTGTCCTGGCTATCACTACAATGCCTAACACTCTTCAGGATAAATTCAACATTGTCTGGAATGAAGGGACACACAGTGGAAGAGTTACTGCGTATCTGTGCGACACTTCATAGTCAAAGGGATCTTGGAATAAAGTAACAAGTTACTCACCTTTGGGGCTGACTATTGAATTCCCTTGTTGTCTGCGCTTTGCATCACTTAATATGTCGATCACAAGAGTTGCAAATTCATGTGCATTGAATCTTGCGAGCTTCTGGCGCCCCTAAAAAAGAAAAACAAAGTCAAATCTGCAGCAATCTAACTTCAAAGTAAATACGCGCAGCAGGAAAGTGTTTGAATGGGAGCTCTGGAAAGCGGACTCGCCTGGTTTCGTGTTGATGAATACTCTGGATTCACAGGAAGGAAAGGCACCACAGTCGTCTCTGTCACCAGCGTGCTGTGATTCTGTGTAGCCAACCACACTACAAATAATAGGATAGGAATGAGACCAGCGGTGTCAGGTTTAGAGGACATTATAGGTGCAACACCAGTGGAGGTTTTAAAGTATCAGTGAGAGCTTTTACTGGATAATTCTACCGCACCTGCATCAGTCTCTCGCCGGTCCACCTCATCATACACATCCATGGCGAGCTCCTCGAATAAATGGTTACTGAGCTGCATGAAAATTAGGAAATTACACTTAGTCAGACTTAAGTAAAAGGGAGAAAAGAGAGCTCAGTACAGTGACTCTGAAAAAATACTTACAGACTGCAGTTTCTTCTTTGCTGCCTTGGCCAGTTCTGACAAATCTAAACTGCTACAGACAGACAATAACTTTCATAAACACATGCAACATATAATACAATTACAATTTGTAATACACACATCATTATGAGTGATACTTACATGTTCCTTATCCATCAAAAGAGAGCAGGAAAAAGATCAAATGTATCATTTTAAAGTGAAAAAGCACAATGACTATTCTACAGCGGCTGTGATTGCAATCTGAGCTGAAACATTTGTTTGGAATTCTAATTTTTTTGCAGTTTTTTGGGTATGTTAACTACTTCACTGGGTCTGTTTTCTCTGACACAGATAACAGATGCTGCAGCAATCTCAACAGCGTGTCCAAACAGGCCTCAGAGAAAAAACACAGCGGTAAACAAGTGCCTCGCTGCACTCACTTTGCTGCTCAGAGTGAAGTTAAACTCATTCACTTAGACACGTGTTAATTCACAGACAAATCACTTAATGTCGACGTACATCATGTTACAGCTTATGCTTTCTTACCTGTCAGCCATCTGTGGAACAATGAAGTGCTGACCGTTTTTATGATCTGAAAGGAACAACAACAACAACGTTCTGGATGACTGCCAACAACATCATCGATACTTATGGGGAATGTAAACACTTTCTATTAGGCATGATTTAGATATAGAACATAATCAGTATTCACAAAGCGAATTAAATACTAGGAGCAGTTGGTTTTTTTCCTGCTTGGATTGTCACATAGGTGAAATCTATGTGCAGAGACTTTTTCACTCTGTGAATGTGCGTGCATGTGTGGTTTTTCACTCCAACCACACATGCACACATTCACTGACCCATATTTTTAAATAGTTGAATTACATATCTGTCTCACTGCTTACCTGGCTTTCTCCCACACAGGTAGAACGCCAGGCGATCAGTTAGTTCGTACTGAACCTCCACCAATCTGTCGGCCAGGTCATGGTGGCCAGCTTCCCTACAAAGACACAAGTTCAAAAGCACTATGTAATACTTCAAAGGCCCATAAGATCTTGTGTTTGAATTATAGAAGATAAATGAAAATAGCTGACCTTGCATAGTCAATGGGAGTTTTGCCATTGCTGTCGGGGGCTCCGGGATCTGCCCCATAAACCGTTAATAGTTCAGCCTGAGATACTTGCCCTGCCTTTGCAGCTACATGCAACGGAGTGTTTCCTTTTTCCTAGAGGAGAGGTTGAGTACCATGACAAACCAATATGATCTAAAATCAACAGAAAAGTAAAAAAGCGAGGATGAAAATGTTTTAAGTACAGCAGGTGAATCTTACGGGGTGAAAAAAATTTGCTTGTGCTCCCAGGGATAGCAACCTCAGACAAGTCTCGAGATTCCCGGTCCGTACACTTGAGTGAAGTTGCTGAAAAGAAAAGGCAAGTATCATTATGAATTAATAAAGCTTTGCACAAGAGCATGTTGCAGCATTCTCCTAATCACTGTGAACAGCTGTTTCTCCTCACCTTACTTAAATCCTTGGCTGTTGAGCTGTCATCCTCCCGGCAAGGCATGCGATGGACAAATGCCAGCATTTGATATTTGGCTCTGATAAACTCTGATTTGTTCGGGCTTTTTTGGGACAGTGTGAAATGTGGAGGTTCAAACAGAAAGAAAGAGGCAGCCGGTGAGTGAGTGGCACATGCTAAACTTGGACGCTCAACAATCAAATTTTTTTGCTTATTAAATAGACTATAGAGAACAAGAACTCACTGCAGTTTGTCCTGAGGGTTGGCCTTGCGTTTTCCACTCAGCACAGATGCAGGGTCCAGAAGAGAGTGCTCCCATATTGAATTTGCACCATTGCTGTATAATGTCTGAACCATCTAGGGGGAAATGAAAAAAGAAACCTGTAAAACGTGTCCCATTGATTTAGACTGCAGAATGCTGACTGGCAGTTCCCTTCCTGAACAAGCACTTTCTATATTCGGACAAAATCAATGCACCTCAGTGGGATCTGATGTACAACTGTCAACACATTGAGCAAAGATAGAGGCCTGCTGAATATTATACTGCAGATTGTGTGCAAAGATAACGTGATCTCGAGGCGTTTCAGGAGCAACAACTCAGCCTCTTCCTGTCCTGTCCTGTGTTTTTACCTGCAGCTGCGTGGGAGGCCACGGTGTGTGCGTCAGGTGGCGGACTTGTGAGCTGTGTCTGCCCAGACTCCGATGAACGCTGCAGCACTCATCGCAAATCAACACCCCCCTGTTCACCGAGGCCCAGCGAGGCTCTGGGAAGGAAGAGAAAACCACAAAGTGAAAATCAAGACACTTGCAGAGATCTAATTGATGACTCACAACTGATGACATAACGAAATGTCATTTAAGGAGTAGCTAAAAGTACAATATTGTATCCTGCAGCTCTCACAGGTCTGATTTACTCTCTCTTTAGCTGTAGATATTCTCGGCAGTCAGTTAGAAAGCTATCACAAGTCATATCCTCTCTTTACATTCATAACCATTTTTCAAGTCACTGACATGATGCTAATGTGAGTCGTAACACCCCACTTCTCCTTTTTCTCTGTTCCTCGCTGACAGGAGCCTGGGAAACTCTTGCTTATGGTGTTGAAACTACTACAGACAGGTGTTTAAAGGATAAGGCTCGCAGCACCAAATCCAGGATGATAATCCATGACTGAAAATAGTCCATAACAAACATTATCATATTTCTGACCTATTTCTAAAAAATGTACGTCTTCATTAAAAAGACTGGGGGCTGATTGGGGGTGAGTGCCACAGACAGAGAAGGAAAACGTCCTGAAAGAAATACTAAGAAATTATTGGTTTTGGTCTTTTCATGAGATTTTTTTGACCATAAAGAAAATACAGCATGATGCCACTCTTGTCCTTTAAAGCCTCTGAGTCTAAGTGTCCAGCCCAGACCACCTGGACACATTATTTAGGCTAATGTAACACAAACAGTTAACACAATGTGGGGCACAACAGGCCTCGAGCAAGCTCTCAGACGACATGCAGACAAACACAATTTTAATAGAAGCCAAACCCCCAGTGGGCAGTAGCAACGGTAGCCATAATAAGCATTTATGGCCTTTTTGGAGCCCAGATTTAGGTGAAGCTATGCATTGTCTAAAAAGGAAGTGAAGACAAGCAGTTGTAGGTTGAAGCACCTCAACCTTATTGTTGAGCAACAGAGCGGCTTCCTCTTTCAAAACACAGCAAAAAAAAAAAATAAAAAAAATGAAAGAGAAATGCTATCAAGAATGTGAGTGCAGCATATTCAGGAAATGCACGGCGTTAGAAACTGAGACAGAGTGCACTTACAGGATACAGAATACACTGCGACCAAAATAAATATGTTTACTTAACCTTGACCTATTTAGCATACTTTACCTAACACAAATGTCAGAGTTGTGCCGTCTGCCGTTTATGGGCGAGACTCTTCTGGCAGCAGACATCTCAAGACCAAAAATACTGTAAATTCATATGACACTCTTGATAGCTATTAAACTGTTAAGCAGATTGAGTGTCTGGCACTGTGACAGGACGGACAGTGAAGACTGTGAGTGTCTTAGCAGCAGCTGAGGTGTATGGGGAACAGCTGCTGGGGGTTGCTGGTCAAGTTCTGGTCCCTCGTTTTTCCAGCGTCTCCTCCTAATTTACTCCCCACCAAGACCTGAGAGATGGTGCTGACATGCCTCTTTTACCCTTTCCTCGACAAGTGCTGCTAAATTTAATACCACATCTTGAAACTCTAAAAATATTCACACCCAACAACTGGTAACAGTTGTACGGAGGGGCAACCCAGGCCAGCTGCTGTGGAGACCTGAGGGCTTTAACTGGTTGGAATAACATGATGAGAGACAAGGTGCTGAATATTTAACATACTCGTCATTGTTTTTCTTGATTATCTTTGTGCAATAGACAAGATTTTTTTATTTTCTCTCTCTCTCTCTTACAGTTATAACACGTGTGTTGGTGCCACGGTAGAAAAAAAGGAATCTCTTCTGCACTGAAACCATGTGGTCAATTCACTGAGCATCCTGTTTTGCTTCCTGTGCCTGCTTAAAAACATCACGTCATTTCTATATAAATGGGACTTGAAGTGTGTGACACCTGATGCAACTATTACTTCTTCGGCTTTCCCAGAGACGTTTAATGACTGTACGCTTAATTTAAATTTCTTGATCGTCCTTAATACGATTTAAAACAGACAATCTGTTCGAAGATGCTGGTATTTCTCCGAGGTTATGTAACACACACAGGATTAACTTGTCTTCAGTATTTGATCTGGACTAATAAATCTGCTACCAATCGACGCAGGCATTACACTGAAGAGTTCAATCTGACAGTTTTTTAGATTTGGCTTTAGGATGTAAAAGGTTATTTCTGCTTTTCACTTCACTTTCTTCACAATATTAAAATAAAAACATACTTATTTTTCCGTAATTCACAGGATCAGTGGAGGAAAAATCCAGACTATTAAGAGTTTTGTCATTCAATCACTCCTCGTCAACAAAAGTTCAGTCTTACATTGTCGACATGGGGTTGGGGTTTTCTTTTACTACCAACATCCCAGTGTGGTGTACAAAGAAGCACCATGACTGGAGACCACTGTACCCACTGACTTTTTCTGAATGATGCAGTCATCCTAGTTGAACTTCAGACATGCCAGAGAGCTTACACAGCAGTTTCCTACTGAGCTGAGATGATATTTCATATAGGGGTGATTACATTTCTAATCTGCTGGAAACGTCTGCATGTCACTGACATTATTTCTAATGTACAAAGTGTTTGATACCTGGGACGATGACGAACCTGTGAGATTACACCAAAAAAAACGCCTGCCTGATTATTTAGAGCAAAGCCAAAGCTTCCCCAAGAGGCCTTCTTGATTTTAAGGAACGTAAGAAACTCAAATAGGCCTGTATGTCAGCATTTTGTTCATTTCTGTTTACAAAACTTAAATAAATTGCATTTTTTTTTTTTAAGTTTAGACTATTACTTCTGCTAAACAGCCTCGTCCTGCATTAGAGAAGTAGTTAAAACAACAAAAGATGAAGTGTCAGGGCGAAGAAAACACTGCACTTGTAAATGAAAATAAGCCTACTGTAATAATAGTTTGAAAAAAATACATAATACAGAGAGAATTGTATTAAAAGACCCTAAAAATATCCGGAAACCTGCATCTCTGGCACAATATTACCACGAAATAATCTACTAGAACTTCCCACAGTTATTGTGTTCACTACTCAGGTTCATTGTACAGTTTATTATTGTTGCATTGAATATACTGTAATTTCAGTCAAGGGGGTCGCCAGTAAAAAGACAGCTGCTTTCAAGTCTAATTGGATCCTCAGCAACTGAGCTATAACGTTAGAGACCTGTCAACAGCAATATCTGACTACTTACTGTGAAGAAGAAACAAGCACTGATAATCTGATTTAAGCCCGGGGAGTGAAGTGCAAGGCTTCAAACGTCAGGGAATAAAACAAACAGCTAACAGCTAAAAGACTTTTGCAGGGAGAGTCTGAATTTGCTTACCGGGAACATTGCAGTCGGCGCAGAGCTCAGTGTTTCGCAGGCGTTTCGACATCCTTTACTGGAGGAAGAAATAAAATAAAGACTATCTCCGTTACGTTATGCTAACCATTGATTACTATGTGTGTGTGTGAGTGGTTGAGGAGGAGGAGGAGGAGGAGGAGGAGGTGGGGGTGCCTTCCGCGTTAGCTTAGACCTAGCTAATTAAATAATAAAAAAAAACAACAACACAAACAAACGACCTGCTACTTCATTCAACTGTTGCTACCCTTTTCCGTTTTGGGGCTACAGCCATTATAACGTCGCCCCCAATAGACTTTAAGGTACAATGCTGCCTTTGCCTGCAAGTTAGCGGACTTATTAGCACCTGATTAGCCAAGTAGCCTGTGGTCGTTTGGTAGTTTGCTGTTCAGTCTCTGGTAGACTGCACAGAGCTGCACAGAGCTGCGCAGAGCTGCAGCATTCCCAGTGGCAGCTGCGACTGTGACCTACTCTGCGTGGGTACAGCGTGCCCCGGGGTGACGCCTTCTCAGGATGTAAACTAGTCCCCCATTGTCGCTTGCGTGAGCTAAAGCTAAACCAGTGTTTTTGTTTTTTTTGTGTACAGCTACGGTTAAGAATAAAATGTAAATATTGGTTGAGTTTTGCTGTAAGTTTGGGCGGTTTACAACCTGATAGACTTAACTGAGGGTATAAGATAACACAAAGTACAAGAGGTGAGCTTGATCTATTCACCTTTGTGACACGGTACATAAAAGTACGTTTTAAAATGCAACTAATAATGGGACGAAGCGTACTGGAGTCCCACCCATTGGTGGTAATCTATTAAAACACGTTTTGTATATCAATATTACGAATTTACTTTTACATAAATTAACATATAAACAACTCAACACGGGTCAGAGTGGCTCAATGGACCCTTAGGTTAAAATCTATGTATCCGCAGAACAGCAAGAGGAACCAAACGAGCATATATACATAGAGCAAACCGCCACAAATTATATTATAACATTATGTGATTAATATGGTTTAAAACTACCAAATATCTTGTGTATATATAATTACACTGTCACATGCTGGCGGTAAAGGTTAAGGTATTAAACCTCCCTGTCCCTCCCCTTCCCGAAACGTAAAGACGCCGATCTCATTTCCACGTTGTAGGGGACAACAGTCTGGATATAACATTTATACGTTTGTTTTGTTCATTTTCGCAGGACAAAATTATTGTTAAACTCAGTTATTTATATAACACACTGAATACATAAAAGTATGACAGGGAATCATGTTTATATATAGGAGTTGTACTTTGAATGTTTTGCGGATATGTGGAATGGTTCAGTCCAACTGGAACCGACTATTCTTTTTTTTTCCTCTAACGTCGATGGTTTTATTTACGAATCATCTTTCTGTCGTCTATCAACCAAATAAATAATTATTATTAGACAAAATATAAGTTAAATTTTAAAGGAAATCGGAAAACTACCTTAATTAGATGAAATTAATTAGATTGTGATTAAATTTCTATATAGGACACCCCTGTCATTACTGAATACTACGCCTGGCACTTCCTTGTTCAAAAGTTTTATTTAGAGGAAGGCTTGAGGGAAAAGTTGGGACACCGGTTTGGATATTTCGACGTTGTTGTGTCCAATATTGAAGACATGGCTCATATCAATCGTACAATTTGGCACAAGTAGCGTGTGTGTGTATCGCAGTTGTTATTTCTTCCCCATGGCTGTAGTTATTAGAAGCGGGCTAACGTTGCACTGAGCGGCCCCGTGAAGAGGAAGATGTCCACGGCTAACGTTAGCGACAACCTCCGAGTGAAGTTTCCTCTGCACGCCGCAGTGTGGGAGAATGACTACAGGAAACTGGAAGAAGAAATAGCACAGGTTGGTAACACACCTATGCCTTTCACAGTTAATGCTTGCTAGTTTACACGAAGCCGGGAGAGAGATGTTAAATCTCCGTAGCCATCCAAGATAAAGTAGGCCAGTCGTGTTGACAGATGCTCCGTAGTGTCACACTCAGAAAACACTTTATAATATCAGTGAGGGGGGGAAAAACACAGCTAATTCACTTATCAACAGGTTTCGAAGTTGATTTAAAAACAAAATGTATTCTAATATAGATTAATTGTCTGTTTTCCAGTTGTTAATCCAGGCTGCTAAACCCAATGCAATGGATTATCTTATCATCTGACCAGGAATGATAACACCAAAAACTGCTTTACCTAATACAATGTTAATGTTTGTGTTAGCTGACAATGTACAGACTGCAGGGCTGCACGATTCATATTAATGTTATTGAAGTTGCAAGAAGCTGCACTTGTTTTTGATGAAGGTAAAATGTGTGATAAATGGTATTATAATGATACTGTAGTGCTGCAGAGATGTCCTGTTATACAAATCTTGTTTTCCAGAAGTAAACATGTTCGTTTTCTTCATCATGATTTTAATAGTTGTTCAAAATTAAGATTATTGAGACTGAGATTTAAGATATGTCATATGATGTTTTTATTATAATTTTATATTTTTTGCCCTTACAGACTGTAAAATAAACTGTGCCATAATTAGAGAGTTTATAGTGTTTTATCATGTCCTGTCATCTTTACAGCGGCAGTCCAGCGTAACATGCAGCTGACTAATGTAACAAACAACAGATAACACTATTCAAAAGCATCTCTAATGTTTTTCCTCAGAGCAACTCACTACAGTTAATACTCGGTGTTGTTGCAACATAATTACTATGATGCAGTCGCTATGATTGATACTACCCAGCAATGCTGATCAATAACAGATTAACCTCAGTAGCATGACTCATATGAGGACCAGACATGATGCCCGGTCTTGTTGTCAGTGCACTGACCATATCATTATCAGTGATGACCTAAAGGTGTAAAACTATGACTCTGAGTAATGACGTGAAAGCCGTCGTATTACAAGGTTCTGCTCTTTTGTTCTTAAAACAGGTTGTAATGTCAACACTGCAGTATTTAGTCTAAACCGATGGCCTAAAGTTTCTTACACAAATAAAGCTGCAGAGGAAACACATGTGTGGGTTTCTCCCTGATTTTCCCCAGAATGACATTGAGACCGTGGATCCCAGAGGTCGGACACCTCTGCACCTGGCTGTGTCGCTCGGGCACCTGGAGTCAGTGAGAGTCCTTCTCAGACACGGCGGTGAAGTGACTAAAGAAAACGCCAAGAGTTGGACAGGTCAGTTATTAAAGACTGGCTCCATCACCAGACAAAGAATGCTACGATCCCATGAACGTTTCCTTCGCTTGTCTTACGGATATGGTTTTTGAGGATTTGTGGGTTGTTTGATCACTTAAAGCTCTTCTCAGATTAACCTCCTCGTCTGCTCTTAATGGGGTTTCTTGGAAAAATGCACATCCATTCCTCTGACTGCAGTAAAACAGTTTCACTTTCCTTTCGTTATTACCGTCATTGTTGAGGTTTTTTTTAATGGACAGTTGCCACTCCTGGGGGGCAGATGCTGTTCCCTTAAAAGGTTTAGTGGTTTGTTTATACTTGTCTGTCTCTGTAGTGCTGCAGGAGGCAGTCAGCACCGGAGATCCAGAGATGGTTCAGTTAGTGCTTCAACGCAGAGACTACCTCAAAGCCTCCACTGCTCTGGGAGGAGTGCCTGAGCTGCTGTCAAAGATCCGAGAGGTTTTACTTTTATATATTTCTCCATTGTCTCGTCATCTATGGGAATACTTACTGGCAGAGGGAATAATTGCTCTGTGTATCTTTTCATCCACAGTCTCCAGACTTCTATATGGAAATGAAGTGGGAGTTTACCAGTTGGAGTAAGTTCTTCTTTTGTGTGTGTTTGTGTGTGGATATATATCATAAAAGTAAAAAAAAATAGACTGCGTCCATGGTAACCTGTTCATGTAGTACAGGCTGGTTGTCAGCAAATCAGTGTTCATTAGGTTTAGGTTCCACATAGAACACATAATCTTTGGTAGCATCAAGTCATACAGGATAAACTACATACCTTCCTCTCAGTATTTGAGGCATTCGTTTTTTGTTCGGTAATGAACCACATTGTTTTTCATGTGCGGATGCATTTCTTTCCATTGTGGGACATTCATGTGCTGTTGTTTCACAGTCCCTCTTCTGTCCCGGGTTTGTCCAAGTGATGTTTGTCGCATCTGGAAAAGTGGCGCCAGCCTGCGAGTGGATGCCACTCTTCTAGGCTTTGAAAACATGACCTGGATCAGAGGGCGTAGAAGCTACATCTTCAGAGGAGACGGTTTGTCTTTGAACTCTCTTACACACACAGTTCCCTCTATGACTTGTACTAGTTCTGTATAATTATTTAAGTCTATTGCTGACTGTATTTTGACAGATTCATATGCAGAGTTGATGGAGGTGAACCATGACGATGAAGTGGTGGACACTGAACGCTTCAACATATCCCAAGAAATGGAGGATGTCACACTTGAGTCGATGCAGCCTGCTGAACAGGAAGTTGCCAAAAGATTGACCACTCCTATTGTCAACACCTACTTGGACACGAGGGATATTGCTTTTGAGAGGCAAGAGTCACATCTTTTTCTTTCATCCTTTTCCCCACAACACACATAGATCCAATTTCCTTTGATCAGCCCAGAACAAACTCTTTGACAATATTTGATGACAGTTGACATCTCATGGTATTTTCACACTTAATGTCATTACTCTCTGAGCGAGGTGGCTGTGTAAACAGTGATTAAATTAGGTGTCATCATTTGGCAGTGCCCTCTGGATGATATTTCCAGTATCATCCTAGCATCTAATTGTCTAAAATACAAAGGTCGTTCTACCATCAACCCTCACTCTTGCATGTTAGGTGTGTGTGTGTAACCCAGTAAACAAACAGTGTCGGGTTATAATAGATATTAATAATGTGAGCAAATTTAACTAGGCGTGTAACTTAATAGCCTGATAATATATCTTCATCTGGATAATTTACTCAAACACAGGTGACAATAAATAATTGTGTTTTCGTTACCTTTGAATGAGTTTATCTACAGAGGGAGCGGATCCTCTTCTACAGACACCACCATGTTAAAACAGTTTTTACAGTCACCCAGAACAGACAAACCAAACACTGGCCTATAATGATGCTTTTGTTTTCCCAGGAACAAGTCGGGGATTTGGGGCTGGAGAAGTGACAAAACTGAAGTGGTCAATGGATTTGAATCAAAGGTTTGCAGGCGTTACACATTTTTCTTTTAATTAAGTGTAGTGCTACTGAAAACTATGGATCTTATTTATGATAGTACGTGACATTAGATTCTGGTTGGATTCTCAGGTTTTCAGCGTGAACAACGTAAACGTGGTTATCAGGACAAGAACGGAGCATCTGACAGATGAGGAGAAAGCCAGGATAAAGAGTAGGTGGAAAATATTCTTCATGTATTACTCTGATGTCCTCTGTATATATATTTTCAGTGTATATATTGACTGAAACTGAATGAGAGTACTGAAGTTAGACTTTTTTTATTTATCAAAGGTGAAAGGAACATCTTGGAGTCTCTGCTGGGGACTGTGGAGCAGCACATAAGTGCACAGGGGGTAAGACGTGCATACAGTTATCACATAAAAAAAAAAATTTTCCCCACCTGGCAGCTGAATTACTGAACTCTGCTTCTTTCTAGGACCTGACCCTTGAGTATGCAACTGCGACCAATCCCACTGCCATCACTCCGGAGGAATATTTTGATCCTGACTTTGACCTGGGGGACAGGGACATCGGCAGACCCATTGAACTGAGCATTCGAACACAGAAGTGAGAAATGCAGCTGTATGGCTATAGAAACCTCATAGCTGTGTGTTTTCTATATCAGGAAATACATTTTCTTGTGTCATACAGGTTCAAAGGTACATTGTGGATGAGCGAGGAACATCCTCTGTCCCTGGTGGAGCAAGTGACCCCCATTATTGACCTCATGGCTCGGACCAGTTCCCATTTTGCACGGCTACGAGACTTTGTGACCCTGAACTTTCCTCCTGGATTTCCTGTTAAAATAGGTGTGACATTCTTACCAAGTTAAACTACGCTTTTAAGAAGTACATAAAGCTAAAGTACCATCCCCCCTCTCTGATATCTCTTTTTACATCTAATCTGTTGTTGCTTCCTGTCTTGCAGAGATTCCACTGTTTCATGTGCTGAATGCCAGGATTACATTCGGTAACGTCAATAAATGCAGTACTGAAGAGGAGGCGAACACAACGCCAGCAGCCACACCAACATCTTCAGGAGAAGACGAAGAAGCTGCAGGTAGGAATTCAGCCAGTTTATTATTGATTTTCACACTTAGTGCTCAATGCTCCAAAATAAGCTAACCATAAAAACAACAAATTATTGCTAGGCTTTAGAAATGCAGCCAACTTAACCAATAAATCTGACTGTATATCAAACCGTCCCTCTAGGATTTCGTGGGCTTCTTTTGGGAATTGTTGCAGCCTAAAATGTCTGATTTCATGGCAGATTTTTAAAAATAAATTGCAATGCATGTTGCAATGTATTAGGCATTTTTTTTCAATGAACTTGTGGAAGAAAGTGAAAATTGTTCCAGTGACAATAAAATCGGTAGTAGCTGGTGATGTATGGCTCAAACCTTTGCTCGGGGGACTGCTGTGATCAGTGTAACTCGTGGGAAAGTATAATAATTGGTCAAATTTGTGGAAAAGTTGCTGTAAATGGACAAAATTGCAACGTCACACAGAATTTACAATGACTTGTTGCAATTGCAACTTAATGGAAGAACTAATTAAAGTATTTACACGTCTGTGTTTCCTCTGTCCAGCACTGCCTCCGTTTCAAGTGTGTCCTTCAGTGTTTGAGGTGCCTGTCAGTTACCACCGCCGAGGAGGCAGCCGACACACTCCCGTGTCCAACAACGACGAGGAGCTTTTGCAGTACGCCATCCACCAGAGTCTGCTGGAGTCTCGCAGAGGCCCGGGCCAGGTCAGAACAATCATCACTTAATGAGCTCACCACACACAGATCTGTTCATTTCCCCCACATGCGCTCCTTTATATTGCGATCTGCCGCATCCTTTAAATGCTCCTGATGTTTGTGTCATTGTAGGAGGGAGGTTGGGATGACACTGACGGGGATCTCACTGACGTTATGCCCAGTAGCCAGAGCGACAGGTAGGACCACAGGTTAATGTTGCTAGCATAGCAGTTACACAATTTAATGTGGTAAAAGGAACAGTCCTGTTCACCTCTTGTATGTGTCAGTAAAAGGCCACAGACCAGAGCTGGTTCTCACTTTCCCCGTGTCACTGTTATTCTAGGAGTATCCCAGAGGGGGTGCTGGTGGAATACGGAGACAGCCCTAGCCCTGCCAGCTCCCACTCCACCTCTAGCCCCGACACAGAGCTCCGCCTGGCCATGGAGCTCTCTGCACGAGCTCAAGCGGAAGAGGAGAGGATGAGGAAGCAGGAGGAAGAGGAGCTGGAGAGAATATTGCAGCTATCGCTCACTGAGAAGTAAAAAAAAAAAAAAGGAATAAGAGGGAATAATAATACAACTTTTTTCAGATCCAGAAGCAACCACCACACCTCAAATTTTTCCTTCCTAACCACTGTAGTCATCTATGCAACCGCAGATTTCTTTCTGTAACAAATCATTCTTGCACAGGCAATATCAGACTCTCGGTATCCAATATTTTCCAAAAGGTATTTTTGGTAAGAGCATACTCCTTTTTATATATTTCTATCTCAGCATAGTGTGTCTCCATCCTCAAGCTTAATTCGTGGACTCTTTGAGATCATTTTGAGTCTGTTCTTTCCTCGGTTTTTCCGAATCCGAATCACAGCAGCAACCCACGTGTGTTGATCAATGTTGTTGTCCGGAGTGGGGTCAAATCAGTGTAATTAAGGTTCTATGAATAACAATGTTTGGCTACTCAAGGTGACTTCATGTAGTGCTCGCACTCAAAATGTGACACTTAAAGTCCAGAGCGCTGTTGTTCTGTTTATTATCGCCTCAGTCTCTGGTTTTTAAGGAGCTAGAATGAAAACAACCTAGCACAATACAAAGCTACTAGCACTGCAGACCTAAAGGTGCAGATTTGAGTGTTTTCACTATGAAGTCTTCCTACAAGAGTTATTTGTTGAGTACCGTGGGTTTCACTGAATAACGGAAATCTCAGGGTTCCAATTTTACACACTTTCGCTTCACTTTGGAATTAGTTTGTTAAATCAGTTGTTAAACTACCGGAAATTGTAACTTGGTTTCTTTGGTGCGAAATGGTTTCACTCATGCATATCACTCTATGCCATATTGATATTAATTCGGAAAGTTTGCTCCATTGAGTCAAAAGTTAATAAGTAATGAATGAATCATAATGCGTTTCCTCGTACTTTGTGAATGTACAGACTCAAACAAAAGCATGTTGCTGTGAGAGGAAGTTTGCTGCAACGAGGATGGAGTTTCAACTTTCCCGGCTCGATTACATTTTTAATAGCAAAGACCAGTCTGTCTGTGGAATTACAGCCGTCATGTAGTTAAGAAGCAGTCACACAAACCATTGCTGCAGAGATTATTCAGTTTCCTGAAGGCAATCTGTTTGCCTTTTGTAGCCACAAACAACTCTACACCTCCGAGAAGAAGAAAATACAGCACAGACTCAAAGATCAAGCATGCCCGCCATATGTAGAATTAGTTTCTTCAGCATGTGCCAAGGGATTGCTTTGCTCTGACAATGCTTTTGTCTGGGCAGGAGGGACTGACAGAAATATGATGTGCCACTCAGACTAAACCTTTGAACTGATTTTGTAAAATTTTGTAACTTAAAAACACGATAAAGAGGTTTCAGTCGTACTAAGGTGATGCTGAGTTACATGCATTAACCACTATAGTTGATTTCACTGACAACCAACCACTTATCCAAGGTCTCTCTGCGTTGCCGTGTCTGACTTTCAGGGGCTTCAGCTGAAAAAAAGGACTAACTATAACTATCAACTTTCCAAACTGACTGAACAGTCGACTTTAAAAAAAAAAACAAAAAAAAAAAAAAAACAGGCTGGCTTTGGTTAATTTAATGCAGATCTTTGTAATGCACCGTTCCAGCTGCAGAGGTTTTTTTTAATATGTTAAAAATTTTAAGAAAAATGTGTCTGTTTCTAAATGTTGTTTCTAAAATAAAGCACTTTATTTCCATGAGGATTAAACGTGACTTTGTGCATGAGATTTATTTACAAAAGCTGGTAACAAGGGAGACAACCTGCTGTACTTCATGTAATGAGTTTGATATGTCCATATATAAAACCAGTGGGTCTCTTTACGTGGTCAGTGCAAGTGTTGACCTCTTGAAGACTATATCTGCAGTGAATAGCTGCTAGCTATGGTAATATCAGCCCTAACAGCTGCACTCTACATATAGCACATAATCAAGGAATACAGTGCAGGACACAAGGCTACTGGAAGAATCAGTCATAAAAATAGATGTCATTGTGGTCTAAATGATAAAAATAGAATGGGAGCCAGTTTTAATTGAAAGATTTCTATTAACAAGCTGACTTCTTCCATCTATTATTTTAGTTGTGTGTTCGACCTGTAGTTCTCTGTTGACAGTTCATTTGTAGATCTCCTTTTTCCACCTCCATCTGACTAATCAAACACAGAACAAAATGATAGAAACCCACAGATTTATTTTAGTAGGAGATTTTCACATGTAGGGGGAAAATTTGAGTCATTACTTGATCTTAACTTGCACAGAAACCTTAATCAACATTATTTCCAATGATGATTGGAGCAGTGGTTCTTTTTTTTGTCAGCTTAGTACCGCTGATGAGTGCAATACATTTTTGGTATGAAAAAAATACTTGAGAGGGTACAATATGCATGCAGCAATATATCATTGTGAACGTGATTTAATTTGTTGCATTCTTTGAAAATAGCAATATTGAACTTACATTTACAGTATTTTTTATTGAACTTACAGTATAAATAGTTTACTATTTATTTATGACTGATAATCTTTAAATGAAACCTCACATATCCCCTGCAGTACGCCAGCATACCCCCCTTTGAGAAATGGATTAGAGCAACTTTGAAATACTACTTGTGGACTAAACAACAAATTTCCTTTTTTTAAAGGCCAATAAGACAATAAAATACACCTCCTTACAACATTTCCTTAACCTTTAGTAGTTGTTGATGTGTCACACAATCAAATATATAAAAATAAATAGCCCTATAGTTAATTTTAGAAGATTGATGAGCAGGTTTAACCGATACAGATTTAAGCATCGACAGCTCTCTCCCTTTGTAATGCCACTCAAATGTATTTAATGTTTGAAGGCCTGCAGACTTATTGACCAAATTTCCCTTCAGGACAGGCTAATAAGACAAACACATGGCCTTAAAAGTGGAAAAAAATACAAGTAATTACAGCATTTACTCCAAATAAATAACAAGTAAAATAGCAAAGATTATTGGCAGTAAAGGTAGGCAGATCATTTATAACAACCCCTTTACAGAAGCCATTTTAAATTATATAAATAAATAAATAAATAAATAGGTGTAATCTTAAACAACCTGCTTTCATGACAAATGAAACCCCAGTTAATAAATAACTGAGCAGCCTGGGCTCGGTTTCCCCTCAGTTCAGTCTGGCAGGAGGTGGTCTTGGTACCGGTAGGGGGGGCTCTGAGCTCCTCGGTGGGCTCAGTGCAGGTGTCGCTTTGCACCGGGCTGGACTAAAGGTCTTTATCTCTCGGTCCTCGGGAACAGGTTCACCGACGGGACAGCGGTTTGTAGACACACACAGCCATTATGATCATCAGCAGCAGCAGGACTGCGAAGACACTGCACAGCATGACTGTGAGGAAGAGGAGGAAGAAGAAGAGGAGGACACAATCTGTAGCAGCCGATCACAGCCAATAACAACAGACAAAACATGCGCTCTCAGATGGTGGATTAACCCGCTGTTATTGGCTTTAACTCAACTCTGTCTTTAGCGGTCAGTTGTCCCCTCTAGAATAAAGACAACAAGATGATTCTTGAACTATAAACCGCTTTAAAAGGAGCATCCCTGCCTGCACTGATACAGGCCTGCTGTTACTTCCCATCGGGTCTCACCTAAATTCTGTTTCTGTAAATTCACATAAGCTCTCTCGGTCAGTCTGGAGTCCTCCGGTTGTCCGTTAACTAACACACTAAAACACATTATTACAGCTTGTGGGATGAGGAGCAGCATCATAGCGGTGGAGGCTGGAGGAGGATGAGGAGGAGGAGGATGAGGAGGAGGATGGTGGTGGTGGTGAGGAGTTTCTTCTTCCGCTGGAGGATCTGGGTCCTAAGGCCGTTGAGTTATTGGAATGACAAGATAGGATAAGATAGACTTTATTGTTATATTCACTTGTTACAGCAGCTACAGATAGAACATAGAGGATAAGAAAACAAGAAATACACATTAAATAACAAAATGAAATAGAAAAATACAAAATGTCAAGAACATTTTTATTAATTGTTTTATTACTTTTTGATTTTACTTTGGTGATTTAAGTTAAAATAGAATATTGCACAGGTTACAGACGGATGCAACAATAATATAGCAGAAACATATAGGCTAGACGTAAGAAATTATATATATATATGTAAGAACTATACTCTTGGAGCTAAAACAATTGGTTGCTTAATCAATTTGTCAATCTTCAGAAATTGGCAGCTATTTTTATTAAGAGATACATTTTTGGAAACACTTTGTTTTATGGGTCAATGATTTCCTGGACAGATGTGTGTAATTTGGTGCTGTTAAAGTAAATACAAATGAATATTGTTATTCTATTTTTTGCCATCTTATGCCATCTGGGTTAAAGTAGCAGTTATTAAAGGTCCAGAGCCGCCATGTTTCTACAGTAGCCCAGAATGGACAAACCAAACATTGGCTGTAGATAGGGCCTTTTGGTATTTTTTGAGAGCTTTGTAGCCACCATAGTTTCTCCTCCACACATCAGTGCACGTTCTCATTTGCAGGTTATAGACACTAGAGGTGTTCAGTTAGTTGCAATCCACAACTTCACCGCTACATGTCACTAAGTCCTGCAGCCTTGGTCCCACTGGAAGCTGTCTCTTTATTTATTCCCTTTGACTTCAGTACTTTGTATTGATTACTAGATATAGCAACCTTTCTCATGGCTAATGTTAATCTCATAATGATGATAACTAAATATGCAAGAGAAGTCTTACATGTCACTGGTTGTGACACCGGGCTTTTATCCTGGATGGGCTAAAAATCTGGGGAGTAAATTAAGAGCATTTTCTCCAGGAATCACTACACAACTGATTTAGCCTGTAATTAGTAGGCCACCAAATTATACAGTTATTTTGAGGAAACTGTCTTGGAAATTACTCTGAAATTAGGGACCTGTGAAATCAAACACTGCCAGTTGTTTTTAGCAAAAGTGCCAAAGAAATTCACAGTTACTGAAATGTAAATATTTGTCAGTTTTCAAACCCCACTATGATAGTTATATTTATAGTAGTCATTTTGAGGGTTTGAGATTGTTAGTTGGACTAAACAAGCTATTTGGAGGCATCAGTTTGGGCTCTGGAAAGCTGTGAATGTGGCATTTTTTACATTTTGTGAACCCAGTGATTCATCAATTAATCGAGAAAATAATGGCATAATCAATAATAAAAATAATCTCTAGTTGCAGCCCTACTGACCGCATCACGCTTGTGGTCATGTGGTGCACATATTGGATTAATTATTGATTAATCTGCAGATTATGTTCCCGGTTAATGGTTTAATTGTCTATAAAATGTGAGGAAATAGAGAAAAATGCTCATCGCTTATTTCTCTAAAATGTCTTGTTTTGTCCAACCAGCAGCTAATATACTCAGTTTATTATTATATAGGAGTAAAAAAAACAGGAATATTTACATTTGAGAAGCTTTTTTGGTCAAAAAATGACTTATTTTTCTGAATATTTGACAATTGATTTAATCATTTCAGCTCTGGTAGGTTGATAAGAAGTTAATAAGTACATTTAAAGGGTCCTTCTGCACCAGAGTACTGAAAGTTTCAAGTGTTTCCAGGTAGTTTGACTGAGGAATTAGAAAGTCTATAAAATCTCTCTCTCTCTCTCTTACTGGTAACCATCAAACAAGTGTGAGGCCTCCATCACACTTCCCATTCCTGAAATGTCAAAGAGCAATGAAGAATAGATATAAAGGTCAAGCTCCTTGGGGTTATATCCTTATATAATTACTCTGGTATGACTGATGTAGATGGCCTTTACCTTCATCCTCTATAGAACTTAAGAGTGCACACCATTAAACACTTATTGCTCTTAATTATATGCCAGAGAAGCTTAATGAGTGTTAGGAAATGTCAGTCACGGTGGCCTGAAATTAAAACTGGAGGCTTCCTGGATAAATTCATCACAACAAGAAAACATTTCAATACAGCATGAACTCAAACATCCTGTTTTAATCGGCGGTCGGAAAGCCTCTGAACTGAATTAAACTGATTGTGTTGCTTACTCAGCTTCAGTCTTTGTAGTTATAGACTTACCATGAACGTGATTCTGTGACTCTCGTCGTTGTCTTATCTGTTCCTGTTGATTCACGACGGGCAGATATAAAGGAGGATTTCATAATCACAGTGTGTCATGTCATTACATCATGTCACAGATTGTTACACATTGTTTCATGTAGTATGTGCAGCACTCTGAAGTCAAAGGCATTTATAAAGACAGTATTAAAGAGTATTATTCAATCTAACAAATCGGTTTCCTAAGAAAAGAACAGTTCTGTGGTCTGAATGAATTTTATTAGATATGGAGGGTAAGAGGCTATTCAGACATGTGAAATAACCCTCATATTAAAGTGAGGAGGCTAGTGTGCATAATATGTAAAGATATATCAGTTAAAGTGTGATAAAATATGTGAACATTCAAATCGGTGAGATGAAAAATTAATCAGGATATCAAGGCGCACAAAGACAAAAGAAAAAATGTATTGTTTTACACAGTTTATACCTTATGTCAGAGATGAAAAAGGATTTGATCGTATGATTAAGAAAGATAAAAAGTTGTGATAAAACTGTATCGTAAAGTGAGTTGAGTGTATTGTTAGATCATAGTGCATAAATAAATGATATTGTAGAATATTGCTGTTCAGACAGCAGTTACCAACTATGGACAAACCATGTAAAGCCTTTTCCTAACGGCACCTAAGATAATTTTTAAAATTTAAAAGTTTTCAGTTCTCAGACTCTGTTTTTAAATGACCTCAAACCTAATTTGATATTTCTGTATTGCAGGTTCTTTGTCGGCCTACATACTGTAAAAAATTCAATTAAAAGCAAGGTCCTTATTAGACACAGGTCCCCTTTACTAGCCTGAGGTGGCTACATATTTTAACAAATAAACGCAGGCCTGGTCTGGATTTTATAGAAATTCTTTGGATGTATAAAACCTCTTGAAGCTTGAACGAGTTCTAAGCTGCTTTGATCACCTGCACAAATATAAATGTATAAACTCTGGTCAATATGGACATTGCTACATAATTTAATCCTTCTGTTCATTTTACAGAAACCACAAGTATCAAATTATCAAAGGAATGATTTGTAATTTATATGTTAACTGATATTTTATGTAAGTAATATTCATTCTGGTTTAGATAAACAATCTGATAGTATTTCCATTCTTTGGTGAGGAAAAGGAATTAAAGGCCTGTCCCAAATAAATGCAGGTTGAGTTAAGTGATTTACAGCAAATAAAAGCTATTAACTAGAAGTTTTACTGCATACACCCATACATACAATATAGCTGCAGTAACCTAATATTGGGCTAGCCAATTTATCAGTCTAGTCTAACTCTTGTTTGTACCTGGGGGGGTGATAAAGGCTAGATAAAATCCTCTATCAGGGATGGATATAGACACCAGTTTGGTGTGAAATGCTATCAAATAGAAATTAATGATCTGTTATGGCCACAAGTTCAATGAAAAAAGACAGAATTTATTGATTTCTAATGCTGTCTTTAGATATTTCTTTTTAATGCTTTACTAATGTGCCACAATAACATTTTTGATTTTAAACATCTTCAGGTCTTTCATTAGCTGGCTGAAGCATAACCAACCTGTCTGGTTATATTATCTATGAGCACTAAGGAAGATATATTTTCACAACCTAACCCACCATAGTCAAACACAGCCAGATGTATTAAAGGGAGAGACACTGCAAATAGTTATTCTGTCTCATGGTATATCGTCATTTGTGTGTGACAGACAACTAGCAACTGTGCATTTAGGTTTTTCATTCAGAACTACAGTATCTATATGCAGTCCTTCTTTATTTATTCAATTTACCGTTTGTTAAGCTGTTCATGTCAGGTAGAGAAGAAGCCGTCTATTTAGCAGTGTCTCTTTTATGTCTCCTGTGCTTCCCTTTTCTCTACTTCAATAGCAGTCAGTGGCACAAAAGGGCTTTGATCTGCACGTCCATCAACCAGCAGCTCAATGGGGAATCCTATGTTCCTAACCACTTTCTACTCTGCTATACGTTCATACCTGTCGTCCTTGAAGTGATCGGGCCTGGCGTAACCAGGAATGAAAATCAGCTGAATAGGTAAAGATCTGAAGGCTGCTGTTAGTGGGAATCATGTAATCATGCTTGTGTGTGTGTGTGTGTGTGTGTGTGTGTGTGTGTGTGTGTGTGAGAGAGAGAGAGAGAGAGAGAGAGAGAGAGAGAGAGAGAGAGAGAGAGAGAGAGAGAGAGAGTGCTCTATTCCCTTGTATGTTGATGGATTCTGGATATTGCAAATTAGCTTGTTAATTAGAATATCTAATAGAGGTGAGCAGCTACAGCCAACAGCCATTACAAAGACATGAAGATCACCATATGGAGATTTACAAGAGCAAATCTCTTATGTGGTCTCCTACATATTTACAATTCCTAAAATAAAATAAAATTCAGTACCTGATATATGTAGATAGTGGAATTTAACTGCCTAAAATATTTCAGGATGTTTTGTTTGTTTGTTCAGATTCAGGTTTAACCTCAAGGAATGAAAAGAAGCACAAATATGTAATATATACTATAATTACTTTATACACATCTGACTAGTACATAAACCAGGTTGAAAAGGACTTAAAGTCACACAAACAATCATCACCTTGCCCATCACATTGTTCTCTGAATATAAATAAAGTATGAAGCACTTTTAGATCACACACGTGGCAAAGACACAAGTGATACTATGCTTTGTGTCTTAAACAGTCTTAAATTAGAGAGTGAAAACATTGGAGAGGCACAATATCAATACAACCTTTACAAGTTTTGTACATACAGTGTAATATTTAGGCAGATTAAGGCAAAACAGTCTATCTGGAGTTAAATGAAGCCATCAGATGAAGACCAAAAAGTTAATTTTGACTTTAAAGAACCATTATACTTACAGCTGTACTTACTGCACTGAATGGCCAGGAAGTACACAGGCTCTACTCTTTATAATGCCAACATTAAAACGATGCACTAGATTTAAAAAGATACTTTTTTTCTGAAAACATCAAATTTGTGAGTGCCTCACTTATCTCCGTTACAAACACTTGTAGGGAAAAACAGAGCATTTCCTTTTAGCAGATATATATCCAGCAGCTGGCATTAAATCCTATACAAGAACTGTATTACAGTACAGATCTACTCTATAAATATTAAATACAGCATTGACAAAAAAAAAAAAAAAAGGACTGTAATTTAGTGTCAAGCTGATTTAAGTTTGGTCCCATTTAATTTCTTTCCTTGAACACACAATATCGGTTGAAACTGCCACAAAAATACAGCAGAGCTGGTAACACATATGAAAAACAAAGCTGGCATACTATAGATTGTGTTGACCGTTGAATGGATAACCTGCTCACTGAATAATGTTTTTATTATTATGTGAAGTTACCTGTGAAACACACTGCCGCTGTGATTATTCTAGTGGTGTAAACCTGTGTCATCCTCACTGTTGCTCCAAGTGCAACGCTGGTGTTTTCCATTGTTGATATAGCTGAGCATGCATTTCATATTACCATTAACAAACTACAGAAAATATAGAACTTAACGAGAGAAAACGGCCCCATGAAATAGGAAAGATGTGCTGAATGTCCCTTGGCATATTGTCCTTTTGAGATGAAGACATCTGATTGAAGGGAAAAAGCAGACCATTATATAAACATGACTCCTACGACCACACGAATGCAACAAAATGGCGAAAATGTGAAAGCTACAAACTGTCCTGGTGATGCAGGTAGATCTGAGTGCACACAGACCGTACAGTAAGGTGTGAGTATTGCTATCTCAGCTCTTCTTGAAATTAAAAATTTAGCAGCATTTTACCATTTTACAGAGTGTACATGTGCAGTGAAAGTTGACATGTTCAACATCATAAACAGTCATGATGTCAGATAATGTTCAGGTTCACTTACAAATTACTTAAAACTGCGGTTTGAATAAAAAACTACAAGGAGGGGACCAGTGTATTTTTTCACGTGTTAAGGTGTTCTGTTTTTTCTTTCTACGGCACGGTGGCCATGTTGAGGCTGTCAGCGTGGATGTCTGGTATGGTCCTCTCCGGTCTGAGACACACCGCCAACCTCTGTGGAAAAAGGAGAGCGTTGGAGAAGTTAATTTAATGTAAAATGTGTACTGTTTTTGCATTTGCACACTTTTATCCCCCCTCTCTTCATCCACTGACCTGCTTAAGAGATCCAGGAGTCCACACCAGCTTGTAGACCATGTAGATGGGGATCCACATGAAGGATGAGAAGCCAATGATGTACCCCACTGTGATGCTCCAGTCAGGGTATGTATAGTCAAACAGCGTGAGGTGCGGAGCTTTCAGTATGGAGCTCACTATAATATACTGAGAAGAGTTGGGATACATTTACATATTTAATATTTCCACATATGTAAATGTAACTTTTGTAAGAAATAATACAGGGGAAGGTTAATATACCACACCTGTCACGCTTCCATGCATTGTAAGAGAACTATACAAAGGTAATGTAATAATGCAAAATGTCAACAGGAACCAGATAAGAGAGGAGGATATTGAACTGTATGTAGAGGAGAGAAATTGACATTTTGCCCAAGTGTTTTCCAGAATACAAGCCGTAGAAAAAGTTTTAAAGGGAGATTATTAATATAGAGGAGAGTTTAATCTACAGAAGGGGGGAGGTCAGCCTTCAAAGGCCACGGATCCAGTCGTCTTTTGATCTTACACAGAGCTAGTTTTTGTCATAGACTGCCCATTGATCTCTGGATGACTTAAAGGGACGATGCTTATTTGATCTTTTTAATGGACTACATGTTAAAATATTGTAAAATGTGTTATATCTGAGTAGCGTTGTAGAGATTTAGATCCACCTGTTGTAAATGTGGGCCAGAGTATTTCATATCTTACTGTCAGGTGTGGGGAGTTACACATTACGGTTAAATTTAGTAAAAATGGGGATTATTGGCTGGATTAGAATTTCCTGATTTATTGCTCGAATCAGATTGTTTTTTGTTTGGCTGTTAACATTATTGTTTAAATGTGGTCCAATCAGATTCCTGTGTGAACAGGTCACGGTCCAGAACTGACCTGCATGACAAACGTGAGTCTGGAGTGATGTAAAAATCACATGAATTCTGATATGACTGTTTACATGGTGTCGGACCTGTATCTGATCTGGAGCACGTATGGAAGTGGTCGTTCACACTGTAAGTAAGAGACTGATCGGATTCAGATGCGAGCAAAAAAGTCAGATTTGTATCTGCAGTGTGAACGTAGCCTTACAAAATACACTCACATCAGTACTTCTTATTGGCATTTATTTTCTTGTCTTTATTTGCATATGTGGTTTTGGTAACGGAAAGTAATAAAGTTACGTTAATTTAACAATGTGATACTTGGATTACATTACTGACCACATTTTTTAACAGGTAATTGTATCAGATTACATTTTTTAAGTAACCCTCCTAATCATTCTTACCGCTAGAAATGCTGGACTGATGGCAACCCAGCACACCCTCCAGAATAATCCTGGAGCTTTGCCCAGCATTGATTTAACATCATTGCTAAATCTGTTGATACCTGAAAGCAAGCAAAATGAGACACTTACAAACGATATATTTTGATCCAAAAGGTCATAAATTTACATCGCAGGTACTGAATACCAGTCAGTCGATAATAATCTCTTGTTTACCGTAGAACCAGGAAACTGCGATGGCCTCAAGGAAACCCACAGCTATGATGGAGCATCCTACTCCGAATTCCTCCAGCAGCTTCACCACATAGGCACCACCCTGTCAATTACATCATCACAAAGTGTCCAGAAGTACCTAAAAAATATAGTAAATGTGATTGTTTGAGCTAACAAACACCTACATTTGTAAGGGTGCTTAGAGAGCCCAGAAAGCAGACAACTACCAAGCCCAGAACAAAAAGTTCACGTCTGTGAGAGAAATGATCCGGGTATTCATCCAACACAGCAGTGATGATCGCCTCCAGCCCTCCAAACTGAAACACACAGAGAATGTTTGAAAGACAGAATTATATTGTAGACTGTAAAAATTTCAATCTGCATGAGCCCATCAATTCATTTAGATCTTTTAGGACATGCAAAAATGTACTTTCAGTAAGATTAACACTGTAGCAATGCATCTAGGTATACATTTGCATATTTGAAATTAAGAAAGACACAAGAATAAAATGATTTTGTAGAAAATGAACTGAAATGCAATGAAATGCGTGTCCAAAGTAATAAATCTGACTGATTACAGGTATTTAATCAGATATGTTGCCTCCACAGTGATACATGAAGTGACCCTGTGGTCTCCAGAGTTCGTACCGTGCTGTCCAGTCCCAGCGTGATCATCATCACAAAAAAGATGATCGCAAAAAAGGTGGAGCCCATCATGTTTGCGATGGCCTCTGGGTACGTGATGAAGAGTAAACTTGGTCCTGAAATTATTATAACATCAGGGTGAGTGTTTTTTTTAATTATTATTCGTGATTTTATTATTGAGGGATATTTCTTTTTTCTTTTCTTTATTTGAAATATAAAACTCGTTCGCTGACTGACCTTTATCCTTGGCTACATCCTCAACCTCCACCTTCCTCATCTCTGCCATGTAGCCCAGCACCGTGAAGATGACGAACCCCGACACAAAGCTGGTCAGACAGTTCACCAAACTGGTCACGATGGCGTCACTGTTGAGGAAGAAATTAAACCCTGTTTAAGCACATGCAGCATAATAACTGTCATTCATATTGTTCTTGAACCTATTTTTAAATTATTTCTATGAGAGACTTTGTTCCAAAGTATTGCTGTCTGAGATGAAAGCTACTCTATACTCTGACCTTCTGACCTTTGTTTAATGGGTTCCTTTATATTTTCTCTTCAGCTTTGGGTCTGAGTCCGACACATGAGGATTCTCCAAGCTAGCAACCAAGGGACATCTTGCAACAATACTAATGAGGAACACTCCACAAAAGGATGTTCATTAGAGATAAAAAAAACCAACAAAAAAAAACCAACAACTCTCTTACCAAACTTCAAGTAAATGTAAACAGACTTGGAGTAATTAGTAACAGAATATCTTCTGTAGAAAAGCTTCAGTGTCTAATGGTTTTAAATAAATAAATAAACATCTGCGTAAAAACTCAAGCCCATTGTCCCAAAAGACTAAAAACACTCTCATTTGTTTGTGTTCAGCTTTTTTTTTTATTTCTTTAAATTAAAATCTAAAATATAATGTTTTGAGTCAGAATTTGGAGGTACGTTGCAATTGAAATGTACTTTTCTAATGCAGCAAAGAAGAAAACGTAACAGCAAAAAATACATATGCGATATATTTGTCATGTGAAAAACAATCAATAATAACTTAAAAACCAATACATCAGGGTTAAGGTTATTATAGTTAACTAAACTAAAACTACATGTGAAAAAACATTTTAGTCAACGGAAATAAAACTAAAAACCAGCTAAAATGTTATTGTGCACTTTCAAAACTAACTAAAATAAAATAAAAACATACGGGAAACGTCTTTATTTTTAGGCTTTAGTGTCAATTTGGTCAAATTTGTCAACACAGCGAGCATGAGGAGATATTGGTATATACTGAGACTGCACATCGCTGTGTGTCTATTGTTAATACCTATTCTGAACTTCTTAAAACTTTCCCTTGACAAATATCTCCCATTTTACGATTATAAAAAAAAAAAAAAAAACATTTTTAATCAATAAAAACCAAACTGAAATGAGCAAAAACCCACTCCGAAAACTAGACTGAATTAAAAACAAAATAAAAACTATTACAAAATGTTCTCAGCAGCAGCCAGCATCCAGTTTCATTCATGAACTGTGTGTTTAACTGTTACCTCACATGCCACTCTGCCCTACTAATCACATCAGCCACACACACACACACACACACACACACACACACACACACACACACACACACACACACACTATTAGTCATACTGGGAGTGTACAATTTAATTTCTCCAGTGTACAGCTTGGCATTTATACCCACCATGTATTCCCCACTCCTGCCTCTAACATCATTGTCTCGACCACACCATCTCATTTAATACTTAAGCAATAAATCCCACAGCTGCTCTTGGAGTTTTGACCGCACACTGAGCAGTAAAGCCATTAAACTCAACCCATTAAATTCAACAGGAGGTGTGATTTCTTATCAGACGGAGTGCAAAGAGTCTACAAAGGTTTTAGCCTTTTTATCTGGAGCCTCAGCCTCTGCTTATGAAGCTGTGTTCAAGCCACAGATGTGGGTTCACATGACTCAGTGTGTGTCAGTTCTTACCGATAGCAGTTATTTGTGAAAGGGTTGTAGCTGGAGAGAGCCAGGAGGACCCCGAACCCTGGCCCCAGAGAGAAGAATATCTGAGCAGCAGCATCCACCCACACCTAGAAAAGACAGAAAGAGACATTACACTATCTGGGACTGTTAACTGTGCAAGTTCTGGGATGCTTCAGGTTGCTAGGGGCATACAAAAAGCATAAAAATACAGTGTTTCTTCCAATTTCTGTCAGGTCTTTCCTTTCAGTGATTTAAATTTCACCCTATTTTCATTTCCTTATTTGTGTTCTGATCCCTCAGTGTTTAATTTCCCAAACAGAGAGGTGTTGTGTCAGTCGTATAGAAATCTAGTTGCCGCACAGCTGTACGCAGGGAGATCTGAAGAGGAGCATGCATTCGGCATTAAAAAGAAGAGGGCAGCGTTGGATATCGGTGAGTGAGACAGAAAGGGAGGCCTTTGTTAATGGGCAGAAAATCTAAACCAATTATGCATCTTATTATCCTGCTCTGTGGCTTATTTATGCATCTCATTTCATCTCATTCATATTCCCCTCCAACCAAAGCACTCACACATGTTTAGCAAACAAGCCGGAGAGGAAGACGAGGACGTTTCATAGATCTAAAAAAAATCTATATATAAAAAAAACATGCAGGTTCTCAAGAGACTGGTGGGTAGCGATGAGTGAAGGTACATATTAAACTCTCGTGCATGGAAGATCCAGATGTGTTATTTAATTACACCAGTTTACCGAGTTCAATGAGGAACTCCTGAGTAACGCTTTGTCAGTTAAAGTCCTTTTTGCAAGTTATACACACAAATTTGTGCTCTGGGAGGAATAGTGGACAGAGGAGACGAGTATCTGTTAAGAAGAGTAACTGAAATCAATTATTTAAGACATTTAAGGCTTAAGATGTGGCTGCAAATAACAAATAACCAAGAAGTAACATTTCTCTGTTGTTAAATCAAAAAGCAGTGATGACTGTTTGCTTTTATCGATATCATGATCATCATCTCCTCTGTCTCTTCTTTCTTTTCCTATGATTGATCTACACATCAGGTGGAGAACCTTTCACTCACTAAAAACAATTGCTTTTTAAGTTGCCGATATAGATCATTTAAATTAAGTAGTATAACATAAGATTCTCAAGGTACCAAATTCATGAATGAATTTGATCCAACTTTTCACAACTCACACTGGTCTCCAGCAGCTTCCCCCACTGGGGTTTTAGGTAAAACACCACACCCCTCCAGGCTCCTGGCAGAGTGGCTCCTCGAATTAGCAGGATGAAAAGCACTATGTAAGGCAAGGTGGCGGTCACCCACACGACCTGGTGGGGAAGAAAAGAGGAAGACATCAGGTAAAGAAAAAAGAGATCATAGTCACTATCATAGTGATTAATGTAAAGAAGATGCACTGTAATCTCCTTTATTGTTATGGTAGTAAAGCAACTGCGAGATGTTACCTTCCCTGAAGTCTTCACGCCCTTCCAGAGGCTGAAGTATACGATGGTGAAAATGAGAAAAAGGCAGAGCATCAACTGCCAGCGAACACCCCCGACGTTCTTCAGCCCGGACGACTTGTGGATCTCAAGAACGTTCCTCCTGTAATGGCAAAAAGCACATCAGTCAGCACATATCCAGCACAGCAGACCGGCACTTCTCAAACATCCCTCGCTGACAATATTTGTGTAGAGTATTACTGTAAATCTATTTATATATGTGGTTTCTGTTACTCACACTTACATGCACTTACGTGTAAAATTCCTCTGCCGGAGACTTGGAGGAATTCGTCCAGGTGACGTTGTCAATGCCAAAATAGTTGGTGCAGTCGGGGGTATTCCACACATTGTCGCAGTTTGTCCAAGGCAAGATGCTGGAGAAAGAGGAGTAGAAGTAGAAGAGGGCCCAGGCGATGATGGTGTTGTAGTAGAAGGACACATACAGAGCGATGATACAAATGGCATATCCTATACCTGAAACAGAGAGATGAGATTAAAATGAATGTTAAGTGTATTCTGAGTCACAGCTTTCTCATGGTAACTAGATTTCATCTGCGACTGAGTGTGAGGCCTTACCTTTGAAAATGGGACAGATGTGTTTCCATATGGATATGGCTCCGGTTCTGTGGAACTGTCCCAGAGCCAGCTCCATGTAAAAGAGCGGCACACCGCCAAAGATGGCCATCAAAATGTAGGGAATGAGGAAAGCACCTGCACAGAGATGCATGAAAATACATGTTATGATGAGTGTAATGACAAAGTGAGGACATTCATAAACTCAAGAATGAGGATTTAAGAGAAAAATGTGAAAATTAGTCTCATTGGCCTTATTTTTTACATCTATTAATTAAGCTAAATTTAGTTTTTATCTTTATATTATCCAACCATGGACAAGAACATGTTATTATGCTATATTAAAAAAAAAACAATTTGAAACACTACATTTGAAAAATTAAATGTCTACATAAATAATCTTCTGTTTATTCAGTTTTTTTGTCTTCTATATACTTTTTTAAATCCTCTTTTACGTTTTAATTAAAATCTTGTCTTTATGCCTTATGTGCAGCTCTTTGAATTGTCCTGTTGTTGAAAGGTGTCACATAAATAAACCTGCCTTGCTAAAATGCAACCGACCCTTCACTTACTCACATCCTATTCCCAACAAAATACATAATGATTGTACAAATATAGGAAGAAATCTGAAAAAAAGATAGATATTCACAAAAAATAGACATTTTCTGTCATGAAAACGTTTGTCATGATATGAAATTGAAAATGAAAATTCCTTTATTGTAGAACAAATATTACAATACAGACAAACAGATACAGTCTGTGCGATAGAAACTAACTTTTTAGTGAGGACAAGTCTACAGATGCGCACTTCAGCACCATGGACAGTTTCTGCTGCCAGATGCGTAGCTTCAGCCTGATTTCTGAATAATCTGAGACCATTTCGAGCACAAATTCTGATCTTTAATGGATTTGAAGTGTTTCCCAAGTGGCTACACACATCAGATTTCAAAGTTAAACAAAATCCTGTGTAACTTGTGAAACTAAGCTGAATGACCTGTTTTTTTTTTTAAATCTCCAAACCACTCACCGCCACCGTTTTGATAACATATGTACGGAAATCTCCAAACATTTCCCAGGTCCACCGCAAAGCCAATGACAGACAAGAGAAAATCCATCTTTTTGCTCCATTTGTCCCTGGAGTCCGTCTGTGTGATGACCGGCACCGGGACCGCGTTGTTGGAGCTGTAAGCCGGGTTCGGGGAGCCGTGGTGGGTCAGACTGCCGGCCATGACTGCTGAGTCCTGTCGGGGCATCGGACTGTGAAAAGTCAGCCAGGGGACCAGAGAGGAGCAGAGAGGAGGATGTTTCTCCTGTAATGATGACAGGGAGGAGTGGGAGGAGTTGGTGGAGCTGCAGCGGACACTTGGGGATACCTGTTAGTGGAGACAGTTAACAGAGAGGTGGGTTTGAGGTCCCATGTGTTATTGCTGATCAATAACATTGATCACTTTGTAGCTTTAGTAGCTTATTGAAAGGTTTGACTCTTTCATGACAAACCAGTGAGTTAACTGGTAGCTGAGACTGGCAGCTTTGCTCTCTTTTGATTCTTTATTTGTTCACTTCGTTCATCAAAAATAGCTTTTTGTGAAAATCCCCTTTAATTATAATTTGGATGAGACAGACTGAGCTCATGATGGTCTCTAACTCTGCTGAAATCAACTTTATTGCTGCAAACAGGGGCGGATCCAGAGGGTTGGCATTAGGTGCTAACCCTAAAACTTCCTGGCCACCCCCGATGTAACACAAAGTCCAGTGTGTAACATTTAGGAGGATCTATTGGCAGCCCAGAACAGACAAAAACCAAACACTGGCAGTAGATAGGGCCTGTTGGGTGTGTTTTTTTTAGTTTCTCCTGCACACTTCACAGCCCGTTCTCATCCCGAGGTCATCAGATACAGATGCCAGTGGTGTTCAGTTTCTTGCAATCTGCAACTTAACATTTAGATGGCACTAAATCTACATTTTGTCCTTTAACATGTTAATTTAGATACATTTTAAAAATACTGTGTTTAAAATCTGAAATTGATTTAATGATCTATCATGGCTGAGATAGACTTAAGTTTAATGAAAAAACATGTCTGAAGATTTGGAAATAAAACAATTAATTGATTTCCAATGCCACCGTTAGATATTTCCATCCAATGCCTTACTAGTGTGCCACTATAATGTATGTGTTTTTATGTTAGAATAGCTACATTTGTTGGGTTTTCCAATCAAATATTGATATATGTGACATGTAATGCATATATTCCTGCCACCCTTTTGCCACCCCATGTATATTTCTCTAGATCTGCCCCCATCTGCAAATCCACTTCACACAATCACAGTAGGCCTACATACCAGATTACTAAATTGGACTTTCCGGTATTTAAGAATTCCAGGAGGTTTCAGTCCCTTTTCAATGACAAATCAGATATTTTAGTTCAATATGAGTTCTGATACCATCAATCAATATATGAACAACTATGTTCAATGCTCTGTTAAAGCCTTTGTAGCCTCTGAATGCAACAGGTTGCCCAACACAGTAAGTACAGTAATGGTTATAAAGATTAGTGTCTGCTTTTCATCATCCTTCAACAATAATGAAATGTAGGGCTCATTATTCACATGATCACAGTAAAAGTACCAGATTATACATTTTTGGCTTTCCACTTAGCAATCGGAGACTTTGAATATAAGATTTTCAATTAGGTTTATGTTACCTTTTCAATAGAATTTTTTTGGGATTGATCTGAGTACCATTTAAACAATATAAAGCAGTGATTAAAGTTGAGTAAACAATCTCATCACAAGGTCCCCTTAGCAGCTGTTCCAGAGCTTTTAATCACATCCAATGATTTTCATCAGCGGACGCAGTTGCCCATGGGATTGTAACTGTTGTCTGACTTCTCATCCATATTGTTTTACTGTAAAAGCTTAGGTTTAGAGGTAATTCTCATTTAAAACACTCTCACCACAAAGTCCATTTAGTAGCTGTTTGAACATCATATGTTGCTATTTCTATCAAACCTCTAAATGTTAAACTGGCCCTTAACATGTTTATTAGAGTTCTTGAATCCCGACTCAAGACCAAAGGTGGTCTGCTTTTGCAGTCAGGGTCCCTCAGCTCTGGAAGCTGACTGAGGTTTGCTGAATCAGGGACATCTTTGTCAACACATAGCTTTTCAAAAAGACTTTATTATGTTATTATCATTATTATTATTTATCTTATCTTTATCTTGTTTTTTTAATTGTCTGAATTTATTTGTCTCAGTGCAGTTTATTGTCAATGTGTTTTATTGTTAGTATTTATCATTGTTCGGGGGTCTTTTATTACACTGTATTATTTTAGCTGTCTGATCTTATTTGCTTCACTCCTGAAATGTTTTAATCCTGGTTCAACCATGTAAAGCAATTTGTTTTTGAATAAATAAAATGTATTGATATTGTTTTATTTAGTATCAGGTACTTTCAAATTTTTTTATGTCATGTTCTCATTTCCCATTTATAAAGCACCTTTCTAGATCAGATGTCATAAAAGTGCTTCACAATGTAAGCAAGCAAAAGCAAGATAAATACAGACAATATAAAAATAATAATACATAGACACACAGCACATTTGAACTTCCAAAAGTTTGATAAAGAAAGCTATAAATAGCACCTTGAGCCATCTTGGCTTCCTGATCCTGTGTTAATATAGTTTGGTGAAGACAGCAGAATGGAATCACGGCAGCTTAGCTGCACTCATTAGGAAAAACCTAATAAAAAGACTTTGTAATCAAATCCACCGCTTTTAGCACTGAGCACTTTGAAAAGGCTGCTAACTGGATCTTCAGAGAGCAGCGGTCACGCAGGAGAGAGTGCATCAAATAGAGTTACTTTGGGAAATGGATATGACACAGAGATAGGACGAGAGACATCCAGCACCGTCATAAAATTGTCACTTAAAAGCCAAGTGGCGGCCAAACTGCCTGGCCTGGTTTCATATGACTTGTTTTCCGGCTGCTTCACCTGAAGCTGGGAAATTTTTTGTTTGATACATTTGAACATAATTTTCTCTCAAAATGTGCATCAAAAAAAGATCAAAAATCCTTTTCATTTGCAATCTTTTTTACTTCAAGTTAAGATAGATAGATAGATAGATAGATAGATAGATAGATAGATAGATAGATAGATAGATAGATAGATAGATAGATAGATAGATAGATAGATAGATAGATAGATGCTCTTTTTTTACAGTTCCCTCAGATTCAACATGTCTTCATCATTCTCTAGGATGGGAAAGAGTAAACAATCAGCTGGTGCAAAAGGGCTGCGGTTGCTCAGCCGAGGTGCGGGGGCCCCTGAGGGCCAAAAGCCTGACAACAAACCATATAGCACTGGCCTTCTCCAACATACAATCCTGTCAATCTGCATTGGCACACATGGGCAGAAGAACATCAGACTGACAGGAGCCTCTATCGCATGCCCTGGTGCCTGTTAGAGCACGTCGACTCTAATCACACACGGACATGTGCATGTCGGCTCCGAACAGAAACTCTGCTGACAGGCAAACAGACATGGATATGACACGGCATTGTTGTTTCTCAAAATTTAGGATTTTATTTCATTTTTGAACTCTCCACATGAGCCCCATTGTGAATTCTTATCATCTCTATTGTCTCCTGAGCACATAAAAGTGAGTAAATGTAACTTCCCTCTTCTGATCACCTGCAGCAAATCAATTCACACACTCATGTTCCATTTAACTCTGAATAATTGCTGTTTTTGTGTTTGTTTTTGTGAGCAGTGAACCGACAAACACATATGAATGACTACTGTTGTTCTCCCATTAACAAGTAAGCAAAGCCGAGCTGGAGAGGAGCTCTGCTGTGCTGTTTACTCAGGCAGAAGTCCTCGTATGGCATTTAACAAGACATGCTATTACCTCATATTATCTAAAGCCACTGCGAGGTGTGAGTCACCCCAGCGAGGGAATCCTGGGTTGAAGAGGCTGTTTGTATGGAGTGAAAAAATGGGCTAGTCGTCACAATGAAGCCACTGCAGCTGCTCTGTATTTATTTTACATTTTTAAAATGATAATATCTCCAAATCTCTCTTGATTGATGGAAAAGTTATTGTTTGGTCTGGTATCATCATGTAATGTTGTAAGATTTCACCTCTCAGCATGTGATTAGGGGATTACGTTCAACCACAGAAGCAACCTGTGTATTTTGTTGGTTCTGAAGTATGAAAGGAGCTTTTGGGGGTTGGAGAGGAAGGGGGGGCCAGTCCTGGTCCTCTCAGCTCAGTCTGTCATCCTGTGTTATCCCTGCCATCCTTTCACCACCCGATCTACCTGACAGCTCAGTCCTGCAGGCAGAACTGGACTTATGGCCCAAAGAAACTCCACACTCCAGTGCACTGAACCCTGCTCCTGACTCAGATGGTGGTTTTCCTGAACATGTTCACACTCATACAATACACACTTGAGAAATTGTTGCTATGCAGGAGTTTCCTGTTTTTACAATAAAGCTGAAAAATCACAGTCCATGTGGAATTATTTGGTTTTTTTCAGGGTCTTTGGCATCAAAAATGACACAGTCGCCATCTTGTGGACAATATGCGATACAGGTTTGTATTTGTAACCATTACTCAAGAAGAATGAGATATATAATAAAAGCATAAAATGCCTTTATTTGTTTTATACTTTTTAATATTTTCTATAAAAAAGGTGTTGAAGGAAAGTATAAAGTAAAGTAATACAAAAGGTCTATGTGCATCAATTTCTTATTATTTTAATGAAGGGAAGGATTGTATCTTTGTTTTCTATGAGTTTGGATTCACTGTGTTTTTGTTTATCATCATTCTATTGATATTGATAGAAATTTGACCTGATATGTCCCATTTTTTGAACTTCATGTGTAGCAGCAACAGGTGCTCTACAAGTGAATGCAGTGAATCCAGTTTCCTGCACATTATACATGCTGAATCCCATTTCTAGGACTGTACGCACACTTAGACCTAATAAGTGTTGAATTACTTGACTAGATACATTTTTTTTTATATAAACGTGTGATTTGCAGCTACTGGTTCACAACATTTTGCCTGCCAGTCTTTTCTTGACCACAAGATGGCGCAAAGATAAAACGTATTCATATCAGGGAAAGCCCATAACCCCAATCTCTATTTATTACAGTGTTTAAAAACTACTGTTTTTAGTTCAGGGATAATATTTATTATTATCTATCTGCGTTGCATAAAATGCATTGAAAAAAATGATTTCTATGTGGAATAAATCACCTATCAATCAAAGATTACTAGTAGATTACTTCTCCTTCAGTGAAACTTCTAATCTTTATGTAGTAAACTAAAGTATCTTAATGGAGAGTATGCTCATAATTTGAATGCCAGACTTTTACCTTAATTATAAACCTTTTGTGCCATCCAATGAAAGCCATGCATGTGTCTTTAAGAGGCGTGTGTGAGAGGAGGTGGAGTCATGATCTACATCGCAGTGTGCAAGCGGCACTCAGCTGATGGGAGGGGTGAAAGCTTGCAGACAGGAGACAGGATCCATGGCAACAATCATGGCAGGTGGGGAGCAAAAACAACCAAAAAAAAAAAAAAAAAAAAGGAAAACATGAAGATGAATATTTTCTAAATGTCTGTGTGTGTGCTCTTTAGCGAGTGGAGGATGAGTTAAGTTGTGGGGGAAAACACTGTGGACATGTTTGTGCTGTGTTTCAGAGGCAGAGACCCGTCAGAGGCTGCTGCGCACCGTCAAGAAGGAGGTGGGTGTTTTCAGCTCAGCAGTTATCGAGTCGGAAAAACAAACACGTTGGTTTGTATGAACCTGTGTAGTTCATCCTGTGCACAGGGAGGCTTCTCATGTGATCCCTAACACTTTGTGTCTGCACTGAATGCGCTGATTATGACAGCTCATAGATGGGTTGGATGGACACCTCTTTGAGAAGATTAGAAAACAAGCCTTTGTTTAATATTAAGAAGGCAATATGGTCCTTTAAAGTGTAGTTAATTGTCTTTTAAAATCTATATCTCTGATTCAGTGTTCCCTGTTTGAGTGTTCGTGCTGCAGCTCAGTAATTATTCGGGTGGAGAAGCACCATGAAGCAAACAGATTGTCTGTAGTCAGTGTTTGTGGTGTTTATGGCAGAGCAAACCATCAGCCTTCTGCCAAGCCATTTGGTGGTTTCAGTTAGACACAAACTGTGTATGTGTGTGTGTGTGTGTGTGTGTGTGGAGAGAGAGAGAGAGAGTGATGCATGTAATGATTTATATGGTGATAAGTGGAAACAAATATGGAAGCAGCTCTGGTGGGGTTTTTAACCCTTCATCATATTCAAGCATTAACACAGAAGCTCAGAGTTCAGCAGAGATCAAATGAAACGTCACTAACATTCAAGCTGTCTGACACTCAAACCTTTAAACCAGGTTTCTTCTTAAAGGCCCCAAATGTTGCGAAAAAAGGACTTTAAAATTGATGTCATGTTATTGACTGTTTAGAAAATGCCACCTGTCACCATTTTGGATGGAAGCTGATGCTGAGAAGCTCCAGTTACACGAGCGTTCATCAGGAGAAAGAAGAATGATTCACTTCTTCTACTATCATTGTTGTTCTTTTTAGAGAAAACTGCTTAAGAGTCTGAAAATTCAAGTCACTGGACCTGCTTATTATGGCTTAATATGTTCACATTTTTAGGGGCCTGCTGTGTTTAATCTTATTCTGGTGAAACTGCCCTACAGTGTTCATCTGACAGGATTGCAGCTGTCAAAAAATTCCAATTCCAGCTTTTATTTTTGGTAAACCACTGCATTTAGCCCACAGGGTTTGGTTGCACTGGCTATTTGTACATTTAAATTTACCATTTGCCTCGGGAGTTGACCTCGTTCCAGCACTAGAAGTCGGAAGACCAAGCTCCATCCAGGTTAACTGTTAGCCATTGTTAGCAATACCATAACGCATTACGCTGTATTTTACTCATAGAAACATGTCCACAGACAGAATTTGGACAGTACTAATTGTGCTAATAAACAGTAATAATACAATTTTAACTTAGTTGACGCTTGGAACAACTATCTTGGATTTTGTAGTCGGGGTCGGGGAGGTTCTCCCAACTTTTCTAGCTGGAAATCCAACAGGGGGAATTCTAGTTCAAATTTCCAACTGGGAGTAAGTGTGTTTGATTTATGAAACCAAATCGCAACATTAAAACCTAAAAAACGGAAGATATGTCGACCACACTGTATATTACATAGATAGTTAGCTCTACACTGCATGAAAAGATTATATATGTAATATTTTCTATGAAAGAATAAGTTTGTGTGGTGAACCCTGTCCTTGGAACACTTTTATTATAACTAGGTTTTAGCAGGAAAACTAAAACAGATTGTGATTGTAGTTAAATATTTATAGCTAAACAAACATCAATTATATTGAAGATGGATGACAGTTAATTATTTTTTTTAATGAAAGCTGAATATCACCTTGACATATCAGCAAACTCATGTTTGTGTCACTCCATTGTGCCTCCATTGTGTACTTTGTGGTCGCTCCTGTTGAGGGGTTTTTGTTCCCTTTGTTTGTCCACGGGAAGGTTTTTCTCAAAATCGTAAGCACCTCACAACATTTATTCACCCTGGGAACTTTCTAATATAACCTAAACTTTTCTGCTATTGTTGGTTTTAACATTAATAGTAGTTTCATTGGAGCGGGAAGTGTTACTCATTTCCTATTCCTGGCCAGATTTTTAACCTCCTTCTGTGAACAATTGATAGATTTATTTAATTAGTTTAATCTCAGACTGCCTCATAAATCGCAAGACTTTATTTCTTCCAAACAAACAAAGATCAAAATCAAATCCTAGATCTTGTGAAAGGAGGAATGTAGAGACTTTGGTCTGATTTGTTTTCCTTCTGAGTCCTGTTTGCAGTCTTATCAGTGGAGACCAGACCCTTCCCATGATTAAACCTGCCTCCTGTGTGCTGAAACAACCTCCCTTAGCTTCATTCACAGTGGCTCTCTCACTGTTTACCACAAATGCAGCCTAATGGAGTCTGTGGATGGACCAGCAGCACAGTATGATAGCTCACTTTATTCACAGATGGCACTTCATGAAAATCAGCATTGATCTAAAGGACTTCAATTTATTAGTAGGTTTGTTTTGTAGATGCGTCTATTCCCCTTGAAGGAAAGATAGATGCTGTTGTTGTTTGTACCATTTTCCCATTAGTTTATGCTTATTATTATTCTGTGTGGGTTATACCATATGGTGTGTGTTCTCACGCTCTCCTTGTCCAGCTGGTTATGTGCCACCAGTCTGCTCAGATATACCTGGATGTGGGCCATCATCCAGAGAGTGCACGACGCCTGTCGTCTGTGGCACCAGAATTACATTCTGGCACAACGCTGGTTAGAATGAGATCTCTTATTTGTCTTATGTTTTGATACAGAACCCTTTCTGTCTGTCTCTGTCTCCTTTATCTTGCTCAGATCGTGCCTCTGAATTGTGCTCCTCCCTCCGTCTTTTTGCACATCACACGTGCACACAAACACAAATACACACCTGTGTTTGCCAAAGGAGAGAGAGAGAGAGAGGGGAGAGAGAGAGACTATTAGAGAACAGGCCACAGAGATTTGGACCATTTACTTTGCTGTTTCGCTTTTCTTTCTTTTTTTTTAAGGCTGAGTGCTTACTCAGGATAAGGTTTCAGGCAGCGGAGTGTAAGATAATCCACCCGTCTTGTTTAGTGTTTTCTGCTTAAGAGATTTTCTGATTCCTGGTAGCATGTTGATAGAAAACATTTATACAGGGTTGACTCAAACTGCAGGAACAAGCTGCAGGGAAATTATCACATATTATTGTTGTCATAGATACAGATAGAGATTATTACACTATGAGACTATTATACAGTTTCTGACCTTTTCTAAGGTGAATGTGTTCATAAGGAGGTTTTGCTATGAGTGAAGTAGGATTACCTGGCTGGAGGAGAAAATGATAACACGGCTTGTACGCCACAAACTGAACTACAAGGTGCTGCTGGTTTGACAGTTAACGTAATGCTTAATAAAGCGGATGACCGAAGCTATGCAGCAGCTTTATGTGATACTGTATGTAAGAGTCTACGGTTGAGCGAGTTCTCGGCTGAAACGAGTAGCCAGTACAGATAATGTACTTTTATGAGCATCAAATGAGTAAACCGTGTCAGTATCTGTACTTAAAATAAATATAGCTCTTTAAACAGTTCTCTTACTTTAGTGATTAAATCATAAATTAAGATAAAGACGGCTGTTCTGTAGTTTCCTAATAAATATAGCAACTTCTGATCATCCAATATCAATTTCAGGCTTGAATAACTTCCATTTGGCCCCGCCCAGTTATGATTTAAGCCCCACTCCTTCTGAGTACGGACACTAATACAGATAAATAAGTTTGTTGAACAGATACATATAATGATGTTCTCGCTCATCCCAACTTAAGCCAACGTGGACAAGAAAATATTTGCTAAAAAAAATGCGGATTTGAACATTTAAACTGGGAAAGTGCTGAAGAAGATCATGTGAGCTGACATGATCATGTCCACTGTTTTCCATTCTTTATTAAATTATTATTCAAACAATAAAGTCTTATATGTTTAAATCAGAAGTGCACAGTAACTCTGCATGGATTAACATTCTTAACTAATGATGATTTTTCTTTTTCTCCCCCCGTTGCTCCCTTCATTCATCAGCAGCCACAGAGATGATGAATAATGAAGGCTCTGATGTTAATGGATGAGGCTTTCTCTCTGGCTCTTATTTCTTGGCTCTGCTGTTGCAGGAGTTAATTGGAATACTCTGAAGATCTTTTATCACTCTGGCTGATGCCTTTAAGCTACCGCGGCTAGTTAGAGCTCAATCATCAGGCTTTGCTGATATGACATAGACGTTTAATGACCGTTGTTATGTATTGTTATGTATTATGTATTCATATTTTTTGGGGGGGGATGTTAGTAGATATTGCTACTCTAAAAATACATCTAGGTAAGATTTGAGACTCTAGCCGGCTGGATAACGTGTTAAAATGACGACAGCACAGTGCGTTGAGATATTATTAGTTACTGTAGTTGGGGAGCTGCAGTCATTTTTGTTTATTTCAGAGATGAATGAATGTTGTTGACGCATCTTCTTAAGCGGAAGTGATCCACCGTGCGACACGTGCTGTCTCCATAGAAACCTGCAGGTTGTCTGTGCTTAGACACTTCACCATATTAAATTCCTCAGAGGCCTGATCTGTAGCCCAGATGAGAGAGATGAGAAAACACAAGGAGGAGTCTTGGGTCCTCAAGTTGGCAAATCAATCAGCTTCCTGTATGTCAGGTGCACTCAGAAAGAAAACTAACTCTGTGTGTGTGTGTGTGTGTGTGTGTGTGTGTGTGTGTGTGTGTGTGTGTGTGTGGTGTGTGTGCTGGCTTTTATATAAGTGCGATCGTGAGCAGAGCGGGTGTGCATAACATCAGACTGGCACTGTCTCTGTTGTGTTGGCAGAATGAATCACTTCGGTTGATGCTGAAGATAACAATGTGACTGATGCAAACAGGCCAAATATGCCTAATGACTGCTGTCTAATTAGTGAATGTTTCTTTATATAAATGTTTTCAGGGTTCTAACTAAACCTTTTTTTAGTTAGTTTTTTTTTTTTTCCACAAGGAAGAGATTGAGACAGTTTTAGGTCCTCATCTTGCTTTAACAGTGAGGGTGCAATCAGTGCTCATCATGGAAAAACAAGTAGTTGTGGCTCACAGTTAAATCTGAAATCATCAAAGCCTGTTTTTATTGTTCTCCTTCTATTCAGTTAAATTAACTTTATATAGAAGGGTTTGGTATTTTGACAATATATGTTATACTGTATGTTAAATTTGTTAACTGTTTTTTCAACGTCCTTTCAAAATCTCTGGTTTCACAGGATTTTAGTAACAGTTTGATAAAGCTCCTTGTTTGTCTTTTAACTGGGTTATCCAGCAACAGGCATTCACACAGTATCTATAAATGGCTGCCTTATTATTTTTTCAGAAAACACACTGCACAATGAAACATTTATCCATATCACAATGTATAAAGTTACCAGTGGTGGAAAGTACCTCAAGTATTTTATTTACTTTTTTGATTATCTCCTTTTTATGCTACTTCCACGTTTCTGCACTTCTGAGAGAAACTTTGTTGGCTACTTTTTACTCCACTAAATTTATTTCTAGATGTAAGTTTAATGAAAAAAGACATGTACGTAGAAATGAAACGATTTATTGATTTTTAATGTCACTTTTAGGTATTATTATTCAATGCTTTATTAATATGCCACAATGTTTTTCAGTTAAAAGATCTTCATATGGAGGCTTTTCCAAGCAAATATTGATATATGTGATTGTTTTTTGCCATTAAATCTGCATATATATAAATATTTCTATTGATATGCTCCTGCAAAACACGTGATCGGCTTATGTGAGATGATGCAATGTCTTAAACTACCCAACAGTATAAAGTAGGTACAACTCGCTCAGTGCTGTCCAGCTACAACATTTAATCCAGCATAGCAGTTCATCAGTAATAATAATCCATTCATAACGTAACACTCTGACAGGGGCCATTCTCCTGATTTAATTTCTAAACTTGCTTAAGGTTTTATTCTTTGAATACTTCAAATGAGGCTTATGTACTACTTATGTAAAAGATCACAATACATCTTCCACCGATTTGTGTATGCTGGATATTAAAATTATTGGTCCATAAAATTGAGCTGTAGTGGAAAATCAAACCTGAAGACAGAACTTTATCTCCCGGAAACTTTTATGATCACGCTGTAAAGATCAAACCATGAAAACTAATTTTGTTAGACAGCTGGCTGCTTCATGATCACTGAACTGCCTCATGGTGAGAAGATTTGCTCACACCACCAAATCGATGTGTAGATTGAAAACTAAAAGAAAAAAAAGGGTTCAAATAAAGCAGAGAGAACGAATGGAGCGAATAGCTGTGTGTGTGTGTGTGTGTGTGTGTGTGTGTGTGTGTGTGTGTGTGTGTGTGTGTGTGTGTGTGTGTGTGTGTGTGTGTGTGTGTGTGTGTGTGTGTGTGTGTGTGTGTGTGTGTGTGTGGAAGGTGAACTGGCAACGTAATATGGTCGTTGTGGACAGACTCATTTCAGCAGGAAATTACAGCTATCTGTGTGGCTGTGTCCGGAGGTTGATATTCCCCATGCAGATTGCAGAGCTGTGCCCACACAGGGGGACGTCTCCATAGCCACCAGAGGGATTGATTTATCAGTCGTCTCAACTATTGGTCTGTAGTTGTTGTCAGGTCAGCGGAGAGACATCGCCGTGACGACTATGAGCGTTACCTCGTGAGCACGTGTGTCTGACCTTCTACATCTTTAAAAAAACAAAAAAAGAAGTTGGGCTTGCTTGAATAGGATGTCATCAGCCGTTGAAATCAATTGCTCCCATGAGGGGGATTTTAACTGTTCAGAAAAGGGGGTCTGTGATGGATGAATGTGCCTCTCCTCCCTTTATTCCTCCCCCCTCCAACCCCCAAATGTACTGCTTTCATTTCCCAGTAGAGGCCCTTGGCATGAGAGCTGGTGACTCATCCACCAACTTAACATGCACTCTTCCCACTCAATCTTTTTTTTTTTTTTTTTTTTACTCTTAACTTTTCAAACCCCAGTTCACCCATGAGCCCTGCGCTCTCTTCCCATCAGTTTACCATTAGTTTTGCATTAGTTTTATAAATCCTCATGATTATTCTGTGGAATATTTTTTATCATTCAGTCAAACTCAACAAGCCCCTCATAGACTGTGTGTGTGTGTGTGTGTGTGTGTGTGTGTGTGTGTGTGTGTGTGTGTGTGTGTGTGTGTGTGTGTGTGTGTGTGTGTGTGTGTGTGTGTGTGTGTGTGTGTGTGTGTGTTCCAGTTGTGGCATGTTAATGAATGAGTCATCCAGCCTCTGCTGTGTCATTGACAGGTGAAGCAGATTATGGAGGAAGCTGTCACCAGGAAATTTGTTCACGAAGACAGCAGCCATATTGTGTCCTTTTGTGGTGAGTAACCAAACATACAAATGAATCACACAGCTTTTCATCATTTATAACCTCTTCAGATTGAACAGTTCTGCAGCGCTGAAAAGAGCTTTTGTGTTTCTTTTTTTTTTTTTGAATGTGCTATTACTGTGCAAGCTTTATCTTTAGTTACTTGTGTCATCTTTATGTTGTAGACTTGAATCTTGTTACCTTACAATGTGCTAATATTTGTAGGTTATATTTTATATTCTCTGATTAAATAAATACATGATGAAACAAAGTAGTACATACAAAGGCAATTAGGCATAACAAAACTGACTAAAAAAACACCAGAATATAGGAATCGTTGTGTTCTTGTTACCTTAAAATTAGTTGGAGTCTGTCATGTTGAACCACCATGTTTCTACTGTAGCCCAGAATGGACAAACCAAACACTGGCTCTTGATAGGGCCTTTTGTTTATTCCCCAGCCAACGTAGTTTCTCCTACACACTTCACAGTCCATTCTCATTCCCAGGTTACAATACAGACACGTGCTGTGTTCGGTTAGTTGCAATCTGCAACTCCTACTGGTCCTTCAGGTTCTGTTTAAGCCACTGGGTTATCACACTAGTTTAGCCACAATTCAACTATGCAGCCATCTTAAGAATATAATATTGTACTCACATTCACTCAGTAAAAAGTTAAAGGTTTAACTTAAAGATCCCTTCTGATTGGAACAATAATCTGTATTTGATATGGCTTTGATAAGCATAATTTCCACATTAAAATCCTTAAGATGACTCTACTCCTTCTACCTCATTAAAAATACCATTTTCTGTTGGACACAAGATGTCTCCTTCTTTACTGTAAAGTCCATTCTCAGTGTTTGTGCACTGATGGCTACAAGTTTCTACATCACACATGTATAAGTTGCATACTGGACCAGGTTTGACTTCCAAAGTATTTGTGATGTCACAAATCATGCTCGTAGGCAGGTAGATTTTCAGTGAGCACAGAGAAACTTTCCACTTTCAGCAGATGAATATGAAAACATCCTTCTAGTGTCAAACTCTTCACATACATCATTCCGCACAGATCCAACATCCAACTGTAGGAACGAGAAGAAAAATATATTTTAGACTGGAGGGCGACTTTAATGTTCCAGTTTTCCAAATAGATGGCAAAAACCCTCCATTCTTCCTTGTAGGAAAGCAAAAACGTACTGTAACAGAACCAAATTAATGTAGATGAAATGTAAAAGAACTTCCCTCCTTCAATAACTGGTGACTAATGATGTTTTTTACATCTGACTTCTTCACAAGGAGGCGGATGGTCAGTGTTAATCATAGAACAAATAACTACAGAACTATCTCTCATAGACCAAGAATTATTCACAATTACCAACACATCATTAGTAACAGTAAGATCTACAGTATATTCAAACAACCTTTGGCTATTACAAAGCCTACCAGCAGTAACATACACACAGTAGTTGCATTAGTCGATCAGAGAGGACAGAGGGAAGTTAGTACTGGGGATCTGTAATGGGGATCTTTGTCCGATAACAAAACTGCAAGTTGAGATTGTAGCCAGTAGTCAGTCTGGTGACGAAGAGCCACATCATCAACATAACTAAGTGTATAATTAGAGTTGATTAGAAACAAAGGACATTTAAAGTTCAAAATTTCACCAAGTGTTATTGTTCTTGCCTCCAAATGGCACCAATAGGGTGCAGTATGATTACTGTGAGAAACACACTGCCCACATGCAGACGCTCACACTAGTCAGATGTCTGGCTCAGTCCAGAGCTGTAATCAGTAACAAGATATATTTGGGGATTTCAGTGTGAATAAAATGACTCTCAGCTTGCAGAAAATGTGATATTTTTACTAGTTACTAGCTATGTTTGCAGACAAATACTGTTCTTAATTCAAAATGTTGGGACTCTAGGAAATCCATTAAAATGTAGGAAAATGGATTTATGTAATAAACAAGTGAACACTGATGAAACCTCCTCTTGGCACAGACTTTTATTACCATATAGAACAATAGCGCCAATAAATAAGTTGTCTTCATTGTACCGCTGGGTTAACATGAACGAGGAGATGCACCAACAAAAATATGGAAAAACTGTTCGATCTTTATAAGCCTGTCAGCTCTATATTGGTGTGAAAATGTAATTTGCGTTTGTGTAAGGAGGGAGGTGGAAAAATGAGTCAAAGAGGAGGTGAACAGATTGTGTGGAAATTAGATGAGTTCAAGGCGTGATATTTGTTCCCAGATCTAGTTATAAAACTCTGTACAATCATTTCACACACAGCAAAGTCAGAGGGAAAAAGGTCAAAGTGAGTCCCAAAATCCTGCTGCTATCAACATTGTGGAGAATCAATTTTGTGTGCTTCTTGGGTCTTTTGAGGCAAGATCACTTGTGAGAGCCAAGTTAATTTGGATGAAAAGAATTTGCAGCACAGCTTGAAAACGTTTAAAGCAAACGATGCTGGACATCCTTCCCACCCAGTAACCAGCTTACCCCGAATCTCTTTTTGTAGTTTTATCTTGGAAGGTTATCCAACTAAAATTGAAGGAATCTGTTTGTCCTTTGATCATTTTTGGACACGTGTTCATCTGATTGACTTCAAACTTGCTGCGTGTATTGCTGAGGACCCATTGAAGTGCAGTGTCAAGTGTTCGCTCGCAACCTCCAATGAATAATGTCAGCCTACTCTTTGTAATGCCTTGGGAACCAGCTTTAACATGGCGTAGCTGGCTACCTTCAGCATGAATTCATGAATTTATTAATTGTAATGATGTAGAGGTAAAGATTTAATTAATTCACTGTTAAATCTGGATGAAGAACTTCTTAAGAGTTAGATTACAATGTCTACTGCACATGCTGATAACGTTTCTCTATAATTAAATGTGTTAACTGCACATTTTTTATACATAAAAGGATACATTTTGCTTGTGTATCTTTGGCCCACATTCAGTCAATTAAAAACAAAGTTTTGAACAGTAATGCTAATCATTATTATATACTTCTGTCTAAAACTGGTGGCGTATTGTAATATCACAGTATTTAAAGTTTAAAAAAAAAAGAATAAAAAACTGGTGGTGCATGCATACTTTTAAAACTCAGTCCCTCCAGGATTTTGGAATTGCTGCAGTCTCAAATATCTGATTTTACAACTGTTTTTTTAAAAACTTTCAATGCATGTTCTGATGTTTTTTTTTGCAAAGAAATCACGCAAGACATTGGAAACCAAATAAAAATCATAGGCAACTTGTTCGAGTAAGAAAAAAATCTCTAGTAGTTTGGTGATATATGGCTGAGCATTTGGTGTGGTAGACTGTTATGATCAGTGAAACTTGCATGAAACTACAATGATTGGTTAAATTTGTAGCAGCAAGATCGCACAGAATTCATGGGGATTGGTTGAATTTGCATACATTTTTGTGATCACAACATCCTGCAGGAACTGAAAACTGGGGGTCAAAACTGCTGCCTCTAGAAGTGCACGGACTCTCCGGTTCTGCAGGTCGATTACACTGAGAAAGCTTCAAACGTAGCATTACCGGAGGCCCAGCAATCCGAACAGACACCGTTTGAATGGGCACTAGTGAAAATAATTAGTCACAGAACACAGATTTTTATTACAGTTTTTTATTACATCTGTCAGTGCTGTGGGCATTGTATGCGTGTGTCCATTAGCGCTTTCATGCCAACGTATCATCAGTTCTCTTGGTGTGCACATTATCCGTTGGATCATCTAATAGCTTGTTTTAATAGCTGCTGGTCAGTCTGAGGCGCCGACCTCCCAGTGGACACGTAGCAGCTTAGGATAACCCTCTCATCTCTCTCTTTTGTTGTCAGCAGCTTCCTCCTCCTCCTGTGATCCTTATAGTGGCTCTTGTTACTACACATCTTCTTTCAGCTGTGGTCTGTTTAGAGATTAGAGAGAGTGAGTGGAGGATGGGAGAGGGGGCTCGGCCAGCTCACCAGGGAGCAATTAGCCTCCACCATCATGGCTGCTTTGATGAGCTGCCCAGGCAGGAGTTTGAAATGTAGACGCTGTGGAGGGGATGTGTGTCAAAGCGCTACTGTTGACTTCAGTTAGCAAGTAAAAAGTAGCACAACAAAGCTAAAAACAACACATTTAACACATTAGACTAATGTTTTAAAGCAGAATTTGACAAGATCATCTGTTAATAATATCAAATAAAACCAATTTATCACCAGTTTAATACCAGTCAAATACTTTTTTTGCACAATATGACACCCACACAATCTATACGTCCAGCATTTAGATTTTCTCTCCCACATTTTCTACATGTACAGTTTTTGACATTTCCAGACTAACCAAAACATATTTTACATACGTACATTTTAACTGTTCATTCAACCAAACAAAGATTGCAAGCTTATTGTATTTGAATGAACTCGTTGAAGCATTATCCTTTTTTTGGCCTGCAGCTAAAGGCTTTTTATTGCTGATTAATCAATCGGTAATTTTAGCAATCGACTGATTAACCATTATGTCTATGAAATGTCAGATAACAATAACCAACTCCAGATGGTATTTGAGCCTTAAGTAATGTTTAAAACCTTATTATTTGATCTGAGCTACAGTCAAAACTCCCCAAAATCATTCAGTGCACAGTGAAATGAAATTAAGCTGCTGATGTTTTTATTATAATAGATAAATAACCTTAAATGATTAATCAAAAACATCATCAGTATAGTATTTTGTGGATCCATTTATTGACTTGTTGACTAATCATTTCAGCAGTGTCTGTCCATATTAAGGCCTTCTGTTGGTGTGTTGGTCAGCTGTGTTTCCCCCGTCCAAGAGTCTCTTAATGCACTCAGTTGCCACAGATACAGGATGATTAGAGGCAATTTACTGTGTTAGCTGTTTTTACCAGGAGGGACTGCACAAAGGACTGATTCTACTGACACGATGATCATTTTCTTCGTATCGTATTTATGCAGTTTATGATTATTATTGTAGGAAAATGGTTCCCATGAAATATTTAATTTGACTAAATAAGTTGAAAAGGAGTCTCTCTGCTTTGTGTCTCATACTGAATCTTTAATGCTTTTATTTATATGTGCGCTACAGTGATAAACAAATTTCCCAAATGTGGGATAAACAAAGTATTGTTTGTAACACTTTCAGAGACGTTTGTCGCTGCAAAGAAAGGATTTTCTGTAGCTTGGTGGATAGACTGTATCTCTGAAAAGTGTCTATTGTCTCAGATAGCAAAGGTTTCTTTGCATTTTTGCCAACTAGTTAATCAGAAATGATGAGAGAGTAAGGAGGATGATCTATATTGGGAGACCTTTTAATGTTACGCTTTGTTCTGACATTTAGCTTCTTGCTCTTATAATGATGTGCGGAGAGAAGCAGCTCAGACAGATAAAGAGCAAAATGCAGGAAGAGAGGAAGGAGAAACAAAGATGCAGAGAAGACGATGAGGACACATTTTAATTTAAAATAAAAAAAACTAAAGGGTTGATGGGTGTGATGACACTTTTATTGTCTAGGGTGAAGCAAAACCCTGTTAATAGGGATCTGTAGCAGCAGCGGTGGCGGAGGAAGTGACATCTGGAGAGTGACAGGATGAATGCAGGAAGAGAAGCTGTATTTGAACAAGTGAGGATGATGGAAAGAGAGAGATCGCGATGCTGATGAGCAGCCGCCCGCCCCTCCCTCCGCTCGTCTCTCCCAGAGCTCGATCGCTCCATCAACAGGGGTTGCCATGGCAACCCCAGCCTTCCCCCTGACCCCATGTGAACAGAGCCACAGGATTAGTCCTGAAAGAGAACTCAAATGTCAACACAGCTCCAGGCGCTGCCACGTAGGCCTGAGAGAGGAGAGGGGTGTCTGTTTTTCTGCACAGTCGAATGACTGCAAGTGTGTCGTCATGTCATTGACTTGTGTGTCCACTACAGATCATCGTGTCTAATGCAAAGATTATTATGTGACGGCATGAATGAATTAAAAATGAAAATCCATTTAGGAAATATGCAGTCTTCAACCTGGCAAACAGTGAAAACACCTTTCCTAAAAATGTAGCAACGTTGTTTGATTATGTTTTATTATGTATTTATATACTGTAGTAGTCACTCATTCAGACACAAGAGACAAGCCACATTCTTCATTTCAAATAAATGCATAATAGTATGTACAGACACATAAATATGTTGCATATGGTGATGAAACTCACTTGACATCTGACATGCAGGAGCAGATCTAGAGAAATATTCATGAGGTGGCCAGAGGGTGGCTGATTTCATCTTGAATAATCACATATATCAATATTTGCTTGGGAAAGCCTCCAAAATGAAGATATTTGAACTGAAAAACATATTATTGTGGCACATTAGTGACGCATTGAATAGAAATATCTAAAGGCAACATTAGAAATCAATAAATTGTTTTATTTCCAAATCTTCAAACATTTTTCCAAATATAGGTCTTTTTCATTGAATTCAAGCCTCATTTAGTCTAAAATGTGGCTATAACAGATCAATTTAAAATTAATCTAAATTAATGTGTTAAATTTGACAGCATCAAATTTAACACTCATTCAGAGGTGGCAGCTGCCACCCCATGCCTGCCATCTACTTCCGCCCCTGCTGACATGTTGGTCACAGCAGGACTGACGCTGTGTGGATTATCCTGGTGAAAATAAATTGAAGTGGATTTGTGACATGCTATTATAAAAGACAAATATTTTGAGGCACAAAATAGATTTTTGGAACATATTAGATGCCGCTGTCACAAAATGTATTTTATTGTACACAATGTTGCTGTGCTACTCAATATTTTTTTACTAACAATGGGTCAAATTACTCTCTAATATGAAAGCTCTATGGAGTGCTTTGGCATCTGTTAGCTTGTTGTTTTGGTTCTGCCAGCCACAAATTTATTGTATTAAGAGATATTTTTCCCTGTAAGATAAGATCCACAGTGACGAAATTTGGTTTCAGTAGTCAGTAGTCCAAAATAAAGCTAAAAGGAGAGTCAATATTGGACTTAAATTTATCAAGTGGTTAGAGGCATGACTCCAAACGAGTACTAATGTTGCTCCATCTCTGCTGGATGTACAATAAATAGGCAACTATTTCCTAACGCCCCAGGAACTTAACAGTGTTTGTAGCTTCACCCAAGTGGCCAAAGAAAATCTATTATTACTTCCGACAAGGAGGTTATGTTTTTGGAGCAGTTTGTGGGTTTGTCTGTCGACCATTCAATTTTGGAACGGATCCAAATCACAGGGTGGATACACAAATTATTTTTCACTTTCCTGCGCATCATAATGGAAGTAAAAGGTGTGCTGTGACTAAAATACAAAAAAAAAAACCATAACAGCATCCTCAAACATGACTAGAAACATTTAATGTGACTTTTCTGGATTAAATCAGAATTACAGGTTTTCCGACCTGTTGGAATTAAAGTGAATGGTGTGCAGGTTTGGGCATCATAGTTGCACTTTTTGTGTGGCCAGAGTGCAATTTGCTCACATAATACAAACAATAAAACACATATTCTGTGCTACAAAATGTGGCTGTTGTTTTCTCTTTGTGCTTTGGCTCTTCATTATTATTTGTTACTGCGATGATTTTGTGGTGTCCTTAATTGTTTTGCTGTTCTGGCTTACAGTATTAGTAAATTGAGTATAAAAGAGTATAATTTATCTTTTCCAACCATGTGTTTGTGGCCACACAGCTGCAGTGGAGGCATGTGTTCTGCATGGGCTGAAACGTCGGGCAGCGGGCTTTCTGCGCAGCAACAAGATAGCGGCACTCTTCATGAAGGTGGGGAAGAGCTTCGCCCCGGCTGAGGAGCTGTGCAGGAAGGCCCAGGAGCACGAGCAGATCATCGAGACAAAGTGAGAGACGCACACATCACAGCAGACTTCAAAGCACACATCAAAGCCTTGTGCGAAAGCACTGAAAACAAATGGCTGTCTGCTTACTTGAAGGGCTGTTTTTTTTTTTTTTTATATGAAAAGCTTCTAAATAATTCATGTTTATAAGCTTTTATGAATCATGAATCACTGATGCCATTAGCTTCACGCAGATGCAGTTTTACTACGTTACACTTTTTTTCTTTAAATTTAAACTCTCTCCTGCAGACGAAGTCAAAGCTTGCAAAGTCAGGACAGCCTTCGCAAGATGCCCCGACTGCCCAGCCTCACCCCACAGGGAGTCAGGAACCTGTGGATCCGGACGGCTCTATTTGAGAAGGTGCTGGACAAGATTGTTCTCTACCTGGTGGAGAACAGCAGGTACGTTGAGAAGGGCCAGTGAATGTCTGTTCAATTATTTGTGTTACAAGAAGTCTATGTCCCCTCACAATTCCCCTTTAACGTCTGTATTCCAGTAAATACTACGAGAAAGAGGCTGTTCTAATGGACCCTGTGGATGGACCTATCCTTGCCTCTTTGTTAGGTAATTACATGTGACATCTGTGTCTTTTAATGTAATCATCTAGCTTGGGTTCATGTTTGAATGAAAATGTCAGTATCTTATACAAGTATAGGAGCGCTGAGTCTGTTCTGCAGCAACAGGGACATGGTCCCTCACTGGCTTCCCACCAGTAAACACTGAATTTTTCTTTTTTTGATGGGGCCGAGCCAGAAGCACTGCTGCTGGGGACTGAATTTGGATCTCAGCTTGATTTACAAGACAGGAAGAAGAAAAAGAACATTTCTGCCACACAGAATTATGTGGATTATTCTGGCTATTATGTAAATTTAGTTTTTAGTTTTATAATCTTTGCTTTTTGCCTGGGATTTATTCCATAATATTGTGTCTTTGGGTCCCTTAAAAGTATTGAAAAAAACGGATTTTAAGGGATAACAGGCCAAAACGGTTTTGAACTTTAATAAGAATTGTTTATACCTTCATGGTGGATCAAAAGAAAGATCACCTAGAGCCTGTTATGGTACATCTCTGAAAAATCTACCTTTTTAGTACAAAGATGTTCCGCTTCTACTCAACCATGTTTCAGATAATCTGATGCCACCTATTAGTTAACTAAAGTTTCTGCACTGTGTAACTGTTCCCATTCATTGTGACAGTGGGACCTTGTGCTTTGGAGTACACCAAGATGAAGACAGCCGACCACTTCTGGACAGACCCGTCTGCTGATGAGTTGGTGCAAAGACATCGTATCCATGGTGGCCACTGCAGACAGGATTCTCCCACTAAGAGGCCTGCACTGTGTGTAAGTATTAAAACTGGTTGTACACATGAGCCTTGGAAGTAGGGGGGCTGAAGGGGGGCTGCAGCACCCCCTAAATCTGGCATTAGTTCATAAAAATATTCAAACTTACAACGTCCTCCAGGAAAGAGGTTTTACCTTCAGTTTTATCTGAAAAAAACTATTATGTATTGCAAATTATCCTCATTATTCAAATGAATGCAAAAACCATTAATGTCATGTGTTTAGCATTTAGTATGACGTCATTAGACTTTCTCTCAGCACCCCCAACTCTGACTGACTTCCAGAGTTCCCACTAGTGCAGGATTAACATCAGGCTCCTTATCACGTTTATAGAATATATTTATTTTGCTTTATTAGTAGGCAAGTAGAGTTTTAGTGCTGCGTCTGATCAGTTACATTCCCCTCTGAGATGCTGTCTGTCTGATTAAAGAGGAGCTGCTAGGATTACAGTGTAAAGTGAAGCACAGCACGTCCCAGGAGAAAGAACAGAGTGTATCTGAGACCTTCACACTTCAGTTCAGTCTTCAAGTTATCAGTGAACCAGGTCAACTCGGCCTAACACCACAATACTTACAGTCGCGTGGTGTTGTGTATTTGTGTGTGTGTGTGTGTGTGTATTTCATGCAAAAGTAGACTGGTCTTTGGCATCAGGAAGAAAGGAGGATGCACTGGTACACATGAATGAACATTAGATTCCTAATTTGAAACAGATTTTATTCATGGGAAATGTCTGTACTGTGACTGCTGTAATTCATTCGGCAAAACTAGTCATCATTTGGTGTAGTTTATTTTGTTATCTGATTTTCATATATTTTCTGTCTGTGTTGTGCAGATCCAGAAGCGGCACTCCAGCAGCAGCATGGATGAACGCCCCTCCCCATCACCATCAGCTCGTGAATATGTGGAGTCCCTGCATCAAAACAGCAGGGTGACCCTACTGTTTGGCAAAAACAATGTGCTTGTACAACCGGTAACTGTCTGATTCCTCTTAATGGCTCATAGATGTATAGATACGACACTCCCCAGATTCAATTTAATTGCGTGTAATGACAACATCCGACCTGATGTCTGTTTCAGAGGGATGACATGGAGGCTATCCCAGGTTACCTCTCTCTGCACCAGAATGCTGACATCATGACCCTGAAGTGGACGCCCAATCAGCTCATGAATGGCTCCGTTGGAGACCTGGACTATGAACGCAGGTGCAAAATTATCCAGCTGCACATGAATTGTGATAATGGTGATTGTGTCTACAAAGCCTGCGTTTGATAATATTAGTAATCCTCGTATTAGGAATATCTCTCATGTATTATGCTCCCTCAAAGACATGTAAACACTTATTTCTTTACCTTTTCTTTAACACTTACTGAATAATGCAGCGAGCTGGCGTGTGGCTCAGGGGATCAGTATGCAACTGATCTGGTGAAGCTTATTTTCAGCACACCAGCAGCCAGCAGATGGTTTATTGACCAAGACATCAGTCAGACATCTTTCAAACCAGCAAACCGTGTTATGTTCCTGTGCCTGTGCATGGTTTCTCTCACCCAAAAAAATTGATTATTGCATTAGCCAACTAACGCGCCTGCTCGTCTGTGCGCGCACTCCTTGCTACTTTCTTTATTAGCTATAAAATTAATGTTCCTTGACATTTTGGCTCACAGATAATATGTAAACATCTCCTTTGGATTTGTTTTTTCACTTTTAGCTGGTCCACTGGGTTTGCTGAGACTAGTCTGGGTTGTTATTTTACTGCTTATTTATTTGATGACATTTCTTTCAGTGTATACTGGGACTATGCCATGACGATCCCTCTAGAGGAGATAGTTTACTTACACTGTCATCAACAAGGTGGGTCGACCCAGTCCTTTACCTTTAAACCAAAACTCAGTGTTGAGTCATGATCATGAATTAGTCAACAAAGAAATCATCTCCCGTATATTTTCTGCAGTTGACAGTGGGGGGACGGTTGTGCTGGTCAGTCAGGATGGGATCCAAAGACCGCCACTTCGCTTCCCTAGAGGTGGCCACTTGCTCCAGTTCCTCTCCTGCCTGGAAAATGGCCTGCTTCCTCACGGCCAGCTGGACCCTCCACTCTGGTCCCAGAGGGGAAAGGTCAGCAAAGGAGGTCTCTCTTTGGGGTCGCTCTCTGGCTTTAAATGCAGCAACACAAATTACACAAATTAGGCATTCTTTCTAGAAAAAGACAAACTAAATCAGCCTTTATGTGATCAATAAATCAATAAAAAAAAAAGACATTTGAAATTGGAAATACACGCACTGCCTGGTTGTATTCATTGGTTGGACTGATACTGATTAATGCGTGGCTTAATGTTCTATCTGCACCGACACACAAGAAGTGTCTACTTTAATGAATGGATGTATCTGCAGCTAAACCGAATAATGAAAACCACCCACGCATGTTCAACCACTATTAATAAGCTTAAGCATACAGACACTCATCCTCTTTATTTTACACGGATGGCCTCGACCGGGCTTTAATGGTTAGTAATGTTTCACTGTTGGCATTAGTTTAATAACTGTTATATTCTCATCGCAGGGAAAGGTGTTTCCCAAGCTGCGGAATAGGGTTCCTCAGGGATCTGGATCCACAGACTCGGTCTCGGATAAGGAGGAGGACGAGGCCACAGACTATGTCTTCCGCATCCTCTTTCCAAACAGCCAGTCAGAGTTTGGTAAGATTTCCTCCAGAGAAGCAAATTAATATGAGCAGCGCCCACGGGCCTCGCCAGACTGTTGCATTTTTATGAAACTGTTGCTCATTGTTTGTTACAGTGACTGTAACCCATCCTCCCCATCTGACTTCCTCCCTCTCCCTTCAACTGAGCGGACAGTCCCCCTCCAAAACAGGAACCCTGGTTGTACCCAAGAGGTCCTGCAGCTGTCCTGAAGAATCCCCCTCACTCACAGGAAGCAGCTGTAACACTGTCACACCTCGGCTTGTCTGTCCGTCTGTCAGCTTGCCTTGCTTTAATTCCCTGCCTCTAATATCCTCCTGGCCTGTCCTGCGCCTCTGGCAAACTTTATTGATGTGTCCTGTTATTAAAGCCCCTCCCACTCCCTGCCAACTTGTGTTACACCTTTTTTACTGCATTAAAGCGCAGTAACCTTTTAACAGCCGATGGGTGGACAGCTGATTGATCGAATATGGCTTCCGAACTGAGAGCGGCTATTGCTCAGTTAATCTTTCTCTCTGTAATAATGTAGCTGAGTATGATGGCTTCATGCTTTAAAATTGTGCATCAGTTCCAGTTCCAGCATAAATGTTTTTGTTTATGTGCTTTATCTTTGCTCTAACAGGAATCAAGCACAAACACATTTTGCTCTGAAGTGCTTTCAGCAGATCACAATTGATCATCATAATTCTGCTTATGCGATATGTCTCCAGCTGTGTTTAAATCATCAAAGTGCAAATGTAATTGTCCTTGAAAGCTTGAGCAGCATAATGCTTTTTAAGTGACAATGACGGTTTGTGTGTGTGTGTGTGTGTGTGTGTGTGTGTGTACATGTTGCAGTGACTCCACCAGACTTGATGGATCAGGGAGCTTCAATGTGGCATCCCACTCTCAGGAAGTCCTCATGTTCCTCTTGTTCTCAGGGGAGCTACTCTGATGGGGCCGCACCCAAGGGGTGCAACCATGAGAGGTGAGAGATAAACACACTTCAAGCTAGACTGAGTTGTGTTAGATTGTGACAGGGGAAACTGCTGAAGGCTCCTGAGACAAACAAGCTCACCTGACATCCCTTATTGCCGACCAGAAATCCACAACAATGCAGACCAAACTGGGAAAGGAGCAAAGATACAAGGCCTTAGTAATTACCCAGAAGACAATTATGTGACATTTACCTGACTGATGTGTTGGGAAAATGAGGTGATAAGCAAAGCATCTAAAATGGTCGGAGGCTGTGAAACAAAAGGTAAACCTTTTGTTCTATATGGCAGCGCAATAGGTTATCATTTGAATGATAGAAATGCTTGCTCCAACACGGTAGTTAACTCTACTATTAACTACATTATCTCTCATACATTCAGGACGTTATAATTAGCTTCTCATGCACTAGATGATTAGTTTGATTGTAATCTTTTGAGGAAAGAGAACATAATAGTTGCATTATATGTTTGCTGTATCATCCTGCAGGGCTCCTCTGAAGCTGCTGTGCGACAACATGAAGTATCAGATCATCTCTCGGGCATTTTATGGCTGTATGTATGATTGCTTAGTGTGTACACTGAAAAGCCGTAAATATTTGTACCTATTCACGTTCACTATGACAGTGTCATAGTAGAACATAATATTTTTAATGATCACTAACATCTGCAGAGGCATTATGTAATTAACTGTATTGTCAACCAGGGTTGGCATACTGCCGTCACCTGTCCACTGTGCGTACACACCTTTCTGCTCTCGTCAATCACACCATTGTGGCGCCCGACGTGCCGCGCGATGCCTACAAAGGGCTGACCACAGACGTGTGGCAGACGTTCCTCCAGGACTGCACAGTAAGCATCGCTGGTGTCACAGCACTGCAACACAAACTTCACATTGCTGCTGACAGTATGCCATCCACACACACACACACACACATGCATGTCTACTCCCAGGCTCTCTCTTTCACTCTGTCACTCTTCTGTCTCATCCATATTCATCTTCTGCTACTCATGTGGCACACACAATTAGTCTCACAACAGTGTGCATGAAGCACGGCTAATGGAGCCGTCAGTCTCAAAGTCCATGTCTACAGTTTATCTGGACACAGGTTACATTTACCTGGAGCCATGGAGATTTTGAACATAAAAACAATGTTTTTACATGTTTTATAAACAAATATTTCTGTTTTGTTTTTCATAATGGCAGTGTGATATTTAATTATTATTTGGGGTAGAAAAACCCAGAAAAAGGAGTCACAAACAGTAGTTTGACAAAAAAAATGGTTTCAGTCGGCTAAAAGAAAAGTGTTTAAAATTAAAAATGATTACTCTTATACTCTTTCTTTAAATAATTATTTTATTATTTTATTAATTGATTTACTTTGGAGCTACCTTATAAAACCCAAACAAATCTGTATAAAAATGTAACATAAATGAAGGAACACCAATTAAGCCTTCAGTAATGTCTTTGATCTGCAGTTACATCTGAAGTTAATAAATAATAAAGAGCACGTACATACTGTTCAGGAACAGTTGGGAGATGCACCAGTGCCCGTAGTCTTCTCCATCTGCCACCCTCCTGGATGCATTAATCATCTTCATTGATAGAGTAAAAGCTACTATGCCTCTGTCTATAGTCTGCCATGCTGTTGTATTGAAGTACTATTGAATTTTTAACGGACGATGAGCGATAATTGTCTTTCTAAAAGAAGGAGAAACTCCAAAGATTGACCAAAAAGCAACTACTGAAGTGAAGGACTGTATGCTTTGTCTCTTCAGGCATACGAGGAGAAGGAGCTGCTTCGTCTGGTCTACTTTGGTGGTGTAGACGCCTCGCTGCGTAAAGAGGTGTGGCCTTTCCTGCTGGGTCATTATCAGTTTGGGATGTCTGAAGCTCAGAGGAAGGAGGTTTGTCATTTCCGCGATTGTGGCTTTGCTCCCTAAACCATCTTCCATCTGAACCTCTGACCCTTGATCCCTCGTTCCCTAAAACCCAGGTGGACGAACAGGTCCGAGTGTGCTACCAACAGACCATGCGTGAGTGGCTCGGATGCGAGGAGATTGTCCGCCAGCGGGAGAAGGAGCAGCATGCAGTAGCGTTAGCGAAGTGCACGTCTGGAGCGAGCATAGACAGTTCAAGTCAGAAGATGATCCACCATGACTCCACCGTCAGCAATGAGGTGAAGCAGTAATACTAAACTCAGAAATGTTTATTTGCTATGTTGCCTGGCACTTGTTGTTGTTATTATATTGTGTCTTCAATCAGAACATTATAGGAAACATTACAGTATATATTCTGAATTAGGCCAGTTTTATAAATAAATGTTGGTCTGCTAGCTATGGGCAGTACTTTGCAGCTTGTGAATACTGTTGTGTAAGGTAGCTCTGGAACGATCTTTCTATTCCATAACATTTTAAAGACATGGGCATTTACTAGGCTTAGACTGTCTGAAAAAAATAAGCTATTGGTTGAATTATGGGAAATGTAAAATCCAGGGTCTTTTGGGCTTGACTCATGCTAGGAACTTCAATTTTCTTTTTTATCTCTGGAGAATCCCTTTTAAAGTGAGCACAGCACATGAGCCAAAGAACAATAAGACTGTATGTATAAATATATATTATTTAATAATAACCTGAATGTCTTTATTACCCAGTCCCAGTCCTCCCAGAGCTCAGACAGGCAGAGTCTGGCTCGCCTGCAGAGCGACTCCAGCAGCAGCACACAGGTATAAAAGACTCACCATGTTACAGCCTGCACAGATGATCTTTTGAAAAAGGTTTTTCAAACACAATAAACAGAATTTCTGTTACAGTTTTTAAGCATCCTGATCCTTTAATGAGGCATTTCTCAGTACATGGCTAAAGTAATGCATGAGATCTCAACTTTTGGGAATCAATATTCCTCATCCCTGCATTCTCTCTCCTGCTAGTTCTTCACATCCTCCCATCCCTTCCCCTGGAGTAGCCTGCTTCCCTTTGGCTTGTTCTTTCAGGTGTTTGAGTCCGTAGAGGAGGTAGACCAGATCGAGACGGAGCCCAAGAACGAAGAGGCCAAACAGATGCCAAAGATGCCCAATGGAGCTCTGCAGAACGGGACAAGCTCTCCAGACTCTGGACATCCCTCCTCCCGCAACTTCTCTGTCACCTCCGGCCTGTCAGACGGCTCACTCAGCACAGAGGACAGCGCCGCGCCTGATACAACCCCGAGATCTTCAGCTGTCTCTCAGGTGCCACAGAGCCCTGTCAAACCTGCAGTGGTAGAACGCGAAGATGTGACAGAGGGAATGGACAGCCAGGTGAAAGGTACAGTGAAGGACAAAGAGGAGGAGGAAGAGGAGGGGACAGCACCTGATGGGGCCAAAACTGCAGAAAATACCAAGGCTGAGGTCATGGGTGACAGCGTGATCCAACCATTGGAAGAGGGGCTGGTGACAGTCAACAAAGAGACAAGTCTGCAAACTAAAACACAAGAAACTGTTGAGGAGTCTGGAGCAGTTAAAACAGAGGGGACCAAGTGTGAAGACGCACTGGCAGACATTAAAGGAATTAACTCTTTAGAGTCAGGAGGAACAGAAAAAGAAGTGTCCGATCGGGATACCACGATGGTATCAGCAGCTGCTACAGAATCCAAAGGAGAACTCGCTGAGCAAAGTCTTAAAAAAGACGTAGAAGTGAGTGTTGAGGGAACATCAAGGCTCAAGAAAACTGCAGAAACAAATGCGGAAATGGAAGAATCAAAGACAAGTAATCCACAGGACGTTTTGTTGGCAGAAAAAGAAAATATATCAGTCGATCCCGTGGCTCCTGCAGTTGAAAAGAACCTTGTTTTCTCAGCAGACAGCGCAGTCTTGAGAGCAAGAGAAACCTACTTTACCTCTCAGAAAGACGAGGCTGATGCCATGACTGAATCTGATGAGTCTCCCTCAGCCATAGAGATGGAGGAGATCCCCAAAGCCAAAGTTTCCATGGTGCCTTGGAGCAGGAAGGGACACTGTGAAGCATCGTCTTTCTCTGAGGACTCAGCCCCTCATGTGGAGCTCAGGCAGGAGGAGGAGCATGGAAAGCCCAGTCCAGAGGGCACAGAGTCCAATCTGTCGGAGGAGCCAGAGATGGAGAGCCTTTACCCTAACTTTGAGTCTCTGGCCGGATCTGAAAACACCAAGAATGAAGCGCCCTCTCAAGAATCTGCTGGGAGTTCCTTCTCTGTATGCATACATATATTATTTTTTATATTATATATTATATATTATATATTATATATTATTATTATATATTATAAGACTTCAAATTAATTTATCCTCAGGAAAAAAGCAACTCTATAATGAGATTAATTTATTCATTTATGTCATGTTTTGTTTGTTTCAGCAAGAGCTTTTGGACTTGTATACATTAAATCTGCACCGCATTGAAAAGGACGTCCAGCGCTGTGACAGAAACTATTGGTACTTCACTCCCGCCAATCTGGAAAAACTGCGCAACATTATGTGCAGGTAACACACCGACAGCATCGGGATGTAATAGAGAGTGCTCATTTTACCCATCATCATACATACAAAAAGGCTGATGGTATGAATATGAAACTTATGTAACATTGTGTAGCAATATGATTACTAAGAATTCATAAATATATATAGATATATGTATAATCTTTGGAAATGTAAACATTCTAATGAGTGTCTGGATTACCATTACATCATACCATTCACTGCTTATTTTGTTTTTATGAGATAGATGCTCCATAAATGAAGTTACTTACTGAAGTCTTACTGTCAACAAATTCCATAAAAAGACCCCAAAACAAACAATGAACTGATCCTACTAAAAAGTATTACTTATTCCTCTCTACCATAGAGCTCCATGTTGTTGATTCAAGGGCACAATAGTTTATTTTGAGTCAATCACACATACTGTTTTCTCTCTAGAGCAGCAAATGTGTCAATCTACAGCTGAAATGTCTTTAGGTCTTCAGTAGAAACAAATGGGTTTGCGGTTTGAGTGCTGCAGATAAATTCAACCAATTCCTGTGAATTCTGCACAAATTCACAACTTTTCCACAAATTTATAAGATATTATCATAGTTTCTGGCGAGTTTGAACAATCGTAGCTTTTCTCCCTTGTAAAACATTGAGCTATACGTCACCAAACTACTAGTGTTTTTATTCTCATTAGAACAAGTTGCTTTTGATTTTTAATTGATGGAAATTAGGCATTTTTCTTCCTAGTTCACCTTCACAAAGGCAGAGCTGCACCTTAATGGGGCTCCTGGGGGACCTCCAAGGACAAATAAAAATATTATAGTTAAACTGTAGAGAAGCATGTAAATGTAAATTATTCTAATAGATTTTTGCTCTTCAAAAGTAGCTGCCTTGATAAACGGTGAATATTATTTTAAAAAGCATATTTTCAGCATTGAAGAAATAGATGGATCTCTAAATATGGACAGCAGCGTATGACTTCTATTGGTAACTAAAAAGAGCGCAGTTAAGTTCACTCCTCTCGGTTGTGTATTTCCAGTTATATCTGGAGGCACCTTGACATCGGTTACGTACAAGGCATGTGTGATCTGCTGGCTCCACTTCTAGTCATTCTGGATGACGGTGAGTCAACACTGAATCAATTTTTATTTTCCCTCTTTTCTGACATTTGGTGTATTTTTATTTTTTTTTACAGCTATTGATGTAACAACAGAGAAAATGTTTCTCACTCCGGCTTCCTCTCTCTGTTTCCTCCTTTCAGAGGCCATGGCTTTCAGCTGTTTCACTGAACTCATGAAGAGAATGAATCAAAACTTTCCACACGGAGGAGCGATGGACACTCACTTTGCCAACATGCGCTCTCTAATCCAGGTGACACAGCACCAGTAAAGTCTTCTCTGTAGCAGCCACTAAATCCATTCATTACCCACAAAAACTCCCCACTTTTTCAGTTTTCCTCCACAGCCAATCTCATTATTTCTTTTCCCGAATCTCCTCTGATCCCCTCTGTACAGATCCTGGATTCTGAGCTGTTTGAGTTAATGCACCAGAACGGAGACTACACCCACTTTTACTTCTGCTACCGCTGGTTTCTCCTAGACTTCAAGCGAGGTAAAGTGACAGCATGGTGTGAAATAATTTGTGCCAATTAGACGTAGGAGATTCACTCCTCTTTAAGCCGTGTTTGTGGATAAAATGCCAAACCACTTGGCAGCTTGCTAACGAGGGATGTAGTGATTAAGGCTGGAAAAAGGATTTAGCAGTCAGTTATATTTTTGGAAAACAATTCAAGGGAGTTGCTTATGAAATAATTGGCATGAGCTGCTGCTGTGTGGATAGGTTTTATAATTAATATGCCTCATGCTGAAGAGTCAACCATGCGCTATTTTGTTTTCCGTTTCTCACCTGGGTATCTCAGTATATCCTCACATCTCAGCAAACACCTGCTTCCATTTTTATCTCTCTCCACTGATGAATCCACTTCCTACAAATTCGCCCTCAAACACTGACTTGGTTCAGCTCCCATTCCTTTGTGTGCTTTGTCTTGCAGAGCTGGTGTATGATGACGTGTTTGCAGTCTGGGAAACCATCTGGGCAGCCAAGTATGTCTCTTCTAGTCACTTTGTCCTCTTCATTGCCCTGGCGCTGGTGGAGATCTACAGGGACATCATCCTGGAAAACAACATGGACTTTACTGACATCATTAAGTTCTTCAATGGTAAAACATATAGCTTGTTCTCATACATCCCTAAAGGGGCCACGCCATGATTTTACACGTTTAAAGATCAGTTTACTCGTCAAACGGCGTACTATTCAGCGTGCCAAAACAGTTGTTTAATGTTGTTTATGGCTCTGAAGGATCATCTGCATAAACAACCCAGAATGAAGTCGTCAGGGGTGTCTCAGCTTGGGTGTGGAGACAACAAATTTATAACCAAAATGTTCACTTGTAGTGGGAGTTTGAAAGATGTGAGCATTTTCCAGGTATGAAGGGTCTAACAAAGACATGCAATCATGTTTCATTATTGTAAGAGCTTGACTCGTACTGAGGGCTGAAAGTCAGTCAAATGTCGCACCAGTTTTGTATCTGGGTTCACAAAGACGAGAGGAATTAAGAGAATCCGACACTGTTGCAATGACAGCTGTCATCAGAGGAGACGAATAACACACATACTTTGATACAAAAAACATCAATAAAGACTTCAGAGTCCCAGTATTTGGCAGTATTATGTGATTTGCAGCTTAATATTACGTTATATAAAACTTTAATAAGTTCATATTGTTCAGTAAATCGCTCTGAGAGTTGCCACAATAATATCGTTCGCCAGTGTCACTGTCGTTAAAGTTGTTGTGTGAACTCCACCATCCACTTGAATTAGAACAACTTATATTAAAGATATATATTTATAGTTGTTGTTATAGTTACCGTTCTTGGTGTGGGCGGCACTTAATACTAAATTGCTGGAGTCATTTTATTCCACTGGAACTTGATGCTTCTCTATTGTTACTGAATGTATATATTTAGTGTATGATTCATGAAGCCAAACAGCTCAATATAAACCTTGTGTGTGAAGAAGTGTTACAGCGTGCATCCATTGTCTTACTTTGGATCGACTGACACTATTCAGATGATTTTGGGAAATATATTCAGCTATTTGTGTTGTTTTGAAGTGTTATTTTTGGCGTAATTTCCCTTTAAACTTCACACGTTTCTTTGTCTTTCAGAAATGGCCGAGCACCACAACATAAAGCAGATTCTGACCCAGGCCAGAGATCTGGTGTGCAAGGTGCAGATGCTGATAGAGAACAAGTGATTGTACTGTGTGTGTCTTCTTTTCCTTCCAAGTAAAGTGTGAACGGCTGTAGCAGCACAAGAGTAAAATACATACGAGCACACACGCTCTCGCACACACACACACACACACACACACACACACACACACACACCCACTACACAAAGCCTTTACAATCACAGTTTGCTGCTATGAGCCTTATTGACTGTATCCACGATGTTGTTTGTGTCGTCAACAGGTGTATGAGAATATTATGCTTCATATTTGTCAGTATGTTCAAGTGAAAAACAAAATGTATCTGGGGAAAAAAAACTATTTCTTTAATTTCTAAATATTTTTGTCAGAAATCCTTTTAAAGTGTCAGTCTTAATCCGAGTGCACTTAATATTTTGAGATAAGGATGGTTTTAGTTGCACATTTCAAAACCAAAATGCAGAGCTGAATTCAAACCAGAGACTATATTTATGAGAAAGAATACATTGTGATAATAGATTATAATAATTATTTTAATAGTCTAGAATAAACTTTAAATATATTAGCAAGTTACCCCCCCCCTCCGTTTTCCTGTCCCTTAATGAAGGAAAGAATGTCAGCAGACTTTTAATTTTCTTTAAACACCCCAAAAATCGAATTAATTTTCATTGATGACTGATTCAGAACACCAAAATGTTTCCCAAACTCTGTTACGTTTCAACACGACTCAAGAATATTTTAGCTTTTAGCACCATGTCAGTGATTTTAGCATCCAACAGTGTTTTTAATGTCCTTTAACTGCCTTGTCTGCCAAATATACTGTCTTTATTTGTTACGTGTGAAATGTACTGTACTGAGAGAAAAAATGTGTTTTAACTTATGAGGATTATATTATGTTAACACTTGTAAAATCATAACCTAATATTTAAGTGACTTATGGATGTTTGGACGGAGATTTATATAAATCAACAAGCCTGATTTTGATCTTGAGTTATTTTTCATGATCCAGTGAACCACTGTACATTTTGTACATTTTGATTTATTTATTTGTTTTGTCTTGTATTGTCTGCCACTATAGTTTATTGAATCAAATGTTAATTTAAGCTTTTAATACATGGTTGAATATGGAAGATCAGACGTGACGGTGATAATATTTAGTCACAGTGACCAAATTAAAACGTTTTGTGGTTCCACGTTGTTCAGATTATTTAGTGTGAGTGACTTAAAATGAAAATGAAAGGTACAGTATGACAAATATTCAATTAAAATAGTTATAAATTAAATGATCTGATGTTTTGAGGGAAGCTGTTTTGGCAGATTTGGGGCTTGTGAGGACAAACAATATATATTTTAACCCCTAAACTTCGTACTAATGTTGGTCTCAGTTACCGACCGGCTATCATTCATTGTCTAAAACTTCAATGAGTTGGTCTTCAAGTGTTGCTTCATGAATGTGGTAAGATGAATTGCTTTTAATATTGGTGTTTCTTTGTGAATGCTAACTGCTGTCGGTTAAAAAAAAAAAATTCTATTAATTTATTGTGACATTTATTTGCCAAAGTATGTATTTATTTATTTATTCATTCATTTTCATATGCTGCTTTGTTTGTAAAGCTGATATTTTTATTTTGTAGCCAGTTCTTCTAAATGTGTATTGTAAAACAATAAAATTATATATTAAGAATCCTAATATATATATACACAAAATGGTATATGTTCTTATAATAAAAATAATAAAAATGGAATCATCATTATTTTTCCAAAACGCATTGTGATGTGCATTTTACTACACTCAATCCAACTGAGGTGAGAGAGTCAGACACAGTGTGTATTAACAATAAATAATGATATATTATTTATTGTTTTACAGAAGCTGCTGCTCACAAGCTAGTTTATTATAGTGCAAAGTAGTTTAATCTCCTCAAGAAATACACATTTTGAGTGAAATACTGTATCATGAAATCAGGATCTTTTAACTTTTTATCACCAAACCTGCAAATCTAAACACATTCCCAATAACCTCAGCTGTTCTTTAAGCTTACTGCTCATTAGCCAATGTACATGGTAACCATTATACCTGCAAAACATCAGCATTATCAGTGTAAACACATTAGCATGCTGTGGTTGGCATTTAGCTCACGGATGGCTCCTAACAATAAAGCTGTTGTCCAAACAGGGATTTGAACCTGAACTCTCTGATGCTCTCAACTGTGTCACCACCATACATTGTGAGTAAGTTACAGAGGAGGGCAGAAGACTAAATATAGAATATATTCTAATTTCAACAACAATAACATCTATTTTTATGACTGATTCTTTCAGTAGCTTTGTGTCACAATCCAGTTGTCTAACAGCATACTTTGATCATGTACTATATCCAGAGTGCAGCTTTTAGGACTGGAATAACTATAACCAGGAGGTAGAGTGGGTCGTCTACTAATCAGAAGGTTGCTGGTTTAATCCCCGGCTGCCTCTGCCCTTGAGACAGATACTGAACCCCAAATTGCTCCCACACTGATTCACAATTACTGTGGGAATTATTAAAATCGTGATCATGTGATTTTTTGGGGGGGGGTCTGCTCTTAAACTTGTATAACAGGATATATGGGACCCTGGCATGTATTCAGAACTACAGTACTTATATATACTATATTATAATGTTGTTTTGCCACAAATGTTATCTTTATCCTAATATTTCAGCTTCTATTGCGGTTTTTATTACATGTCCATTATTTGTGCAGCCCAAAGAGAACAACAGCGACTATATCCGAATGTATTGTGACCAGTGTTGGGCAGTAATAATATTACTTTCCCCAGTAGCTAGTAGTGTAACTAATTACTGATACATTTCAGTAGTAATTAGTTACAATATTACATTTGTAGGAAAAAAATACGTAATCATTTAATCATCAGAATTTAGTATTATTTATCAGATTACGATTTTTAAATATATAATTTAAAAAAAAATACACCGAGGACACATTGGTCTCTTTTCTTATAGAATACACTTATCAATACTTCTTATTGACGTTTGTTTTTATAAACATTTTAAAAGTAACAAATTAATCAAACGGTACTTTTTAACAGATAAACCAACTTTTAGTCGAAAGTGTATTTTGTTATTCTATAAGTGCCAAAATGGTTCCTCCAGAGCTTTCCATCTATGTTCACAGCCAATCAATAAAACCTAATCCCATCATCTCCGTCTCCTTGCCTCTGTTGACAGCCAGTCACTATGATCCATTTCCATTTTTTTTTTTTTTAATATACTATGCACCAATCACGTATCAGTATGTGCATCTTTACCTCACATTTTACAGCCAATCAATAAAGTCCATTACCGAAATCTCCGTTTCCTTGCCTTTGTTGACAACCAATCGCTATCGTTCGTTCCCAAAAACTTTCCATCCAACTTTCCAGCTTTACAGGTGCCAGAGTACTCGACTTACTTTGGATTAACGTTACTACATCGAGGTAAGAAGCCGACAGTGTTGTTATATGTAGTTGGTTAGTTAGCTAAAACGTATAACGTGTACTAATGTTAGGAAGAAGAACGTCTTATTTATGTAGAGGTTGGGGATAGCGACCAGTTTCATTAGTTTTAATGGACGTTTACTCATTTCAGCTGTAATTCAGCTTTGGTTTCCTTCAAAGAACAATACACAGGCTAACCATAAAACTGCACCAACCTTTATTAACTTTATCATGACGTTTTATGACGTAATGTGGGGCTTGTGTTGTTTAAGCGGGCTAATCGATAATAAACATAATATAGGCTAATTGTAAGTCTATGTAATCGAAATGGTATGTAATAATCTGATTTATATGGAGTTATGGCATATTATTATACCCACACACCACATTATCCCCTCCTCCCAAATATCAAACTATAACCGTGTCCAAAAACACTGAAATGAAATCTGTGCTATGTGAAATAAATGTATGAAACTGATTAACTCAGTTCTACTGAATAGTCATAAACTTTGTATATTGCCACACGCTATCTTTTATTGGAAGATGGCTTCCAAGCACAAGAAGCACAGGGCTATGAGTGAGGGTGAATGGATGGCCCGCCTGCGCAGGTTTGCCACAGTGGGGGTCTGGCCTTCTGAGGGGGGAAACAGACCGGCACCACGCCAGAAGAAATGGCATGAGCTGTATCAGAAGGTAAACTTGGACATGTATATAAACACAGGAAAGCTATGTCATATTTAGAGAGAACAGATAGTTATGATTCACTGTCATATGTTACAGATTGAGAAGTGTCCACTGCAACAAAGGGGGCAAATGTCTCTGTTTGGGGGGACACGGACATGTGACTGTGGTTTCCATACGAAAAAGGTATAAGAAGTGTTTCATAAAACTGTGATGTGTTGATGTCGTATTGTGTATTTTTGAATTTAATTTCCTTTTCTGTGAAACTGCAGCCTTCCAGTTTGGCCCCTGTGGCCCCTGTGTCATCCACACCATCCACGCCACTACCTGTACTACTTGTAACACCGGGGCAGTCAGGAACAACATCTGGGAAGGCACCTTTAAAGCCTACTTTGACTTTGGCATCGGTAAATGCATGTCTTTATGCAGATATTTATGTTATCATATGTTATATAACATTTTAAAAGGCTTCACATAATGTTATTAATTTCTTTTTGTCAGTTTACAAAGCCGCGGTATGGTGGGTCCCATGGTGCAGCTTTAAAGCCAAACGTAGGTGTGGCAAGGACGCATGCAACCAAGGTATAGTCAAGAAAATGAAACTTCATTCCATAAAGATATGCTGAGTTTATCTAATTATCGTTACTGCAATACCTGATAATGATAGATTATTTCATTCAATATTGTAAACAGTCCCTCTTACTCTTGCAGGCTATTAGCACTAGCGCAGAGTCCCAGGCTGTATATCCAGACCGTCTCCCCCCTGTCTCTTCCTCCTTCTTCTGTGTCTGAAGCCACCTCTGCTTCCTGTGCTCCAAGAGCTGCTTCTGGAGTTGTGAGAAACTCTTTCATTTAATTGTTTTCTTCACACTAATATTGTTGGATCACATAAATATGTTGAAATTTTGAACAAACATTCCTCATAAGTGGCTTGTAATCATATCTATATGTTTGTCTTTTTTAATACATTAGGAAGTGTCAGCCGCTGCCTCCTCTCGGACCTCCTCTGGGACCTCCTCTGCTCCTCTCACCCCTGTTATCAGCTCCGCCTGTGTTCCCTCTGCTGCTCCATCTGTGGCTGGATCCTCTGTCCAACCTGCTGAGAATATGGTGACCGCTCCAGGTTCAGAGTCTGGATGGCTTCCCGCAAAGTTGCTGAAAACCATACCACCACAGGATCAGAAGTGGGTTTCAGCAGCTTTGTGGAAGCAACATCGGCTTCGTACCGACCTGAAGCTGTGGTATGATCCACCAGAGCCAGCTCTGATTTATCACCAAGGCCCCACTCCAGAGCGTTTCTTTACACACAGGCTTCTACTGTGGATGCCATACCACCTCTGGAAGATTCAGGCTGTCCTGTCCTGTATGTGGGAGACAGCTCACAGGCTATGGGGCGCACAAGAGAGCCCGCCAGGTTCTGTATGTGGACCGGTACTACCTGATGATCACGGAGACTCTCTGGTGCAGTGCAGTTGGGTGCAAAACGGCCTTTATTTCCACCAGCAAGGCCATCTTGGACCAGCTGGACTTAGCCCACAGGTTGGAATTTAGGCTGATCCTAACTCGAAAGTAAGTATACTGAGGTTATTTAGCTTGTGTAACAAATGTTTGTCATTTAAAATACAATTGAGATGAGCTGGTTTTAATGTTTGTGTCTTTCTGTCTCTCTTTCCCTTTGTTTATTCAGATATACCTGTGACATGCGGGTCATAAGGTTCCTGAGGGAGAGGGCCCTGGGCAACAGCCCTTCTCGCTTGGTGAGGCAGCTGCGGGAGAACCACAGCGAGGAGGTGCCTGCTCAGACTTCACTTAGCCAAGTGTGCTCCCTTGAGGTACCTTGGTGCCTGCTCACTGCTCATGATCATCTAAGCTTGTATAATATAGGACCCTCGCATGTATTCAAAACTACAGTACTTATATATCTATATTATAATGTTGTTTTGCCACAAATGTTATCTTTATCCTAATATTTCAGCTTCTATTGCGGTTTTTATTACATGTCCATTATTTGTGCAGCCCAATGAGAACAACAGCGACTATATCCGAATGTATTGTGACCAGTGTTGGGCAGTAATAATATTACTTTCCCCAGTAGCTAGTAGTGTAACTAATTACTGATACATTTCAGTAGTAATTAGTTACAATATTACTTTTGTAGGAAAAAAGACGTAATCATCAGCATTTAGTATTATTTATCAGATTACGATTTTTAAATACATAATTAAAAAAAAAAATACACTGAGGACACATTGCTCTCTTTTCTTATAGAATACACTTATCAATACTTCTTATTGACGTCTGTTTTTATAAACATTTTAAAAGTAACAAATTAATCAATCAAACGGTACTTTGTAACAGATAAACCAACTTTTAGTCGAAAGTGTATTTTGCTATTGAATAAGTGTCAAAATGGATCCTCCAGAGCCCGGATAGCTCAGTCGGTAGAGCATCAGACTTTTAATCTGAGGGTCCAGGGTTCAAGTCCCTGTTCGGGCGGTAGCTGTTTTGTTGGTATCCTGCAACCCCTAGTGTTAGTGGAAGAAGTATGATTAGTTTGTCACATAGTTTCTATCAAATAGATATATATACTTTATAAATATGGAGAAAGTTGACACTTGTATGTTGTGAAAACAGTTGAAACGTCTATATTTGACACTAATCAACCTCACAGTCTTAAAATCCTCGAGCAAAAACATAGACGCCCGAACAGGGACTTGAACCCTGGACCCTCAGATTAAAAGTCTGATGCTCTACCGACTGAGCTATCCGGGCGCTCTGAAATCGACACGAGCTGATATCATTCTTAAAAAGTCATTATATACTGTGGGAAACCTTCATTTTTAGGATCACACAAAGCGAAAAAATTAAATATCAAAATCGATCCGTGGCCCGTTATTTCATTTCCTATGTTTAATCTGAGCAATAAATCGAAAGTACAAAAAAATGAACCGTTATTTGTTTTTTGGTATCAGATTCATAAACGAATAAGGAAATAACAAACCGTTTTTTCATTTTCCGATTTTGGAATCTCAATTGAATATGAAAAGAACGAATGACACACGGATTATTAATGCTTAATTTAAAACACCCTCGTTGTATTTTAACTAAAAACCAACCAGTCTGTTGTCTACCTGGGACAAAAAACGAACAAGGAAGTACGTGGACGTTAAACCTCTCGCCTCACCTCGTTTTACCATTCTCTGGGCTAACTACGGCAAGCCGTTAGCTAACGTTACGTCCATGTGAAGCTAGTTCAGAGCCCTTTTCACTGACTTTCCGGGTGAGTGAGTAAACAATAAGACAATGCGAAACTATCTTAACACAACTCGGACACAGCTGGGTCGCTAATTGTGCTTAAAATGTCCGCGTTTGGTCTCGTTGCTAAACGCGGCGTATCGCCGAAGATAATCCGGCCTTCATTTAACCTGTTAACTAACGACGGATACTCAGCAGCAAGCAGCTTCCTGCAGGGCCACAACACTAATATAACACGTCTGTTGAGCTCTCAACCACACAACCCCAAGGTAAAGTAAAGGTGAATGAGTGTTATTTATAATGCAGTCTGTCTGTTTAGTGCCAATATAGATTATAAACATCTTGAGTCTTGATACCAGCTTGTTTCTTCTTATAGGTACCAAAGGTTGCAACATGGGAGCCAGCATCAGAGGACCAACTTCCACCGGTAATATATTATAATGACTGGGTGTACATGCATGGTGGTTGAGTAATGCCTTGTTAGATTTTAGATGTTTAGTTGAAAGCCCATCATAGGGCGTCATTATAACATACACAAATATACTCAGAGGTTTATTTGTAGTTAATATAGTGCTTAAAAAGTCTGAGTAAGACACATTTAGGGTTTTTTTAGTAGCATATTCCCTTATTTGTGTTTCTACAGTTTCCTATTGAGCTGCCGCAGAGATTAGTAACACTAAGAAGACTCATTTTGTGTGTTTTTTTTGTTTTTGTGAGGGCCTGAAACACAATCTCACACACACAGGGAGAGATGAACAGTTAAGGACTACCTCTGTAATGCCCTGGAGGTGGACTGGCAGCTCTCCAGCTACCGGTCCACGCTCCATACTGTGGTCCGTGCTGGACTTAAACCGGCAACCCTCTGGTTCCCAAACTCAAGTCCCCACAGGCTGAGCTGCTGCTGGTTAAATGACAGTGAAACCAAAATATCCCAGATACAGCCACTGCCATCATAATAACTACCTGCAATGACAGAAACCATCTTATTTGTCTTATTTTGACGTATATTTAGATTTTTAGTTTGCCTCATGTCCCATCTGCTAACGAGGAGGCAGCAGGCTTTATGACCTATACTGCAGTCAGCCACCAGGGGGCAGTCGAGGTGTTTCAGCTTTCACTTATGGAGAGCCTTCATGGTCCTGACAGTGTTTGGTTGTTAGAAATTATTAATGGATTCAATAATTACTTATGGGATGATGGGAAGGAATCTGTCTCTCACACACACACACTGTTGATTTTACAGCCTGCCCAAATCCCCGCTGACCTCGTGGACAAACTGGAGAGACTCGCTTTAGTGGATTTCCGCACCAAACAGGGACTGGCCTGTTTGGAGAAAGCTATCAGATTTGCAGATCAGCTGCATGTTGTTGACACGTCCAGTGTCGAACCAATGGACTCAGTTCTGGAGGACAGGTATGGTACAGATGTGAAAAACAAGACACAAACACACACAGTTATAACCACTCATGATAAGAGTCATGGAAGTTATAACTCTTTATTAATGCACATTCAGGGCGTTAAACCTGAGGGCTGACGCAGTGACAGAGGGGGGCTGTGCTGAGGAGCTGCTTCAGCTCTCCAAAAACACAATTGAAGAATACTTTGTGGCACCACCAGGTAAGAATACGTTTACTTTTAAACTATATACATATAATTTAAAGATGTTTTTGCTTTCATTCGACTTATATTTGTGTTCTTACTGCAGGAAATATTCCTCTACCGACGAAGGAGGAGAGGGCGTCCATGCTGAAACACTCAGAGTTGTGATGTTTATGAATTTATCTGTGATATTTATTAATCTTTCTTATTTGGGAACTTGTTTTGTAAAAAGAATAAAGACTTGATGTTTATGCATTTAGATGTTTGTTATGTTTCAGTTTTATTTCACGCCTGTGGTTGCATCTCATTTCAGTCTGTGTCATTTTTCTTGAAATATTGAGTGAGTTAGGACATTTTTATTTGTGATTCACACTATAATCTTCATCTTCTTTCATTTCAGTATTGTTTAACTTTCTCTCTGTTTTGTTTCCTTAGAAAACTTATATCTAAAAACAGATTGTGACGTATTTGTCTGTCACATTTCATGCTAGAACCAGTTTTGATGTAATCGTCATTAGTTATTCAGGCTGTCAAAAAGTCCCCGGTTAATCATTTAATTGTCCGTCATTCCTTCATATTTACAGCTGTTTTCCACTGCCCCACCTCTTGGATAAAACGTTGTTATTGTTGGTGAATTCTTAAACACACCTTGAGGCAGTGTTGTTGTTGTTGGTAATGAATGTGCTCGTAATAGCTGTGTCATGTCAGGAGAATAGAAACTGAAAGTTATGAAGGCAGAGAAGGAAAACGAATGTGAAGTAAAGGGGGCGGTGTTGATCAGCTGAGGCAGACTGTATATAAACTGTGGGAGCTGAAACCTCTGACACAGCTGCTCGTAACAATCATCTGTTTGATTGTCACCTTTGTCAAGACTTCAAGAAGTTTTCCTGAAGATTTTACAAACGAGATCACAAGGTAGGAATCTCTCTTTATCAACACTGCACTGTGAGACTTTACTGAAAAGAGTTTGCATGATATTTATGGTTAAAAACAAATCATATTGCAGTTATTGTGACAGATATAAGATAGTGGGAATGATCATTTTTGCATCATAATCGTCATTTTCATGTAAAAAAAACCTATTCAAATCTCTAATTTATATTTAAAATGTATTGAACTGTCTTTCAGGCCACTTTCATGATGGATATAACTATTAAAATGCTGGATGGGAGGTTCCACACCCTGACGGTGAACCCACAGGACACAGTGAGCTCTCTGAAAAGACTCATCCACGAGAAACTTGGAGTTTCCCCTCAGAGGCAGAAGCTGGTCTTTGTGAACGGCCAGACGACTCAACTCAACGACGACTCAAAGCCTCTCTGCTACTACGGTCTACAGTCTGGATCCATGGTGTCTCTGCTGGTCACCCAGCAGCCGGAGACCATCCAGGTGTTCCTCAGCAACCTACAGGGGCAGAAGAGCACCTATGATATCAGACCCAATGAGACTGTGAGGAACTTCAAGACCAAGGTCCAGCAAAGAGAGGGGGTCCCAGCAGACCAGCAGAGGCTCCTTTACCAAAGCAGACAGCTGGAGGATGGTAAAAATCTCTCAGACTACAACATCAAGGCTCTTGACACCATCAACATGACCGGGCGTCTGAGAGGAGGCTGAGGACGTTTCTGGTTCATATATCAGAGACTTCATACACTGTACATTCCTTAATTTCACAAAAATGAAGATCAAATCATCCCAAATGCCATATTTATTATTATTTATTTCTTTTTTCATTTGGAAAAAGTAAACAAAACATTCCCCTGATGTGTAATTCTGTCATAAAAACCTTTTGACTTGATGTTATTTTGTTTTTTTTACAATACAAATATGTTGTACACACAACCTGGCATGTTGTAATCTAATTTGGAAAAAAAATGATGTTTTATTTTTGTCAACTGGAAACTTTTCAATAAAATAAAAAAGTCCCAAATGTAAATGTACATGTGTCTTTTATATATCCTGCATTGTAATATTTCACCAGCTCAGAGGTGGAGTTGTTGTTGATATTATTTAAATATATAAAACAGACTTTCTCTATAATATAAATCAAGATTAATATGTGAAGAGGATTCATGTGCGTCTGTGAGACAATGAAACAACAGCACTCTGAACTGAAAATAAAAAAAAAGATGGTGTCAGCATTTTAGCAGCTTCATTTGACTGATGACAGGATGTTAATCTGAACAGACAGAAAGTTTCAGTAACTTTGCTTCATCTTCTCTTCAAACTTTAAAAAACATTATTTTGATTCTGACCTCCAATAAGTGTGCAGTTAGTGCTGATCTGCCAGGGTTTGTTCTAAGTTTGTCTTAATTTAGTTGCAGGGTTGTGTGTTGTAGTGTTGTGTGTTGCAGTGTTGTGTGTTGTAGGGTTGTGTGTTGCAGTGTTGTGTGTTGCAATGTTGTGTGTTGTAGGGTTGTAGGGAGGCTGCCTGTGTCTTTCTGGGGATTTCCTCTGTGGGGATTTTGTGTTTTGGTTACAGTTTAATTAGTGTATTCAGTAAGTGCCATTGGAGAGGCATCAATCTGATATTTTCTCCTCTGAACTCTCAACATTAGTGCAGAGTTTACTTTAGATTGTTGGTATTGTGTTGAATCAGGTTAGTTTTATTTGTCATATGTAGGTTAACATGGGGTCAATGGTGAATTGAAATGTCCTGAATGAGAAGAGCTCAACTCAGCAGTAACAGCACAAGTCATATAACAATAAAATAAGAAAATTAAAGAAAGATTAAAATAAAATGTAATGAGATGAATAAAATATTACTATAGAAATATGTACAATAAACTTAAAGGTCCAGTGTGTATTTATAAATCCTACACACTGGTCCCTTAAGTATAAATAGATTTGCTTGCACTGTATAGATATGAGCAAGTGATTATTGTGTGTCAGGTGCACAGACTATTGAATGAGTATCACTATTGTGGATACATATGAATATATGAAAGAAGACTAAAAGTAAAGTGAGAAGTGTATTCAGAAGTATTGCACATGTGTGTATCACGATATCAGACAGATATCAATGACCACAAGGAGGCAGCAGCAAAATAAAACACTTATAATCAATAAATCGGCACATGCTTTGTTTATAAGTGATGAATAAAAACACTCAAACAATCATCTATGTTTCTGTCTTTTGTTACAGGTGTTGCTGCTGATTTGTTGTGTGTCACCACAGGTTGGGTGTGGGAAGTTCTTCTTCTCGGGGTCAGTGGGAGCCAACTTGCTCTATTTCAGTTTCCTCTTTCAGTCTGTGAGCAGGAAACACGGAGAGAGAGATGGACAAATAATCTGAATGCAAAATAAAACATTAGCTAAAATCTTTACTACATAATCTGGAGACTTTTGCCTAAAGGCTTGACACTGAGATGTGTGAGTAACTCTGAACTTTACATCAGGTTTGTGATTTTTGGGACCGTTTAATCACTAATTGTTTGTTTTACCTTTAAAATGAAATGTTCATTGAAATGCTCAGTAAACTCTGAAGTTCAGTGGACACAAAAAGGCCATAAAATATATATTGAGATCTGGTTTTAAGTGATAATATAAACTAATTTAGACTTTTCATGTCTCAAAAATGTCTTTGTGAATCCAATAAACAACAATAATGCTACTACATATCTGTTAATTTGGTTACTTTTACTCTCATTATTGTTAAAACTATGTATTTGTTTTCCTTAATGATCTTTGACCTTAAATAACCTGATCAGGTAAAACTCCCAGGTGATTCATTCTCACTAACAGCTGTTTCTCCACTAATAAAACCAGATTATTTGGTTTTGTAAAGACACCTTTGGACAGCATTGGTATGAAAACATTACAAGCACTCACAGTAGCTGTGTCATGTCAGGAGAATAGAAACTGAAAGTTATGAAGGCAGAGAAGGAAAACGAATGTGAAGTAAAGGGGGCGGTGTTGATCAGCTGAGGCAGACTGTATATAAACTGTGGGGAGCTGAAACCTCTGACACATCCGCTCCTAACAATCATCTGTTCGTTTGTCACCTTTGTCGAGACTTTTCAAGAAGTATTCCTGAAGATTTTACAAACGAGATCACAAGGTAGGAATCTCTCTTTATCAACACTGCACTGTGAGACTTTACTGAAAAGAGTTTGCATGATATTTATGGTTAAAAACAAATCATATTGCAGTTATTGTGACAGATATAAGATAGTGGGAATGATCATTTTTGCATCATACTCGTCATTTTCACGTAAAAAAAAAAAAACTATTCAAATCCCTAATTTATATTTAAAAATGTACTGAACTGTCTTTCAGGCCACTTTCATGATGGATATAACCATTAAAATGCTGGATGGGAGGTTCCACAACCTGACGGTGAACCCACAGGACACAGTGAGCTCTCTGAAAAGACTCATCCACGAGAAACTTGGGAGTTTCCCCTCAGAGGCAGAAGCTGGTCTTTGTGAACGGCCAGACGACTCAACTCAACGACGACTCAAAGCCTCTCTGCTACTACGGTCTACAGTCCGGATCCCTGGTGTCTCTGCTGGTCACCCAGCAGCCAGAGACCATCCAGGTGTTCCTCAGCAACCTACAGGGGCAGAAGAGCACCTATGATATCAGACCCAATGAGACTGTGAGGAACTTCAAGACCAAGGTCCAGCAAAGAGAGGGGGTTCCGGCGGACCAGCAGAGGCTCCTTTACCAAAGCAGACAGCTGGAGGATGGTAAACTACTCTCAGACTACAACATCAAGGCTCTTGACACCATCAACATGACCGGGCGTCTAAGAGGAGGCTGAGGACGTTTCTGGTTCATATATCAGAGACTTCATACACTGTACATTCCTTAATTTCACAAAAATGAAGATCAAATCATCCCAAATGCCATATTTATTATTATTTATTTCTTTTTTCATTTGGAAAAAGTAAACAAAACATTCCCCTGATGTGTAATTCTGTCATAAAAACCTTTTGACTTGATGTTATTTTGTTTTTACAATACAAATATGTTGTACACACAACCTGGCATGTTGAAATCTAATTTGGAAAAAAAATGATGTTTTATTTTTGTCAACTGGAAACTTTTCAATAAAATAAAAAAGTCCCAAATGTAAATGTACATGTGTCTTTTATATATCCTGCATTGTAATATTTCACCAGCTCAGAGGTGGAGTTGTTGTTGATATTATTTAAATATATAAAACAGACTTTCTCTATAATATAAATCAAGATTAATATGTGAAGAGGATTCATGTGCGTCTGTAAGACAATGAAACAACAGCACTCTGAACTGAAAATGAAAAAAAGATGGTGTCAGCATTTTAGCAGCTTCATTTGACTGATGACAGGATGTTAATCTGAACAGACAGAAAGTTTCAGTAACTTTGCTTCATCTTCTCTTCAAACTTTAAAAAACATTATTTTGATTCTGACCTCCAATAAGTGTGCAGTTAGTGCTGATCTGCCAGGGTTTGTTCTAAGTTTGTCTTAATTTAGTTGCAGGGTTGTGTGTTGTAGTGTTGTGTGTTGCAGTGTTGTGTGTTGTAGGGTTGTGTGTTGCAGTGTTGTGTGTTGTAGGGTTGTGTGTTGTAGGGTTGTGTGTTGCAATGTTGTGTGTTGTAGGGTTGTAGGGAGGCTGCCTGTGTCTTTCTGGGGATTTCCTCTGTGGGGATTTTGTGTTTTGGTTACAGTTTAATTAGTGTATTCAGTAAGTGCCATTGGAGAGGCATCAATCTGATATTTTCTCCTCTGAACTCTCAACATTAGTGCAGAGTTTACTTTAGATTGTTGGTATTGTGTTGAATCAGGTTAGTTTTATTTGTCATATGTAGGTTAACATGGGGTCAATGGTGAATTGAAATGTCCTGAATGAGAAGAGCTCAACTCAGCAGTAACAGCACAAGTCATATAACAATAAAATAAGAAAATTAAAGAAAGATTAAAATAAAATGTAATGAGATGAATAAAATATTACTATAGAAATATGTACAATAAACTTAAAGGTCCAGTGTGTATTTATAAATCCTACACACTGGTCCCTTAAGTATAAATAGATTTGCTTGCACTGTATAGATATGAGCAAGTGATTATTGTGTGTCAGGTGCACAGACTATTGAATGAGTATCACTATTGTGGATACATATGAATATATGAAAGAAGACTAAAAGTAAAGTGAGAAGTGTATTCAGAAGTATTGCACATGTGTGTATCACGATATCAGACAGATATCAATGAGCACAAGGTGGCAGCAGCAAAATAAAACACTTATAATCAATAAATCGGCACATGCTTTGTTTATAAGTGATGAATAAAAACACTCAAACAATCATCTATGTTTCTGTCTTTTGTTACAGGTGTTGCTGCTGATTTGTTGTGTGTCACCACAGGTTGGGTGTGGGAAGTTCTTCTTCTCGGGGTCAGTGGGAGCCAACTTGCTCTATTTCAGTTTCCTCTTTCAGTCTGTGAGCAGGAAACACGGAGAGAGATGGACAAATAATCTGAATGCAAAATAAAACATTAGCTAAAATCTTTACTACATAATCTGGAGACTTTTCCTAAAGGCTTGACACTGAGATGTGTGAGTAACTCTGAACTTTACATCAGGTTTGTGATTTTTGGGACCGTTTAATCACTAATTGTTTGTTTTACCTTTAAAATGAAATGTTCATTGAAATGCTCAGTAAACTCTGAAGTTCAGTGGACACAAAAAGGCCATAAAATATATATTGAGATCTGGTTTTAAGTGATAATATAAACTAATTTAGACTTTTCATGTCTCAAAAATGTCTTTGTGAATCCAATAAACAACAATAATGCTACTACATATCTGTTAATTTGGTTACTTTTACTCTCATTATTGTTAAAACTATGTATTGTTTTCCTTAATGATCTTTGACCTTAAATAACCTGATCAGGTAAAACTCCCAGGTGATTCATTCTCACTAACAGCTGTTTCTCCACTAATAAAACCAGATTATTTGGTTTTGTAAAGACACCTTTGGACAGCATTGGTATGAAAACATTACAAGCACTCACAGTAGCTGTGTCATGTCAGGAGAATGGAAACAGAAAGTTACGAAGGCAGGGAAGGAAAAGGAATGTGAAGTAAAGGGGGCGGTGTTGATCAGCTGAGGCAGACTGTATATAAACTGTGGGAGCTGAAACCTCTGGCACATCCGCTCCTAGCAATCATCTGTTCGTTTGCCACCTTTGTCGAGACTTTTCAAGAAGTTTTCCTTAAGATTTTACAAACGAGATCACAAGGTAGGAATCTCTCTTTATCAACACTGCACTGTGAGACTTTACTGAAAAGAGTTTTCATGATATTTATGGTTAAAAACAAATCATATTGCGGTTATTTTGACAGATATAAGATAGTGAGAATGATCATTTTTGCATCATACTCGTCATTTTCACATTAAAAAAAAACCTATTCAAATCCCTAATTTATATTTAAAATGTATTGAACTGTCTGGTCAGGCCACTTTCATGATGGATATAACCATTAAAATGCTGGATGGGAGGTTCCACACCCTGACGGTGAACCCACAGGACACAGTGAGCTCTCTGAAAAGACTCATCCACGAGAAACTTGGAGTTTCCCCTCAGAGGCAGAAGCTGGTCTTTGTGAACGGCCAGACGACTCAACTCAACGACGACTCAAAGCCTCTCTGCTATTACGGTCTACAGTCTGGATCCATGGTGTCTCTGTTGGTTACCCAGCAGCCGGAGACCATCCAGGTGTTCCTCAGCAACCTACAGGGTAAGAAGAGCACCTATGATGTCAGACCCAATGAGACTGTGAGGAACTTCAAGACCAAGGTCCAGCAAAGAGAGGGGGTTCCGGCGGACCAGCAGAGGCTCCTTTACCAAAGCAGACAGCTGGAGGATGGTAAACTACTCTCAGACTACAACATCGAGGCTCTTGACACCATCAACATGACCGGGCGTCTGAGAGGAGGCTGAGGACGTTTCTGGTTCATATATCAGAGACTTCATACACTGTACATTCCTTAATTTCACAAAAATTAAAATGAAATCCTCCCAAATGTCATATTTATTATTATTTATTTGTATTTTCATTTGGAAAAAGTAAAGAAAACATTCCCCTGATGTGTAATTTTGTCATAAAAACCTTTTGACTTGATGTTATTTTGTTTTTACAATACAAATATTTTGTACACACAACCTGGCATGTTGTAATCTCATTTGGAAAAAAAATTATGTTTTATTTTTGTCAACTGGAAACTTTACAAAAAAATAAAAAAAGTCCCAAATGTAAATGTACATGTGTCTTTTATATATCCTGCATTGTAATATTTCACCAGCTCAGAGGTGGAGTTGTTATTGATATTATTTAAATATATAAAACAGACTTTCTCTATAATATAAATCAAGATTAATACATCTTACAATGGTCTGTCAATGTATTATAAACTACATTTATTATATTCTGTTATTACAAACAGTGATAGGAGCATTTTATAATGGCATAACCTGGTTGTTGGTTTTTTAGGAGACAGAAGAGCTTCTGTATGTGAGCATTATTGTCAGATGTTTAACAGGTAGCATATACAGACAGTAAACAGCCTAAAACCTCTGTGAAGAGGATTCATGTGCGTCTGTAAGACAATGAAACAACAGCACTCTTTGAAGGCGGTGTCAGAGAGGAGGACGCTGTCCAAGATTCATACCATCTTGGACAATGTCTCCCACCCACTCCACAGTGAAAACTCTGAGTCCATCAGTCTTTAAACTGGTGCTGTTAAAGTGCAATAAGTCAATTAAGGTGCAATTCACTTGATTATTATGTTATTCTTTGTAATTAACTCTAACTGCAACACCACAATCTATAAAACGTATTACTATTTATTTAATTTCTTTCAGTAATACTGTGGAATATGTTTACATTTACTTTGTATAGAGGCTCTAATTATCTTCTTATATTTCCATTTCCATTTTTACTTTTTACTTATATGTATATACTTACAAATACATTCATATTCTAGATATTGTGTTATAAGTATTATTTCTATTCTTTAACATTGTGTGAGTAGAACATCTCTAACAAACAAATTTCCCATGGGGGATCAATAAAGTATTTCTGATTCTGATTCTGTATTCAAATAGTTGCAATTTCCAGCTTCCCGCTCATAGACAGACGGGGGAAACTGAAATAGTTCAAGTTGGCTCCCACTGTCCCCAAAAAGGAACTTCCCACACCCACCCTGTGGTGACTAGACAAACAACAATTAACAGCTGTTGTTAACAACAAATAGATGCCAGTAAATCTTACACACTGGTCCTTTAAGTATAAATAAATTTGCTATACACTGTATAGATATGAGCAAGTGATTATTGTGTGTCAGGTGCACAGACTATTGAATGAGTATCACTATTGTGGATACATATGAATATATGAAAGAAGACTAAAAGTAAAGTGAGAAGTGTATTCAGAAGTATTGCACATGTGTGTATCACGATATCAGACAGATATCAATGAGCACAAGGTGGCAGCAGCAAAATAAAACACTTATAATCAATACATCAGCACATGCTTTGTTTATAAGTGATGAATAAAAACACTCAAACAATCATCTATGTGTCTGTCTTTTGTTACAGGTGTTGCTGATTATTTGTTGTGTGTCACCACAGGGTGGGTGTGGGAAGTTCTTCTTCTCGGGGTCAGTGGGAGCCAACTTGCTCTATTTCAGTTTCCTCTTTCAGTCTGTGAGCAGGAAACACTGAGAGAGAGATGGACAAATAATCTGAATGCAAAATGAAACATTTGCTAAAATCTTTAACGCATAACCTGGAGACTGTTGCCGAAAGGCCCGACACTGAGATGTGTGAGTAACTCTGAACTTTACATCAGGTTTGTTATTTTTGGGACCGTTTAATCACTAATTGTTTGTTTTACCTTTAAAATGAAATGTTCATTGAAATGCTCAGTAAACTCTGAAGTTCAGTGGACACAAAAAGGCCATAAAATATATATTGAGATCTGGTTTTAAGTGATAATATAAACTAATTTAGACTTTTCATGTGTCAAAAATGTCTTTGTGAATCAAATAAATTACAATAATGCTACTACATATCCGTTAATTTCGTTACTTTTACTCTCATTATTGTTAAAACTATGTATTTGTTTTCCTTAATGATCTTTGACCTTACATAATCTGGTCAGGTAAAACTCCCAGGTGATTCATTCTCACTAACAGCTGTTTCTCCACTAATAAAACCAGATTATTTGGTTGTGTAAAGACACCTTTGGACAGCATTGGTATGAAAACATTACAAGCGCTCACAGTAGCTGTGTCATGTCAGGAGAATGGAAACCGAAGGTTATGAAGGCAGAAAAGGAAAAGGAATGTGAAGTAAAGGGGGCGGTGTTGATCAGCTGAGGCAGACTGTATATAAACTGTGGGAGCTGAAACCTCTGACACATCCGCTCCTAACAATCATCTGTTCGTTTGTCACCTTTGTTGAGACATTTCAAGAAGTTTTCCTGAAGATTTTACAAACGAGATCACAAGGTAGGAATCTCTCTTTATCAACACTGCACTGTGAGACTTTACTGAAAAGAGTTTGCATGATATTTATGGTTAAAAACAAATCATATTGCGGTTATTTTGACAGATATAAGATAGTGGGAATGGTCATTTTTGCATCATAATCGTCATTTTCACGTAAAAAAACCTATTCAAATCTCTAATTTATATTTAAAATGTATTGAACTGTCTGGTCAGGCCACTTTCATGATGGATATAACCATTAAAATGCTGGATGGGAGGTTCCACACCCTGACGGTGAACCCACAGGACACAGTGAGCTCTCTGAAAAGACTCATCCACGAGAAACTTGGAGTTTCCCCTCAGAGACAGAAGCTGGTCTTTGTGAACTGCCAGACGACTCAACTCAACGACGACTCAAAGCCTCTCTGCTACTACGGTCTACAGTCTGGATCCATGGTGTCTCTGCTGGTTACCCAGCAGCCGGAGACCATCCAGGTGTTCCTCAGCAACCTACAGGGGCAGAAGAGCACCTATGATGTCAGACCCAATGAGACTGTGAGGAACTTCAAGACCAAGGTCCAGCAAAGAGAGGGGGTTCCGGCGGACCAGCAGAGGCTCCTTTACCAAAGCAGACAGCTGGAGGATGATAAAAATCTCTCAGACTACAACATCAAGGCTCTTGACACCATCAACATGACCGGGCGTCTGAGAGGAGGCTGAGGACGTTTCTGCATCATATATCAGAGACTTCATACACTGTACATTCCTTAATTTCACAAAAATTAAAATGAAATCCTCCCAAATGTCATATTTATTATTATTTATTTGTATTTTCATTTGGAAAAAGTAAACAAAACATTCCCCTGATGTGTAATTCTGTCATAAAAACCTTTTGACTTGATGTTATTTTGTTTTTACAATACAAATATGTTGTACACACAACCTGGCATGTTGTAATCTCATTTGGAAAAAAAATGATGTTTTATTTTTGTCAACTGGAAACTTTTCAATAAAATAAAAAAAGTCCCAAATGTAAATGTACATGTGTCTTTTATATATCCTGCATTGTAATATTTCACCAGCTCAGAGGTGGAGTTGTTATTGATATTATTTAAATATATAAAACAGACTTTCTCTATAATATAAATCAAGATTAATACATCTTACAATGCTCTGTCAATGTATTATAAACTACATTTATTATATTCTGTTATTACCAACAGTGATAGGAGCATTTTATAATGGCGTAACCTGGTTGTTGGTTTATTAGGAGACAGAAGAGCTTCTGTGTGTGAGCATTATTGTCAGATGTTTAACAGGTAGCATATACAGACAGTAAACAGCCTAAAACCTCTGTGAAGAGGATTCATGTGCGTCTGTAAGACAATGAAACAACAGCACTCTGAACTGAAAAGGAAAAAAAGATGGTGTCAGCATTTTAGCAGCTTCATTTGACTGATGACAGGATGTTAATCTGAACAGACACAAAGTTTCAGTAACTTTGCTTCATCTTCTCTTCAAACTTTAAAAAACACTAAAGCAACAACGAATGTGCATTTTGATTCTGACCTCCCATAAGTGTGCAGTTAGTGTTAATTGTGTGTTGTAGGTTTGTGTGTTGTAGGTTTGTGTGTTGCAGGGTTGTGTGTTAGAGGGTTGTGTGTTGCAGGGTTGTATGTTCCAGTGTTGTGTGTTGCAGGGTTGTGTGTTAGAGGGTGGTGTGTTGTAGGGTTGTGGGTTACAGGGTTGTGTGTTACAGTGTTGTGTGTTGTAGGGTTGCGTCTTGTAGGGTTGTGTGTTGCAGTGTTGTGTGTTGTAGGGTTGTGTGTTGCAGTGTTGTGTGTTGTAGGGTTGTAGGGAGGCTGCCTGTGTCTTTCTGGGGATTTCCTCTGTGGGGATTTTGTGTTTTGGTTACAGTTTAATCAATATTATTCAATATATTCAGTAAGTGCCATTAGAGAGGCATCGATCTGATGTTTTCTCCTCTGAACTCTCAACATTAGTGCAGAGTTTACTTTAGATTGTTGGTATTGTGTTGAATCAGTTTAATTTTATTTGTCATAAGTAGGTTAAGACAGGGTCAAGGGTGCATTGAAATGTACTGAACAAAGTCATATAACAATTAAATAAGAAAATTTTACAAAAGATAAAAAAATAAAACATCATGTGAAAATAAGAATCGTTGTGTTTTTGTTAGAATGAGCCTTTTATATCAACAGAGGCAGCCAGTCCTCTTCTATGCAGTCCACCATCTTTCTACAGTAGCACAGAATGGACAAACCAAAACCTGACTCCAGATAGGGACTGTAGCATTGTTCATGAGTTTTGTGGCCACTGTCCTTCACACACAAAGGCTCTAAAGCCATCTCTATTTCCTGAGGAGTCTGAGGTCCTTCAACATCTGCAGGACCATGCGGAGGATGTGAATCAATACTCAATAAACTGATCCACAAGGCCAGTGACGTTGTGGGAGTGGAGCTGGACTCTCTGACGGCGGTGTCAGAGAGGAGGATGCTGTCCAAGATTCATGCCATCTTGGACAATGTCTCCCACCGACTCTACAGAGAAAACTCTAAGTCCATCAGTCATTCAACTGCTGTTAAAGTGTACTCTGTTAACTCAGTTAACTCTGAAGCTCATTGGACACTCCTTCAGGCAAAAAGCCATAAAATACATGTTGACATCTTGTTTTAAGTGATAATATAAACTAATTTAGACTTTTCATGTGTCAGAAATTGCTTCATGAATCCAATAAATAACAATTAGGCTACTACACAATATAGATCTGTTAATTTGGTCACTTTTACACTCATTATTGTAAATATGTATTTGTTTTCTTTAAAGACAGTCTTGATCTTTGACCTTATATAAGCTGATCAGGTAAAACTCCTCTGTGATTCATTCTCACTAACAGCTGTTTCTCCACTAATAAAACCGGATTATTCGGTGGTGTAAACACACCATTGGACCGTATTGGTATGAAAACATTACAAGCGCTCACAGTAGCTGTGTCATGTCAGGACAATAGAAACTTAAATGTGAAGTAAAGGGGGCGGTGTTGATCAGCTGAGGCAGACTGTATATAAACTGTGGGGAGCTGAAACCTCTGATACAGCTGCTCCTAACAATCGTCTGTTCATTACCTTTGTCGAGACTTTTCAAGAAGTTTTCCTGAAGATTTTACAAACAAGATCACAAGGTAGGAATCTCTCTTTATCAACACTGCACTGTGAGACTTTACCGAAAAGAGTCTGCATGATATTTATGGCTAAAAAACAAATCATATTGCGGTTATTTTGACAGATATAAGATAGTGGGAATGATCATTTTTGCATCATAATCGTAATTTTCACGTAAAAAAAAAAAAAAACCCCTATTCAAATCATGATTATTGGACATTTTTGGGGGGTTGAACCGAATAAACATGTTTTCTTAAATTTGGAGAACAAGATTTGTAGTTTACCTTTATATCTGTATAACCTTATATTTGGATATTGCAATTGAGCATATTGTACTTTGGATAATATTTTGATTACTCGTGCAGCCCTAATTTACACTTATATTTAAAATGTATTGAACTGTCTTTCAGGCCACTTTCATGATGGATATAACCATTAAAATGCTGGATGGGACTTCCCACACCCTGACGGTGAACCCAAAGGACACAGTGAGCTCTCTGAAAAGACTCATCCACGACAAATTTTTAGTTTCCCCTCAGAGGCAGAAGCTGGTCTTTGTGAACGGCCAGACTACTCAACTCAACGACGACTCAAAGCCTCTCTGCTACTACGGTCTACAGTCTGGATCCATGGTGTCTCTGCTGGTCACCCAGCAGCCGGAGACCATCCAGGTGTTCGTCAGAAACGAAAAGGGGAAGCTGAGCACCTATGATATCAGACCCGACGAGACTGTGAACGATTTCAAGGCCAAGGTCGAGAAAAGAGAGGGGGTCCAGGTGAGCCAGCAGAGGCTCCTTCACCAAAGCAGAGAGATGACTGGTGGGAGACTTTCAGACTACAACGTCGAACATCAGAGCACCATCGACATGCTGCTGCGTCTGAGAGGAGGCTGAGCACCCTCCTGCTTCATATTTAATAATATAAATATAATTAATACACTCTACATTCCTTAATTTATTATGATTGAAGATCAAATAGCCTCACATGCTGTCATTTTGTATTTATTAGTCTTTTAATTTGAAATTCCAATACATTCCTGGATAATTGTGTCATATCTACGGCCAGACGACTCAACTCAACGACGACTCAAAGCCTCTCTGCTACTACGGTCTACAGTCTGGATCCATGGTGTCTCTGCTGGTCACCCAGCAGCCGGAGACCATCCAGGTGTTCCTCAGCAACCTACAGGGGACGAAGAGCACCTATGATGTCAGACCCAACGAGACTGTGAGGAACTTCAAGACCAAGGTCCAGCTGCAGCAGGAGCAATCCACAATAGTGCAAGTTGACTAAAAAAACTAAAAACTTTGTGGTTACCCACAACAAACAACAATTAAAAGCTGTTGTTAACAACAAATAGATGCCAGTAAATCTTACACACTGGTCCTTTAAGTATAAATAAATTTGCTATACACTGTATAGATATGAGCAAGTGATTATTGTGTGTCAGGTGCACAGACTATTGAATGAGTATCACTATTGTGGATACATATGAATATATGAAAGAAGACTAAAAGTAAAGTGAGAAGTGTATTCAGAAGTATTGCACATGTGTGTATCACGATATCAGACAGATATCAATGAGCACAAGGTGGCAGCAGCAAAATAAAACACTTATAATCAATACATCAGCACATGCTTTGTTTATAAGTGATGAATAAAAACACTCAAACAATCATCTATGTGTCTGTCTTTTGTTACAGGTGTTGCTGATTATTTGTTGTGTGTCACCACAGGGTGGGTGTGGGAAGTTCTTCTTCTCAGGGTCAGTGGGAGCCAACTTGCTCTATTTCAGTTTCCTTTCAGTCTGTGAGCAGGAAACACTGAGAGAGAGATGGACAAATAATCTGAATGCAAAATAAAACATTTGCTAAAATCTTTAAAGCATAATCTGGAGACTGTTGCCGAAAGGCCCAACACTGAGATGTGTAGTAACTCTGAACTTTACATCAGGTTTGTTATTTTTGGGACCCTTTAATCACTAATTGTTTGTTTTACCTTTAAAATGAAATGTTAATTGAAATTCTCAGTAAACTCTGAAGCTCAGTGGACACAAAAAGGCCATAAAATATACATTGAGATCTGGTTTTAAGTGATAATATAAACTAATTTAGACTTTTCATGTCTTAAAAATGTCTTTGTGAATCCAATAAATAACAATGATGCTACTACTTATATGTTTATTGGGTCACTTTTCCTCTCATTATTGCTAAAACTATTTATTTGTTTTCCTTAAAGACAGTCTTGAGCTTTGACCTTAAATAACCTGATCAGGTAAAACTCCCAGGTGATTCATTCTGACTAACAGCTGTTTCTCCACTAATAAAACCAGATTATTTGGTTGTGTAAAGACACCTTTGGACAGCATTGGTATGAAAACATTACAAGCGCTCACAGTAGCTGCGTCATGTCAGGAGAATGGAAACCGAAAGTTATGAAGGCAGAGAAGGAAAACGAATGTGAAGTAAAGGGGGCGGTGTTGATCAGCTGAGGCAGACTGTATATAAACTGTGGGAGCTGAAACCTCTGGCACATCCGCTCCTACAATCATCTGTTAGATTGTCACCTTTGTCGAGACTTTTCAAGAAGTTTTCCTGAAGATTTTACAAACGTGATCACAAGGTAAGAATCTCTCTTTATCAACACTGCACTGTGAGACTTTACTGAAAAGAGTTTGCATGATATTTATGGTTAAAAACAAATCATATTGCGGTTATTTTGACAGATATGAGATAGTGGGAATTATCATTTTTGCATCATAATCGTCATTTTCACGTAAAAAACCCTATTCAAATCATGTTTATTGGACATTCTTTGGGGGGGTTGAACCGAATAAACATGTTTTCTTACATCTGCACTCTACACTTATATTTAAAATGTATTGAACTGTCTTTCAGGCCACTTTCATGATGGATATAACCATTAAAATGCTGGATGGGAGGTTCCACACCCTGACGGTGAATCCACAGGACACAGTGAGCTCTCTGAAAAGACTCATCCACGAGAAACTTGGAGTTTCCCCTCAGAGGCAGAAGCTGGTCTTTGTGAACGGCCAGACGACTCAACTCAACGACGACTCAAAGCCTCTCTGCTACTACGGTCTACAGTCCGGATCCCTGGTGTCTCTGCTGGTCACCCAGCAGCCAGAGACCATCCAGGTGTTCGTCAGAAACGAGAAGGGGAAGCTGAGCACCTATGACATCAGACCCGACGAGACTGTGAACGACTTTAAGACCAAGGTCGAGAAAAGAGAGGGGGTCCCGGTGAGCCAGCAGAGGCTCCTTCACCAAAGCAGAGAGATGACCGGTGGGAGACTTTCAGACTACAACGTCGAACATCAGAGCACCATCGACATGCTGCTGCGCCTGAGAGGAGGCTGAGCACCCACCAAGCTCATATATCAGATAATTAATCAATGAAATGTACATTCCTTAATTTAATACGATGAAGATCAAATAACCTCAAATGCTTTATTTTTGTATTTATTAGTCTTTTAGTTTAAAATAATCCAACACATTCCTTTATAATCTTACAACTTTTATTTTGGTTTAATATTTAATTTTGGCAAATACAAATGTTACACATATAGACAACATGGTGTGTTAAAAAATTTATTTTCACAAATATATGTTTTTAATTTTGTTATTTGGGTAATTAAAAAAAATAATAAAGAAACTATTTAAAGTGTGAATTTGCATTGTGTCTTCACATTTCCTGTTCTGTAATATTACATCAGCCACAGATGTGGAGCTGTATACCCTGCACACACCACAAGTAACAAGGCACTTTAAATCATTCAATAGTATAAATCAAGATTACATCTTACAGTGCTTCGGTAAAAAAAACATGTATTATGTTGTCATTACAAACGCAGTATCATAGCAGCATGTTATAATGGCTTAAACTCAGTGTACAGGTTTGTTAGGCTACTGTGTGTGAGAATTATCGTCCCGATCAGGAGCAGGTGTACAGCAGTGCGGTAAACAGCTTAAAAAGCCACAGCAGGAAGATTCATTTCCTCACAGATGCAAGGTAGGCGTACCAGAACAGGGCAATCATGTTGGCAAACAGCACGCGGAACTGAAACCAAAAAAACAACAACAACAACAGAGAGTACAGGAAAGGGTGAATAAACATGAGAGGTGTCAGTGTCTGAGTCAGCGTTGCATTGTGACAGGATGTCGGTGAAATACTCACCTGAACAGGCACAAAGTTGATATTGACAAACTGGAAGGGAGTCCAAACTTTCCAGTTCATCTTTAAAGCAGTCCAGTAACTTCCTCTCATCTTCTTTTCAAAATCTCCCCACCCTTTCCCCTGTAAATAGATTGGAATTACCACATATTCCCCTTTCCTTTGCTCTTCTTCTTTCTATATAAAACACACTTTATGACGCGTTTAATATTGCATACAATACAAGAAGACAGTGAATTAATTACTATAATAAATATCCAGGTTGAAGCGTTGCACTAGTGGCAGTAAATCCTTTAAAGGGTCCAATTTCCTCAAAAACTAGTCATGGTGAGCACTACTAAACCTGTCAAGTACACAAATTATAACAAACATGGCGTTTAAAAGACAAGCAACTGTAGGATCCTGCGTTATTTGAGCTTCACCCATTAAAATGGGCTCATATTCAGGAAATCTCGGCCTCTGCTGCAGCAATTTCGACCGTTCTTGTCTTTTAATTACTTTTCCAGTGTTAGATGTAGCGTGTTATATAAGTAGTGGGTTTTTTTCAACCTTTTTCCCCCTTTGGAACATCTTTTCTATCACTGAGTAAACCGACGACCCCTAAGTATGTGACATATTTTATGTATTGCAAATTATATTTAATGCATAACAGTAACAGTACAGAACAACTGATATTAACTATACAATTAACACAAATAGAGAACACAATAACTAATTTTGAGCAGATTATTTCCTGTGATCATCAGAGATTAGTTTTCCTGCTATGTGATAACTTTTTATATAATTCTCTGTCTTAATATGTTTATTTTTTAACAACTTCAGTGTTTTTTTCTCCCACTATTACTCTGGTGTTACTGTAATTGCACTACTTGTGGCGGTAGGTACTAATGTAATGAATTATGTTTTTAAATTAAATAACGTAATTATTACATTACAATTTATGATTTAAATGGGTTTGTTACTTGTTATGTTTGTCATACCGGAAAAAAGTGGAGAACTATGTCGATGATTTTATGATTTACGATCTAATGTCACTCGACCAAAGTCCGGTCATCAAACAATTATTTATTAACTATTGAATGAAAGCTCAGTTAATGCTGACATACATAATGTTAATGCTGATCTTGTCATCTTACAGGTAGGAACGCTACTCGTTGCTGCTCTCTGGTGGTCAGGAGGATTCACAACTAGACAAAATTGTCCCACAGCAACATTAAAATAATATATCTGACAGCTGTGTGCATTAATAAGAGAATTGAAGCATTAAAAAAGTTACTTTACCTAACAACTAATTACTTTTATATGCAGTGATTGGTTATGTAACTATTTTACACTGGTCTTTTCTATCTTCACGACCCTGCAATAAATCAAATGGCATAATGAGGTGATCAGGAGGGAGCGTTTCTGAGGTGACTCACTTCCAGGATGGTCATAACAAAGTAGAAAAGGAGCAGAAAGCCGGGGGCAAAAAAAAGCCGATCCAGTAGCAGACGTTTGATTATACAGTACGGGTCTGTGGTGGGCATCCACACTTCCATCAGCTGGTAAAAGTAGTGGCTGACCGGTCCTGTAATAAACAACCTGCAATACACAACAAAGCACAATAACTACAAATATAGGGTTAGGGTTAGGGTTAGATGCACAGATTTGAACAGGGAACACAATGTTCTCCCTTTTTTGTTGTTGTAGATGAACCATGAAAAAAGCACGTCCACCCTCCGTTTGTTTTGGTATAAAGTCTCACCCGTAAATGGCATAGCGTGCAGCTCCAGTGGTGTCGATCTCACTGACCAGGGCTCCACTTTTGGCCTTTTTTCTCACCTCCAAAATCTGAGACAGAAGATTTCCTAAAGCTGAGAGGATGCCACTGAAAACATCAAAGACACACACACACACACACACACACACACACACACACACACACACACACACACAAAGACAACTCTATCAATATGCAACAGGTACATGCATAATAACATACCCTGATTATCTCAAAATCAGTGTCATGAACTTGTCAGGGGAGGTTTTCCTGGCAGATGCTGATTGGCTGAAGCCACAGTGCTGACACAAAAGGGCAGTCTGTGGTCAGTGCAAACAAAAGACACTTTAAAGTCAACAATCACATAAAGAACTGCAAACGAACTGATACCACAATGCAGCAAACAGTAAATTAACTCAGTGCTTTTAGTTAAAAGTCTCGTATTTTCCTGTCAGACTGAGGAGAAAGTGGACAACAGCAGCAGCAGGATGCAGAATGAAGTCCAACAGTGAGTGAGTTTAACGAATACAGCCACTGACCTCGTTACGGATTTAGTGAGGATGGGGTATTTCTTCAGCAGGACCAGATACTGCTGCAGCAAACGGAACTGAATGGACGCATCCCGGACGGGCAGGCTCTGCACAGGCATCGTGAGTCGTTTAACGGCACCAACATCACCCACAAACAACGGACTGGGGCGAAGTTGAAGAGCAGCCCCGCCGGAGACTTCCGCTGCACGTCGGCGCGTCAGTGGTGGAGCCACGCCTTTACGTCATCATATTATTAATTTATTTTTATATTATTTGTTTATTTTTAACTGAACGTTTTTTTTTTTTAACTGTAATATTTCATAAAGCACAAAAAATAATAAAAATAGTAATATAGGAGATAAAATACACAAGGCTGTTTAGTTTTTTTATAACATTATAACCGTAAGAGGAAATTATTGTGCAGAGTGGGCAAAGAAATAAACATACACATTAAAAACAACATGACATATAAGATAAGATAAAATGAGGAGAAGATAAGATAATCCTTTATTATATATTTATTATAATGGGGGAAATCAGTTTGTTACAGCAGCAGGGGGATAGCACAAAGAACAAACATCAGGGAAATAAATAAAATAAAAGTAATATACATAAATAAGAGTATAAAACTAAATTAAAATAAAGAAAGGTCCCTTTAGGTCAGGGAGCTCAAACTGCTGGGTTTGGGGGCCATTTCCGGCCCCAAATCCTCCTTCCGACCGGTGACCTGAATTATAATCCGTCCTGCAAGATTATTATATATTTTCTAGTTGTTTCTTTACAATTTAAACTAAAATAAAACATAATTCTATTTTTATTTTTATTGGCGCAAAATGATAGCAAAGGTCAAAGGTGCCAGCAAATGCATGCAAACAACAATATATGATTTAAAATGATGATACTGTTGTTGTATGATCTCAGCAATGGTCATATTATTTATCCTTGAGTATAATTTAAAGCATCGTTCAACGCTGCTACTTTCCAAACTGGCAACAAGCCTAAAATAATGTATTTCTTTAATTAAAGCAGTAACACGAATCTTTTAAGTGAATTTGACCAAATGTAAATGTACATTTATCTACTTGTTTTAATGTTTCACAGCTTTTTTTAAAGTTTTTTTTCAACCCTAGCTTTAAGATGCAGAGCACGTTTCAGTTAATCTGTCCTCTCCTGGTCACGTTACAGTCACTAATGGCAGACATATTGACTTGTTATAGCTGGAAAAACACAACTGATGGGAAATCCAGCTCTTTTTAGCAAGCCGGATCTATGACTCCTCATTTAGTACCAATTCAGTGGAATTAGCAACAGTTTGACTTATGATTATGTGTGCATACGGTATATATAACTTTATTAATACAATGTAAAATTATATTAACCTCATCATTTCCAGAATACCATAAATTTAACATTACACTTTGTATAATAGAACATTGAACTGTTTTACATGCTGGTAACATACAGAAGTCCCACAACTCTCAAGTCTTAATGTTACCAAAGTGAGACATTTCTGGATTGTATTTAATAACGTCCTATTATTGTCTTATTGTCAAGAAAGGGTCTCATATAGTCGACCGGTTCACCAACAACATGACTAAAAAGCAGCGTTGAAACATTAATAAGTCACTTCATGTTCAGCAGCAGGGACCGGCCTCATAAATCAAATAAAAGCGTTAAAAGGTTGTTGGATAAAATAAATCATAAAAACAACCAATAATTGTTTAAGAGACACAGTTATACATTTAACTCTTAATATGTTAATAAGTAGTCCCACAGATCAAAGTATAGAGAGTTTTAAACCAAATAAAACATAATTGATTAATTTCTTTTCCTTGTAATTTATTTAATTACTTTTTGCTGAGGCTCAAATTCACAAAACCTGATGACAAAGTGGTCCTGAAACTCTGCAGTGGAGCACAGGAACAGCGGTATATCTGAGGACGTCAGCAAACATTAATACACAACGTGCACTTTTTGGAACCACTTTAATAGAACCAAATGTTCACTAACAAAAAAAAGTAAAAAAACAAAAAAAACCAGACACAAACATATTTACAGTGTTGAAAATGAGTGCAGATGATAAAGATATGTATCACAACTGTCAGCAGTGTACAGCGTGAAGCCGACACGACCTCTTTCATAAAGAATCTCTGCACATTCGGGATGCTAGAACAGGAAAACGGAGAAGAGCTTATGGGTGGGTCTGTAGTTAACCAGCATACGTAACAACTTAAAGTGCCTTCCAGTTTACGGGAGACTTCCCAGATTGCTCAAGCAGCTCGTTGGCCTTGGAGAAATGCTTGCACCCAAAAAACCCTCGATGGGCGGACAGCGGGGAGGGATGCACAGCCTGCAGGACGTGGTGGCGTTTCTACAGAGAGAGAGAGAGAAACGTAAAGTTTAGAAGCACAAACGTGATTAAAAAGCTTTTTAAAAAAAAAAAAAGTGTTAAAAAACAAACAGCGTAGACGCACTCTGTTAATGGCGGCTCCTTTCTTCTGGGCATACGCTCCCCACAGCATGAAGACGAGGCCTTCCAAGTTGTTGCTGAGCCACTGCACCACGGCGTCGGTGAACGTCTCCCAGCCTTTGTCCTTGTGGGAGTTTGCCTGGTGCGCTCGCACGGTCAACACGGCGTTGAGCAACAACACACCTGGAGAGCGACATCACGGATAACAGGAGGAGATTTTAATAATCAGAAAGCTGTTTGTTGAATGTTTACACGACTTTTCTAAATGTACCTTGTTCGGCCCACCCAGTCAGGTCTCCGTGTCCTGGGTGCTGAAAGCCGTCAATGTCCGAGACCAGTTCTTTGTACATGTTCTCCAAACTGGAGATTAAAAAAAAGGGAGCGAGGATTTAATAAATGTGTCACCACCTGATTTAAAACTTAGACAAGAGTTTAAAAAACAAAAAAACAAAAAGTAGTGAAAGGTTATGAAAAAGGTTTGATACCTGGGTGGAGGAGGCACTGGTTTTTTGACACTGAAACACAACCCGTGAGCTTGGTTAGGACCGTGATACGGATCCTGGCCAAGAATCACCACTTTGACCTGGAATTAGAGACAGAAAGTGAACGTGAGGAGACTGTGATGATTAGTGGAAGAGCAAAACAATGGTTTAAATTTCCTACATGATAGAAATTCTTCCTTTAACGCTGTATCAGTGCAAATCTGATACAACTGACTCTTCACTAGGCAGCGGGCGGTTGGGGGTATGTGTATTAACTGTCTAACTAACATAACACAATTATCTTTAAAAAAGGACAAAACAACCATGTGTTCAGCTTCTTATCCATCAAAAATATATGAATATCTTATAGATATCTTATATTCTGTATTGTGCTATTTTAGTTCATTTAGTATTTGGTGTGTTTATTTATTTTAATTATTTTTCTTTTACTTTTCTGGAACATTTTCCAGAGGTTTTTCTTACAAACGGTTATATAAGCTGCTGTTTTGGGGCCACGGCCTCATCAGTCAAAGTTCAAACCAAGCAGAATTTATTCTATCTTACAGATAATTCATCTTCTAGGAAGTTAAAGTGTTCATTACGTGTACATCACTGTGCATGTATTTATGAGGATTATTAGGCTGTATGCTATGAAGTGTCATATCATATATACTGCATACAAGTTTCAAACTAAGTATTATGTTATTATTTCTACATATTTGCTCCTTTTAATCAACTTCCTTTTTCCAAAACTAGTTCCAGGTTTTCCAGGACGACAACAACTGGCTAATAAAAATAACAAGTGGGATTCATGGTTAAGTACACCTGTGTAAGAGCAGATTTGCTGCACCTGGAGTTGACTTGTCTTCTTGTTTTCCCTCTTTATTAATATAAAATATAAATATAATTTTATAGATTGTTGCTGCATTAAGCTTTAGTAGAGGTTTTTAAACTCACATCCCGGATGTCACACATCTGCGTCCAGGTGAAGACATGCTCAGCAGGAGGATACACGGTGTGGCGTTTCCTCTCATCGGCAACAAAACCCATCAACTGTGGCAGAGATATGAAGTTATTATAAACATTTATTTTTAAAACAACTACTTAAAGGCTTAATGTCCACCTCACTTGTTTAAAATAGGGCTTTCCAAACTCCACCGACAGTCCGTTTCTCCAGCTCTGCCCGAAACCTGGAGGCGTTTGAGCGGAAGCGAGTCTCTCCAGCGCGGCTCTCTTGTTGCGGGCGATCCTCTCCAGTTGATCCGGGGACAGTGGAGGGCTGCACGGCTGCGGCGGACCGGCTCCCTCCGGCGCCGAGGACTTCCGCTTCTTCTGCACAATTTTAGTGTATTGAGCAAAACACAGAGCTGGTGAGAGGCGGGCAGCTGGGGGTGAAAGCGGCTTTAGGAACCGCCGACAGCGCAGTGCTAACATCACGGTGCTGTTGGCCCGCTGCGAGCAACCACTTTTAATAAACAAGAACGCGGCGGCGCTTGTGAACGTAGCTTGGATGGTCGCGGGAAACTGAGATACGTTTGAGAATACTCTGTAAGTTAAGTGTTTAAATATTAAAAAAAACGTTGTTTTAACACCAGAAACTGCACATGTGGTAACTGTTAGCTGATAAACTGGAGCAGAAGCGACTCACCGGGTCTTTTGCATCCTCCTCGGCTTCATTTAAATCCTTAGAAATCCTCTTTTTCGACACAGGCGTAAAAAACGAGTGAATTGTTTTCTGTCCGATCATTTTGTGGAGAAACACGTTGGCGCTGAACTAATTAATGTCACTTATTAGTTGATTTAAGTAGCTGGTGTTAGTTAACCGCGGCGAGCTCCCCGGGAAAAACACAGCAACCCCGAAACCAACTCACCGGGATCAAAGTAATTCGCGCCAAAACCAAGTGACGAAAGCGGGTTATGCAAATGAGCCGAGGGGACGTTCAAGACGAACCGCGGCGTGGTGTTTAGTAGGGTTTGTGGAAGGTAAAGCAACTGAGAGATAATTTTTCTCCACTGTTGTTTTGTAGTTATGTGATATTTTATAGTTTTAAAAGCCTAATGTCGATGTTTCTTTGCTGTTCGATCGATTAATCGAGTAGTCAATCAACCGGAATGAATCGTCATACATACCCGATAAATCATTTGAGGCTTTTTTTTCAAGCAAAACATTTTTATTAAATGTTAAGATTTACTGCTTTTATATATTTATATGTTATATGTGACTGGGGTTTCAGTACTCGGCTGAAACGAGTATCCGGTACAGATGATGTACAAATAAGTAAAATGTGTCAATAAATAAGCATTTGTTATTTTAAAAACTACGAATACAGATAATACTAGTAGTCACTTATCCCTAATATACTACTATACACTAACATTTAAAACCGTTTTAATTTGTCAACTTGGGTTCAGCGACATTGTTAGTCGCATCCTTTGTAATAAAAGCGTCCTGAATTCCACAAAATATAGCAAATTTCAGGAGAATTACAGTATAATAAACCAGCTTTATTGAAGGTTTTTAAATCTCAAAATCAGTGTTAGTGTTTGATTCTTCTTCACTTCATCCAGGTTCAAAATAATCCTAAAATTAAGCTCTTCGGAGTAAAAACAGCAGGTTATGGAAGAGTTTGTGGTTCGGGGACAGAATAAACGCTCCCCAGCTAATGATGCAAGAAGTCCTCGGAAGAAGATCAAACTGGAGAGGATGAAGCAGGAGGAGGAAGAGGAGGAGGACGAGTTCTCTCATCCTGTTCCCTGGCAGAAAATAGAGGCCGAAGGACTAGACTGCGATTACGCTCTGCTGTTCTCCAAAGAGGAGGCAGACCATCTTCTTAAACAGCTGGAGGAGGAGGTGGTGTACTCAACAGGTACAAACTAACCTTTTATTTCCCGTACGGTTACGACCAGAAGTTCCAGTGTTCTTGTGAATATCTGTTTTTTTTTGTTTCAGGGGAAGAAGCAAAAGTTCAGATATTTGGAAAAGTGTACGATATACCGAGAAAGCAGGCGACGTACGGAGATGCAGGTCTGACCTACACTTATTCTGGGGTGGCGCGTTTGGCCTGTCCGTGGACTCCCACGTTGGAATATATCCGGGACGCTGTCACAAAAGCGACCGGACAAACATTTAACTTTGTCCTGGTCAACAGGTGAGCGAATACGAGCTGTAAAAGATCTCCGTTTTGATGTTTGGCCTGAAGGTGATCGTCTCTCCAACAGGTACAAAGATGGTCGGGATCACATGGGGGAGCATCGTGATGACGAGAAGGAGCTGGACCCCCTCTGTCCCATCGCCTCCGTCTCGCTGGGAGCACCACGAGACTTTGTCTTCCGTCACAGAGACACTCGGGGTAAACGGGACCCGCCGGCAGATCGAACCCGTGAAGCTGGAGCTCGCCCACGGGAGCCTGCTCCTCATGAACTCGCCGACCAACACCTTCTGGTACCACGGCCTCCCCGTCCGCAAGAAGATTTCCCTCCCTCGCGTCAACCTCACCTTCAGACGGATCCTGCTGGACCAGAAGAAACGACCGAGTGTGGATTCTCAACAAGGAACGTCTGATTGATGAGCACGTTTTATAGTCTCACTGATCTCAAGTTCAAACTTCAAACCACAACTTCAGCTACTTTCTGCAACTTTTACCAGGTTACGTTTTGTACAGTTGGCTGGTAAAGTTCCTGAAGAAAAAGGATCAATAAAATCAACACTGAACAGTTCAGTGGAGCTAAAGATGGAGCATACCATTTGTTCCCTCCCGATACCTGAACTTTATGTACCGGCCGATAGGGAGTACCAATAAACCTGTCGGAGTCAGGGTAGGGTGGGTCGTGACTTTGCTATCCTTGGGGGGGTGGAATAATGTACTTTGGTATCAGATGGACGCACAGACTCGAGTACTCGCCAATACCTGAGCTACAGTCTACATATAGCTTCTTGTGTTAATCCATTGTTGGCTGCGAATGGTAAACCTGGTTGCTCTTTGAAGGGTTTTAAAAACTCTTTTGAGCATCAAAGTTTATTCTTATATTATTATTCTATCTAATATTAGCCTGTTTAAAAAGAACAGCATCAGCTTAATAGCTTTTTCTGGAGCTTTCAACCCCATCTCAAGGGCTTTATCGGCTTCCATATAAAGATTATTTTGTCAGTCTCTGCATTTGGTACAATTGTTTTCACCTTTAAATGATGTATTTTGGGCTGACCTAATACGGGGGCTTCTTCTTTAGGATAGTTTTGGGAGTTCAGTGTTCAAGTTGGATCTGTTCATTTTGTCTTAAGCTGTAGATGTTCTCATACTTTCTTGTAAAAAGCAAAAAAATTGGGACATGTTAGCAGGATGATTAAGGATTTTTCCCTGTTGAAGGTACCACAATATATCCACCACAATATAGTGTTTAATTAAGTCAACACAAATACACAGAGATAAAGTATGAGGTGTGTGTGTGTGCGTGTGTGTGTCACAGTCATATCCAGTGTGATGACCCCTCCCATTCTGGTTGTTGTTGTGTGTTTTCATTTCTTCTGGCAGGGGTGTCCCTGGATTAACTTGCTCCCTGACTGCTGGCCTGTATATGGAGCTCAACCTAATTATGTCTCTCTCCTCCCAACCAACAGGATCTTTCATGTTTACTTCGAAATGTTTTTCACATTAGCTTTCTCCCTGCACCCCACTAGGCCCATATCCACACACTCACTACAACACTGACAACACTAATATGTTTATACTTTATGTCTAGTTCAAATATTGGTTAAATGGTTAAAAATAAAAAAAACCTTATTTATCTGTGTGGTCTCCCTTATTTTGTCTGAACTTTGAGCCGGTTCATGACACCATAAATCACCATAAACCAAAAATAGAGGAATCCTGGAACAATTATCCTTCACTGTATAGTTACAGTTACAGTTACAGGATTGAGTACAAATAACTGGGTCATTCAGCCCCAAATTCTTGCTTTTCATCGGCTCTTTTTGCTGTAAAACGTGTGAATTCAAGGCTCTTATTTCCTGATGTAGCAGTTTTTTGTTGTTGATGGATTTAGAAACACTGACCTTTTTGTCTGTGGTGTCGGTGGATGAGTTCTTCTTCTTCCTTTTAGCCGGTTTGGGTGTTTCATGGTCCGGGTTGCTGTTGCCTTCCTCCATTGCGGAGCGACTGCGGTAAAGTGAGCCGCTGTCAGGACGTTGTTACTACAGTCCTGAAAGGTACATAGACCCATTTTCGGTCCTGTTCTTTTATGAAAATGACTACATACTAAAAATAATAATAATTAGAATTACAATAATAAATACAATAATAGAAAATAAATACATCATGTGCAACATTTACTTTATTTATTTACGTTATTTTATGATCATAAATAAACACTATAGTATAACTACCTCTACTACTACTACTACTACTACTACTACTACTACTAATAATAATAATAATAATACTGACCCAAACTATAACTATGTAAGATTCATACTGATTTTACTGTGCTGGGTTTTTTTAGATAATTAAAGGGGAAATCTGCTCAATTTTCATGATACTATTCAAAATGTCTTCATATTTCTTTTTATTTAGTAGGTTAAAAACTAAAACTTGCAATGTCATCTTATGGATGAACTCCTCTGTACCCAATGGGGAGTTTTGGACTAACTTTACTGTATAGTTTTTGAGTAAATTCAAAGGTAAAGTTGGCTCAATTTCAATCATAAACATCACAATTTCCTTATATTTGAATGGTCATATTTCCTTTTATTGAGTAAGTTAGCTAAAATGTTCAATGTAACCTTGTTAAGGATGACCCCCCTCTGTATCCATGGGAGATTTGGACTGATATTACTGTATAGTGTTTGAGAAAATAGACTAGGACTAGAGTAATATTGGTAAGCTTTGGATGGGTTTAAATGATGTTGTAGGTGTCTGCTGACCTGTGAATCCATCATTGACTGCGGATGCTGAACCTGGTAGCTCTTTGAAGGGTTTTAAAGTCTTTTAAAGTTCATTCTTGACAAAGTAAATATTAGTTTTTGTTGATTCATTTTTAAAAACATATTACCTTAATGGCTTTTTCTGGAGCTTTTAACCCCATCTCAAGGTCTTCATCAGCTTTCAAATAAAGATTATTTCCTCAGTCTCTGCATTTGGCACAAAATTGGCACACAATTTCGCCTTTAAATGATGTATTTTATTTATTCTTATGAAACATATGCTGCTTACCGCTATACTGTTCAGTGCTTTGGTCCAGTATACTTCAGAAAGCAGTGCTTGATCGTACGCACGTCTAACTGTGTAGCAAATAATATAATAAAACTCTAAAATGCATGTTTTGTTTTATTTTTTTAATACCTGAAAACAATCACCTTTACAGATTGCACACAAATACACACACAATCTCACATGAATATACATTAGTGCAAATTGCAAAAAAATTAACGAGGAGTTTTGCACCAGGCCAAAATTTCTCAGTGTGACTTTGTTGGTTTGGTAGGAGCAAAATGGCAGTTATCAGTTACACAGAATTAAAAATATTCAGGATAACTTGCCCAAAGACCTGCAGTCATACTGTGGCTTTATAAACTGAGAGCAGATCATTATTAATCTGTTACACATCAACACCAAGCCAAATGGCTCTGATGCATCATATTGTATGTTCACTTTAGTTGTAGCACACATGGCTTCACGTGTTAAAAAGGTCCAGTGTTTAGGATTCAGTGGCATCTAGAGGCGTGGTTGCTGATTCACCCTCCCTTTCCAAGCGTGAAGGAGAAACTACTACACAAACGGCTCCATCTAGAGCCAGTGTTTGTCCGTTCTGGGCTACTGTAGAATCAAAGGCAACCCGCAGTGTCTGTAGATTAAAAAAACAGCTCATTTTCTTATTTCAGGTGATTACATGCTAATTATAACATACGTATGGATATTATGTTCCCTTTCTGCCAATAGATCCTCCTGAATGTTACACACTGGACTTTTAAAAAAGACAACATGGCACTTTAACCTCAACTGTGCAGCTCCGCAAATCATGACAGTTTGAGGATTACTGGAAACATATAAAAATATCAAATTCAACTGCTTATGAACGATGTCAATTAAAACATTATTTCCAATACAGTCTACATACACTGCTGGGAATGATTAGGCATATTAGACGATAGAGAACCAGAGTTGAGGAAAATTCTACCTATTTGACTTTTCATAATATGTAACAACCTCTAGGTAACAGCGCCAGGAAATCCTAATCAGCTACTTCTGTCTGCGTCTGTAATGTACAGGCAGTGGACAAAATAACAGGAACACCTTTAAAAGTATACTGCGTGCCGATTTAACACCAAAAACTACTGCATCATACAAATGCCACAGAATTGAGTTAACACCTCTGACAGCCTCAACAAAAAAATAACATTATAAGCTTCACACATGAACAATGTATTGCAGGGCTTTTACTTTGGAGTGCACTATATTGTCAGGTGTTCCCGTTTTTTTGTCCCATAGAAGCCAAAATGTTACATGAAGGAAACTGTTGCATCTATCAAAGAAAAGTAGCTTACGTGGTCACATTTAAAGAAAAATAAACTTGCAGGTCCATAATCTTTGGGATTGAGAGCCTCCTACTCTGGATCAGAGAAAGTGTCCTCTCGTGGGTTTAATGTCAGAACACATCATACCATGACCTTTAAACATGTTGCTGTGATCCATGGTGCGAAATGATCTCTACAATAACCCTCTGGTCTCATTGTCATAGAATCATAATCCACCTGTTGGTACCCACGTTGTACAGCAACTGGCAAATGCAGCGGTGACAGTCTGAGTGGAAAGGCAGAAGTTAATCAGGCTGTAAGCTTCTGGTTACTCCTCCGAGCGCAGAGCGAGGTGCAGCCTTCGGACTCTCTCGTAGAAGAGCATGTACGCGTTGGAAGACAGCACCTCGTGCAGGCTGGCTTTTCGTACCGAGTCGTCCGACACCCAAAGCCACTGGGAGCTGAAGGGTGTAGAGCTGCGAGGTGAGGAAGGGCTGCGGCGGTACGTCACAAAATGTCCTGAGTGCATGTCACCGTGGTGAACCAGCAGAGCCGTGAGCTGGAAAAGGTACTCTGTAGAACTGGAGGGAAAGACACTGATCAAAAGATGCCTGCAAACAGCAAATAAAGGAAATAATAAAGTTTGAATTGAGGTGTTAAGGCCACCAAAAGCCAGCCCAAAACCTTCTGTCAGTCTAAAATCTTTTGTAAGTGTTTAATATGTTGTGATCTGGTGATGTGAAAGGGGCTTTAGATTATCACCACATCACTGAATAGCATGATATGCATAACTTCTTTGTATTGTTGCACCTTCATTTTAAAAGAGGTACTCCACCCTAATGTGTTTTTTGAGCTATAAACTAAATTACGTGACTATACTGTGATGAAACACATCAAAACTCTTACCAAAGTTATGGGAATCTGCTTTTTGTGTGTTCAAAATGGCTCAATATGCCCTCTACTGTTTTAGATCACCCTGAACCTTGCAAGGTCATTGCTGACATAGAGCCTATTTTGGTGCAATGGTTTGAACTTTGTGCTTTATCGGCTGCCACCAGACTGCAATGTTTACTGAGACAGCAGCTGCTCATAGCTGGTTAGTTCTGACAACCAGCAGTAGCTTTCCGCTACACTGCTGTGGTCAGTCTGTCAATCACTGCGCTCTGTGCTGAGAGGGAGGGAGCTATGAGGACTGAAGGGTGTAGTCACACTTTAAGTTTACCTGTAGTCATATGTGAGGCCGAGCGGTGGGTTCACACCGGGAGAGTGAAGAAATACAGAAGAACAAGTTCCATTGGAAAAAGGTTTGTTGTTGTTGTTACGATGCTCTGCTTCTGGAAGACAAAACACAAACAAATGTATGACAAAAACAAACTGAATGTGAAACAGAATGATATTTTAAAGATGATGAATCCAACATACCGGTTCCATTAGCAGTGGGTTTCTCCATGGAATCGTCTGAAGTTTCTGCCCTTATGGGGTTTGGAGCACATTTGACTCGCTGACTTCTCAGTGTGGAAGCCGTATGTTTGTAGCGGTCCATGGATAGATACTCTGCGAACTGCACATGCTCCTGTCTTTTGATGGGAGTTCCTTCACTGGACCACGTCAGTCTTTGTAAATGGATGCAGAGGCACTGGGGGAGCTGGTAGAAAACGTCAGAGAGTACAGAGAGTTTAGTTTTATTAACATCTCAGGCTGCTGATGTTGAGCTAATAGTGATACAATAAATATGACAGTTACCTTTCCCAGTTTTAGCTGTTTAACAAATGTCGTCCTCTGGCTTTCCAGAACTTGCCCATTTACTGTGGACCCTTGATGAAGCTGAGGGGAAAACAAAAATGAAACACAAGCATAATTTCTTAGTAAATAAACACTTACTCATATGAACGCAAATGAAGTACCTTGATCTATAGTTTAGTTTTCAGTGAATTACACATTAACAAAATGATAACCAGAACTTGGCTGATACTGTAGTGAATGTACCTTGGTGCAGTTTTCACACTCCACTTCTTTGATGGTTTCTGAGGAGATGAAATGCTGGAGACACTGATCTAGAGACATAGGTCGACCCTGAGGACATATGCAGATCAAATGATGACAAACAGAACAACAGAAAGGTACATTAAGTAATAAAATAATAATAATAATAATAATAATAATAATAATAATAATTCATGTGTTCCTGGAATGTTTGCTTACCCACTGAGGTAAAGGGATGGACAGGGAGAGACTCTCAAACGAGTCATATCGAACCGGACTCTACACAAATGCA